AAGGCGGCCAGTCAGAGGCAGAGAAATAAAGGTCTTAAACCTGAACTTGCAAAGGAACAGGAAGTCAACATCACAAGTGGTTGGGGGAAGAAATTTCCAGTTCATGGCTGCAGCAGTAGATAATAAGTAACCCCCCCACAGAATGAAGGTTGACTGGGGGCTTAGGTATAGAGAGCCTTGTTTCCGAGAGCGGAGTGCGTGGAGAGGAGTAAAGTGAGAGGGAAGAGGTAGACAAGGCCGAGTGCATCCCGAATTCCTGACACCTCACAAATAAGAACACGTAACGCCAGAAGAATCTAAATATTGCCACACGTGTGCCAAACACGGGTTACCCTGACGGGCAATGGCATGGCCTAGCAAGAGAGCATTCACCCTGCGTTGGAGAGGTTAATGATTTAAATCCAGCACCCACCCTGATTAATTATTACACCCCGGGAGTAATTACCATGATAACACTATGTACCGTCTACTTCGCAGTGGATGGTAATAATTCCCTGCCATCACTCGCAAGAGTGTGCCATAGTGTACCATTGTGTGCCATTGTGTGCCATTGTGTCCCATTGTGTGCCATTGTGTGCCATTGTGTGCCAGCGTCCAAATTTTCCAAATTCGAAAAAAATAACATGTTAATTACTAAATTGGGTTTATACACAGCAGCAATCATCGCCCCCCTACTGGCAGACTAATGCCCCACGTTACTCTCGCAAGTGAGACTATCCCGGTTCTCTTTAGTTATCACCTGGTTAAATAAAACAAACGTGAAACTCACCTTGTTTTTCCGTCCATCTATTTCAAAGAAGGAGATGTTGCCCTTTCGATAGATTTCATTGCCAGGTGGATGGCGCAGGTTACACTTATGCTGCAAACGAGAAACACAAAGTGAAAACTATTTCATCCACACGATGGTCAGGCTCAGTGATGGAGATATCCGCTTAGGTCTGGGTCCTTCATCTGACGGTATGTGGGCCATATCTTGAAGGCTCTTGAGTGGCCCGCCGAACTATGCCCCATTAAGAGATATGGTTTGCCAAGACAGAGATCCCAATTAGTGAGATAAACAATGGAGATATATGACAGAGCAGTAGACAAGACATACATTTACGATATATGAGCGCAAGATGAAAGACCTGAAGACAAGAGGTACGGATTTGTGGTCACATTCACAGATGTCATGACGTCACACAACATGTGACGTTATAACAGCTGTACACGTGTCCTATAACATCACGTGGCCCACCAGCACACGCAGGTTTAGTTAAGTAGCCCACCAGAAAATATAGATGAAGAACCCTAGATTAGCAAATGGTCACAGGGCATTACATAAACCAAGGTTTCACTATAGTAAGGAGAAATTGAAAAATTGACTTAAAATGATCAACACGTCTCCCACGAATCTCAATAAAAAATTAATATTTTAATACTCTTCATGAAATCTACAACATGGAATTGCCTATTGAGAAGAGGGTCATAAATCAGTGGGGTATCTAATAATAATATTTTAAATGTAAAAAAATGGGCCTTGGTTTGCCAGTCAAGGGTAAAAGATGGTAAATTCTCCCTGCAGCACTCACCATATGGCGCTGCAAACACGTGAGGCTCTTGAGGTACTTGAGGCAGAACTCGCAGAGGTAGAGCACAGGGAGGCTGGTGAGCTCCTGCGGGTACGGCGAGAAGTACCACGGCTTGAGGCGGTGGCGGCCCAACTCGATGCACTCGATGTTCTTCATGCGCGTTACGATGTCGTCGTGGCTCTTGTCGCTCACCAGGCTGCCCGTTTGTCGTGGCAGAGACACGGCCGGGACTCCGTCTGAGCTGTCCTGCGAGTCCTGAGAATGGCACAATGCACACGCACACACACGATCATGCCCGCGCACGAATGCACGAAAGCACAAAGCACACAAACCCACAAATGCATGAACGCACAAGCAGTGGCACCGTCACGTCTGTGTATGTACGGAGCGTACCCAAATCCCGGAACCTCCTTCAACGAGACGTGGTCTCATTTCTGGTGATGTTTCCTACACCACCATAAACAACAATGACAAGGTAGGGTTTAGAAGTTAATAAGAAACAATCACTTGTAAACATTTGGCAAAAAAACAAGGGAATTAACACCACGCCTCAATGCAACTTCGTCAATGTCTCGGCAATCGCACCTTCCCTATGTCAGGTAAAGGGCTGTTTGCCAAAACAGTGACCAGCTTTTGTTCTGCTTTCAGAGAGTGTTACGATCACGTCAATTCCCATGTTTTTTTTTACAAATCATTATGCAGGCACGTTGATGATAGGAAATATGCTTGTATAGTAGAGGTTACAAATGCTAATTGCTTAAAAAACACATGGAACCTTTTCAAAGTTGTCCGTTCGCTCTTCATCATTTGCCCCTGCTTTGTACCGCTTCCAACAATGTATCGGGGATCGCACATTCAAGGTCTGTTTGGGATACAAGAAGGAAAACGAGGCCACATTATGCCCCGCCTAGCGGAATGCAACGTGGAGATGCAGTGCGGTGTGGTGCATAAAGCAGGGTTGGTGCGCACTCCACCCCGTGCCCATTACCTCCTCTGCACTGAGCGCCAGGATCTTCCGTTTCCTACCGACCACAGACATCAGTGGACGCCGCTGAACTCCGTTTTGCTATTGTGGGGTAGAAAGACACGAGAGGGCATGGTTCACAATGCAAGCTCAGGTTCTGACAGCTGCCACACAATAATCCGAACAGCTTATCCCAACACACATCGCCAGGCACTTTTATACTACTGCTATTCAGCTGATGAAAAATCTAAATTATGTACGTTACAAATGTAAGTTGTTGTTGATTTGAATAGGTTTATAATCGTGTTAATAACACTTAACAGGGGAATAATGTGAAGGTTGTGATGGCTTGGAGGCATTGAAGCAATCCACTGCACATCAACTGAAGCCATTTCCTAGCAAACTAATCTGGATATAAGACTTTTATGAGTTGATATTCATCTTGCCATATGCAAAAAAACAAGGCACTCTCCCTTGCTCAATTACAATGCTACGCAGTCCACAACACAGGTGTGTGTGTGTGTTAACAATAGGGTAACGCATAAAGGATGATGGTGTGGTGGTGGTGGATTCGCTGGCCGACTTAGCAGCCGTGCTTACATGGCTGGGCTTCTGGGGTGCAACGACCTCTCGCTCGGGGCTGCTGGGACGGGAGCAGGGTCCAGAGCCGTTCTTTGTCGGGGTCTTGGCATCCTTTCGTGGAAACTGCATCCGTCGCACGTCCAGCCGATCGTAGGTGACCCACTCGTCCAGCCGCTTGTTGACTGGACACACAAACGGTACAGGAAACGTTAACGGGACACACAGACACAGGGCATACTAACAAGTTCACTTATTGGGCAAAGTGAACGAAAACCAAGTAAACTAAATAATTATTTTAAATGGCTGGTTGTGCAGTTGTCCCCCACTACGCCATGAAGTGCTGTGGAATCATATTTCGGGGTAGAGGGGAATGTAGCATTTCTTATAATCACATCAACTAAAATACGTGCATGTGCTGTGTGCCGGTACTTACAGTCCACATAATGCACGTAATACTGCTTCCGTCCATTCACCTCCTTGATGCCCAGGACCTCTGCAAGAGCTGAACACAACAACAACAACAACACAAGTTTCGTGACATGGCCTCATAATACCACCTATGATAAAGCATTGATGACCCCACCACAAATGACCCCACCAGATAAAACCCACAACAGATGACCCCACCACAAAGTGACCCACTATAGATGACACTATCACTCAAATGCAGAAGCGGTGATGCAGACGCTGCACTCAATGTTTTTGCCGGCGCCTAACGAAGCAACACTGTTTACAAACAAAGTATCCACAAAAGGGGGCCCAACCCGACTCAGAAACCCCCAGAAAGACGCAAAATAACGCGAGCCGAGGTGGCAGGGATGACGAGCCGATGGACCCCGGGGCCACCACTCGCCCCGAAAGAGGCCACGAACTCATCCTGACCCGCACACAAACCACCACCGTCTCAAAACAACTGCCGCCTTCTCGCTGCCCTCTCACTACGAGGGTATATAGATGTCTGTAGTGACAACAGCCGCGAAAGCCTGTGAAAGGGAGAGTTGCTGGTGGGTGGAGGGGGGGGTGTTTCTCAAGCAGCGGCCGCGGGGTCCGGGTGCTCAATCTCGGGCAGGGAATCTATCCGAGCAGCGGTGATGATCGCGCCAGAGGCCTAGCCAGCGCTTACGCCATTCCTCCTCGTTCTCCTGGTTCCGCCGCAGCACGGGGAGGCGGCAGCCCTCGGACACCTCGGACAGCATCTGTAGAGGCATAAGAAGGAGGGGGGGAGGGTGCCGAGGAGGGGTCAGTCGGACTCCGGCCGCGCCGAGTCGCCCCCGCGTCCCCTGCGCCGCGCGGGCCCGGCCCCTACCTGCTCCGCCATCTTTGTCGCGACGTCGCTATGGAGAAGAATTCGCGGAGGGAAAGCCGCGCGGCGCGTCCCCGACAAGAGAGAGCGCGGACTCGGCGCGATCGCAAACGTCAGCGGTGCCGCCGAGAGACGCGGAAAGGGAGCGGGTTGATTTTTAAAAAAAATTTGAAACGAAAGTAACGAATTTGCGAATCGCGTTTCCCCGGCCCAGTGCGTGCCCTTCGGGACACCGTAGTAGCAACGGTGGTAACCCCCCCCCCCCCAGCCTGGCGTGACCCTTGCCCCCCCACGCAACACGTGGGTGCGGGTCCACGTGGTCCCCGGTGCACGCTTTGCGTTATCGTCGTCTGTCCACTTTCTCGGGACCTCTCTGCAACACCATTTAGGAATCAACACCGCGCCGGGCCCTGCAGCAGTAGCGGGCAGGGGATCAACGCGACGTTCAATATCCCCGAGATCTATAAACCTGGGCAGGGTCAACTCGCCGCGGCTCAGCGCTGCGCAGACGCGGGAGCCACTACAGGGTTCCGCCGCCACCTCCTCCTGCTCCTCCGCCCGTGGAGAGGCCCGGTCAACCATGAGCGGGGAGCCCTGGAACGAGCTCGCGCTGCCGGCCCCGAGCGCGCAGAGCTCCGTGCTGTTGCCCCGCGACCCGCAGCTCCGTCGGTAGGCGCCGCCGTTTTCTCGTCTCTCTCAGGGATGAGTCGGGGGCGCTCGTTGTAGGCGCCGTCAGAGGGGGACGGGGGAAATCGAACTTGGGTATGGTCTCCACACCGTCGATTCACTCGGCCACGTGCCCGCCCGTGTTCCCGCAGAGCTGTGCGCTGCCCTGGGCGGCGCGGCGAACGAGGCGCGGGGCGCCCTGCGGAATCAGCGGCTGCGTCTGGACGGCGGAGTTCTGCGCTCCGTGCTCGGCGTTTTCCGCTCCCGCATGCGCAAGCACAGGCCCTACCGCGCCTGTGCAGCAGGTGACACACCAGCCCATGCAGCTGCACTCCACCCCGCTCCACCCCTCTCCAACTCGCTCCACCCCTCTCTAACTCGCTCACCCGCTCCACACCAAGCCTCCCTCTAGCACCATTCGCGACAACGGCTGTCACCAAATCACCCAGAACACTGTGCAGGAACCTCCTGGATTCAATTCATTTTTTAAAAAATTAAATTATTATGGTTATTACACCCAGAGAAATAATCAGGGCAGCCGTTGCAAACGTTCTTAATTAAACATGACCCTCATAATACAATCGGGATACAATTGTGGGTGGAGGGAAATTGCAGTGATGTTTTTAAATCCGTTATATTAAGTTCAATTGCTTGCGCGCTTACGACCGTGCAAATCTTTCGGTCGTTTTTTAACCCACTTCCCGTGATCCAATCGAGCTGACATTTTGCACACAGACTCGTGCGTGACAATTTATTTTCGTGAAAAATTTTTCCCAAAATTTTCCACTTTTTAGGAAAACAAAATGTCATTTAATTTTAAATACCAATGTGATAAAAATGAAACTCTTACTCAAGAAAAACAGAAATGAATAATAAAATAAAACCGATGCACACGCTTATATAGATTTATAGTGAAAAACTTTGTTTTTACGGGTTAATTTTTTTTAAGCACTGTTCACCATCTCGATTGCTTGCACCACCGCAGTCGTCTCGCTACGCGGATTGAACCGCGCTCGTCATGCTGCTCTCCCCGTGTCCGCGTGCAGGTGGACAAGTGCTTCACTCGACTCTTTGACTTGAAGCTCGAGCTGCGTCTGCAGGAGCTGCACGGAAGCTGCACGAGGTGACGCCAAACCCTAAAGACACGACCCAAACAACAACAACAACAAAAAACGGCTCATCTCTTGTTAGCTACTCGCCGAAGCTGTGTGACCCGATCTGTGACGCTGGAATTTCCCCCAGCCATTTGTGCCGTTGAATTACTGCCTCTGTTGAAGTTCAGGTTCAATCGCTTCCCCTTTGTTCTCTGCCACGGACTGACTGCCTTTTTTACGATATAAAATAACTATGCTCACTGTTTCTGTACACTGTACAGCATCGCGAGATGTGGTCGCAGACGCTACATGGATCCACGTTGCGACTGTGATTTACCGTGACAGCTTACCAGAGAGCATGGCGGGCGATGCCGTGTACGTGCCCAGCCGCCCCTTCCTCGAGTGGATGGCGCTGCTCGTGATGGGAGCTTCCAAACTCGTCCTGCACACCGTCGCCATGTGCGAGCGTGCCTTCCTGTATCCCTGATCTCGAATCTCGCCCACGCTGGAGCTCATCAGGAAAACGGAAAGCTGTCACGAGTGGCCACGTTCCCAAGGCGTGGAACTATGGGTCGGTTCCTACCGATCGACGTTGATTATTACGCTTGCAATGCTTCAAAACGTGCGTGTGACAGTTGCTTTTTTACGATTTCAGCAGCAGCTATGATCAATCCGCTGATAAATGAAGCCACCCCAAGCTGTTGCCACCTAGAACTCAAACACGAACTGATTCATCGCTCGTCCCGTCAATGGTTATCTAATCGGGCTCCTCCTTTACTTTCCTTGACTGCCATTTCTTTACCAGTCTCATCTGTCGACCATCATCGCGTCTAGCTGCACGTGACGCCCAAAACCAATATGATCTCTCCGAGATTTGAAGCTTTCGTGACTGCAAGGATTCATATTCTTAGGTTTTTTCGGTAAAGTCACGTAGGTAATTTTTTTAAATGAATTTATTTTACTTTTATTAATTTAAATTTTTTACCTACGTGACTTTACCGAAAAAACCTAAGAATATGATCTCTCCGACTCTCGTATCTTCCTTGATACACGTGTTTCTTATAGTGTCGGTGTTGATCCAAGCGGGGCCATATTGTTTCAATGCTTTATTAAGATGCATGGCGAGCCCCCTACACACCCGCCGCCCCCCCCCCCCCATCGCCATCATGCATCTCCTCGCCCCCAACCATGCGGTAATTTCCTTAACGAGTAGCGCAGGTTGGTCCTGCATCACCTGCACCTGGAGGAATACATCACCCTGAACCTGCTGCTCACCGCCGTGCTCAGCCGCCTCTGGTGAGAACCCGGCACTCTGACTCCGCGTGCTGCTTAAACTCACAAGGAACAAATCAGCAGCATCAGAATATTTCCACCGCTGCTAAGCATTGTTAAGAGAGCCGATAGACTGTATTGCTTTTCCCTGAGAAATCTAATGATATAGATATGGTGTGTTTGGACATGTTTGTGGGAGTGGTGGCATAATGGTTAGTGCGCTGCACTACCAACGCAACTCGTGTTATCCCTGCCCATAGCCAAAATCCCTGAAAAATATTTGAACAAGTTCTGGGCCTCCCCTAGGTCGATTCAGGCTTAATGAGTAAACATCGGCATTGGGGAGACAAAGGAGGCTAGGCAGGGTGCTTGCCACCCACCCCTTCGTGTGCCATGTTGGCCTTAATAGGTGCTTCCGAACAGCACTTGCCCCAATGGTCTCTTAAGGCTATCTGAAGGATCTCTGTCTTTGTAGCGTGGTGTGCAAGCCGATTCTGCTGGCCCTGGTGGGCCTGTACGGCGAGCTGCGTGCCGTGCTGCGCACCGTGAGCAGCCTACACGGCGTCTCGATGGCCAAGGGGTTTGAGTTCCCCGACGCGCTCGCTGAGTGGCTGGGCCCTGACTTCACGCACGTCCTGGAGATCGGCGCTCCACTCCAAGTGCACAAAGCCAAGATCAGCTCGGGTGAGGGGGACCTGCTTGGGCTCACATGAAGCCCAACACCGTAAACATGCATAGCATACCCACCCACCAAACAGCCAGAAAAAAACTTTTGTTCTCATTGTATGACAATACCCTTTGTTTCTCCAAGAAACATAACGCCATTATTTAGGAAGATCCTGCCTTGACATATTTGTGAATTTATTTAATGAGTTTGGCTTCTTGTGGATGGAAAACCACAGTGCTCCGAGAAACCCAAACCTTTGTGAGGGGGGCAACATGTCCAGCTCTGCATTGATTGATTCATGCTGCCCTTCCTGTACTGCCATTTTCTGGTCAACCTGACAGCTCCACACCAACAACATTCGGTATTCACAGGCAGTCTCCCATTCAAGCGTTAATCAGGCTCAAAACCGCTTGTCTTTCGTTATCAGACATGGTTAGGCACAATCATGGATATGTGGTCATGGGTAATTCTTTTCATTCTCAAATGTGGAAATCACCCAAGGCTGGGCCACTTTTCCTTATTATATCTGAGAACTGCATGACTTGTTGTTGCTGCCATCTTGTTTTAACTAGGAGATTAAATAGACCCACTGAGACACATGAAGCAGAATTTCCTCTTTTGCAAGGGCGATCTGGGATACATCTGTACAGCTGTTACGCTTGTTTTTGGCCGTTACATGAATACCGTTTTGGCTGTGTCCACCAGACCTGCTGGAGTTGCTGTTTGTTGCCTCGGATGAAACATTTGGCGACTCCGGGGATGAATTGGTGGAGAATCCGGCTGTTGCTGCTGCTGCTCCTACCGCTGCTACCACTGCACAACCGAGACCCCGGTCGCAGGAGGTGATGGTTCCTGACATCGGGAAGCGTTTGGAGCAGGGAGGAAGCCGGGACCCCGTGGGTACGAGAGCACTCGCCAGCATCCGCTGATCTCTCTGCGCAAGCGGGCACATGCACAAAACCCCGGTGCGGAGTTTCTAGCCTCCTCAACCTGGAGCCACGTGCCACCGCCTTCCAGGACACAAACCAGGGCCAATGTAACAGTTGATAGTTTCTACGCGGTTGTCTAACTTTTACGACTGCTTCTGTCTGTTTAAACGTTGTTTTGTTTCAGAGTGCAAGTTGGACTGGCTCATGCAGAACACACAGAACACGGGCCGTGGCGCAGAGGTGAGTCCGCTGTTTGTGCCCTTCACTCATCCTCATGGGTGGAGGAGGAAGCCAAGGTTGGGGGGGCTCAGCCTCGTGGCGGCATCAGATCGACTGCTACTGTTGAGACATGGGAGTAGGAAGGGGCTCCTTTGTGGGCTTTGCTAGGAGGGACCCCTTGGAAATCAGGAGGCCCCCCTCAGAAGGGGGCTCACTTAGGCGCTTTGCCAGTTAGTACCCTGGCAGTTGCTGCCGGAAGGTGGTTGTTATGTTTCAGCGAATGCTCCCACACTTGACTTCATTCGTCACAAAACACAATTGATGACAACTTCCAGGTGTAGACAGATATTGTTTACCACCAATATTTTAATATTTGTTCCCTCCAGGAACAAGTATTTGAAACATATTTCTTCCCCCAGGGAAATAAATGTTCCAGCCAGCAAACGTCCATTCCATTCTACTTATTTGTACCCTAGAGTTATGGTTAGGTGCTACATTGGTGACGACAAAGTTACGACCGTACAGTTTTAATAAATATAACATACCTGAAAGCAAATTGAGTAATAGTTTCATATATATGTTTGGAAAGTGCACTTGAAATTAAGAGGTTTTTTTAATCCACTGCAATATACTCGCAGTATATTGCAGTGGACCCGACTCCCGGGGGATAAGAGGTACGACAATTTGGAAGGGGGACTAATATTTGTTTTTTTGGGGGGGGGAGGGGGACATATTTGGGGAAATATATATTCTCTGGCACCAACATCTGATATTTTTGTTCAGCTGAAGCCCATTGTATGTTTGTGTGCTCGCTGTTTACAGAGAGAGGTCAACAAGAGAGATCCAGGAAAATCCCAGATAATTTCGTGTGTGGTGCCAGCGGCGCCGGCGGCTCTGTGGCTTTCGAGCGGCGCATGCGACGCAACAACATTTACCGAGTTGACTGATGCCCTGGGAGCCCTCGTCCGGACCTGCAGTCGCCAGCACCAGAGGAGGCCGATGCTGTACTTGGGAGGCCTGAGGCTCAAGTGTGCGAGGCTCGCCAAGCTGGAGCGGCTGGGCTATGAGTAAGCAGGGCCCATTACTAGATGATCTCTGCTTGTCCACCATTCCACTGCAATTAGCGGCCTGTAATGCTTGAAACAATGACTATTGTGCCTATTAATTCATTCACGGTTATACTTTTTTCTCATTCTGATTTTCACAGGCTACAGGCGAAGTTTCGTCATATGAAAACAATCGTGCGCCGGTTCATGCGGAGAGACGTGACGGCGCCGTGGCCTGGAGCCTCAAAGGAACATCTCACAAAGCTACGGCGTTATCGCCAGGCGAGCCGGAAACAGTTTCCGGCTTCTGCCGTGGACACGACTGCAGATTCCGAGTCGAGCCCAGCCACGACACAGATCGTTGGACATCCTGTCGACAATGCCACCCTTGGGCCCCACGCCGCGTCGGGTTATCGCTTCACGGAGCAGCACGGAGGGCCCCAGGGCCACACAGTATTCACAGGCCACATGGGGCCCAACACAGAGGACACCCATGACTTGGACATCGATGACATCTTCTCGGCGCTCGGCTGCTGAAGAGTGTGAGCGAGCCTGCCCATGAAGTTTGCACGGTTTTCTGTAGCCATATTGTATTGCTGGGCAGGTTTCTTTGAAATGTGATTTGGTTTTTTAAAATGTTTTTTTTATATTTTTAAACACTTCTATTTCATTTGACTTCAGAGTTATGCCGCGATTCATACTGCCTTACCCATAAGCAAGCACATTGCACATGTCACCCTGGAATGCGCCTCATCTCAACACACCTCAGAAGCTAAGCTGGGCAGCAGAGGACAGTGCAGCTATCCATCGTATTGTACTTCTATGGTTCCACGTCCATGCTCCCCGCATTCAGGTCTACTGCAGGGCAGGTCATGGCCCCTGAATGGATGAGAGAAGAAAAAAAAGTTCCAGCAGGTGTTACCACCATCAAATACCCTACTGTGCAATATTCCTTAAGGACCCTGTACTCGCTCTGCAATATATGCAGACCTCGCTGAACGCCTGGGTTATGTTCCTAGGTTTCACAAATAAGAGACATGGGAAACAGGGTTGCATGCCTTGTTCATAAATGACCACCCCCTACCTCTTTGTTGAACTAAATGTTCAAAATTTGCACCCCTTGCTATTTTACTAAAGTATGCTGAGTAACTCGCCATCTCTTGTGCGCGTGTTCACTCTTTGTTTTTTAAATTGACCTTAACACATCCCCCCCCCCCGCTCCATCCCTCTCCCGCACCGCGACACTCGCACCTGACGCTCGCCCCTACCAGCCCGACGCTTGATTCGCCATCGAGGCGTCCATCTGACCGACGTTCTCAACGGGTGGACAAATGGATGCATGACGCAAGATGTGAACATTTGCGTGCTGCTTGTTGAGCGAGTTACGTTATCGCACGAAAAACCGCGCGCGATGACTACGCCGTTCTCACGATCGATTCAGTCGCAACGTCCAACGGACGCGGCACTCTTCACGGCAACGCTCTTCGACGCCGGGACGATGTTTTTAGGAGCGTCTAACCGCGTGCAGCCGAAACAATCTCCACTATGAAAATAGGTTTCCCCCTTTTTCCTGGCAACAAAACGTGTTAAGATGTTAAAACACCAAACTGAATCTGTTTTACAAGGAATCATGTCTGCATTAATGAAATACTTGTCAGAATGCAAACAAAAAACGTACTCTGATAATATATGCGTTGTCTTTGAAACCGATTGGTCCACACCAGAGACAGCTTTCTTTTGAGCCGAGTCACAAACGGTGTTTGACCAGAGGACGCCAAAAGGCGTACGCCTACGTAAAGTACGTTTGAGACTCAGCTCGTAAGAAAGCTGTCTCTAGTGTGGACCAATCAGTTTCAAAGACTGCATATATTATCAGAGTATGTTTTTTGTTTGCATTCTGACCACAAGTATTGTGGTTAATGCAGACATGATTCCTTGTAAAACGGTTTCAGTTTGGTGTTTTAACATCTTAACACCTGTTTTGTTGCCAGAAAAAGGGGGGAAAACTTATTCTCATATTTTGGTACTGGCAAAGGAGGTCCCATGATGAATCTCCCGGGTGTTCCGGAAAACAGACCTCTTCAGGTCAACCGTGTTGTGCCGGAACCCGCGTTCGAGAAAGCCACGTTGGGCAAGGTTTTCCTGTATTCATGTGTTTTGTTGTTGCTGTGCTCACGCGAAACATGCCCATCTATCTAACAAATAAACTTAAGGTCTTGATTGGCCGACTAAAATTTGTATCATGGATACACGCTTGTTTACCCAGGAAAGCTTTACTTTTTTCCATGAGTGCCCTGCCAAGTTTTATGCAATAGGGGGCGATGTTGATGCTGTCGTGTGCGATCCCAACAGAGCAGTGACCTGCGGGTGATTTTCCAACATCGAAATGGACAAGAAAGACCCAGTTCCCACGGTGTGATGGTTTTTTGTTTTAGCTCTGCAAGGAACCTGAAGGAACCCCCCCCCCCCCCACGTAGGCCAGACGGCGTACAAGTTCCTCTCGATGCCAACACTCTTGCAGGACAGGGTGAGAACGACCTCAAGCACAGCAAGGCCGAGTCATGGGGGTGGGGTGGGGGAGTCGAGCCCAGGATCCTGCTGTGATGATGCCACCGCGAGCCGGGGTCACCAGGGAGACGGGGCCCTGGGTCACGGAGGCGGAGCTCGGCACACGGAAGGGAATCGGCGTCTCTCCTCTCCCGTTTCTCCTCTCTCTCGTCTCTCTCTCCCCTCTCTCGCCTGCCCTCCACGTCGTGTCTCGGGCTCCAAAGGAGCCGTCTCCCGGGTGTGAGCCGCAGCTCGACTCCGCGCCGCCCCCAGAGTAAGTGGCCGTGGTGATGATGATGATCGCGTCACCCCCCCCACCTCGTCCCTCTCCCCGCGTAAAGCGTTCACAGATGAATCCTACAGTACTACTGTGTGTGTGCTTTAATAGTCATCACGTGTTACACCGTGCGAGGTGCGTGTGTTACGCTATAGGGCAGTGTACCATTACATACCGTGTGGTACTGCGTATCGCGTGCGCTATATGACATCCATGGACAATCCCGGGCAGTATACAAGGCACGGCGACGCGAGCGCTGCGTATTCCAAAGTGCAGTAGCGGCGAACACGCGGGGAGTTGCTTCGTGTGGGACGGGGCTCGTTACACCAAGATCGCCGGGCACACCGCGTCTGGGGGGCATGTGGCCACGTGGGCCGTTACCAGCCGGCGACTTCATCTCACCCAGCCCACGACTTCATCTCACCCAGCCCGCCACTTCAACTCACCCAGCCCACGATTTCATCTCACCCAGCCCACGACTTCATCTCACCCAGCCCACGACTTCGTCTCACCCAGCCCGCCACTTCAACTCACCCAGCCCACGACTTCATCTCACCCAGCCCGCCACTTCATCTCACCCAGCCCACGACTACATCTCACCCAGCCCGCCACTTCAACTCACCCAGCCCACGACTTCATCTCACCCAGCCCGCCACTTCATCTCACCCAGCCCACGACTACATCTCACCCAGCCCACGACTTCGTCTCACCCAGCCCACGACTTCATCTCACCCAGCCCGCCACTTCATCTCACCCAGCCCGCCACTTCATCTCACCCAGCCCACGACTTCATCTCACCCAGCCCACGACTACATCTCACCCAGCCCGCCACTTCATCTCACCCAGCCCGCCACTTCATCTCACCCAGCCCACGACTTCATCTCACCCAGCCCGCCACTTCATCTCACCCAGCCCACGACTACATCTCACCCAGCCCACGACTTCGTCTCACCCAGCCCACGACTTCATCTCACCCAGCCCACCACTTCATCTCACCCAGCCCACCACTTCATCTCACCCAGCCCACGACTTCATCTCACCCAGCCCACCACTTCATATCACCCAGCCCGCCACTTCAACTCACCCAGCCCACGACTTCATCTCACCCAGCCCACGACTTCATCTCACCCAGCCCACAACTACATCTCACCCAGCCGTCCACTTCAACTCACCCAGCCCACGACTTCATCTCACCCAGCCCGCCACTTCATCTCACCCAGCCCACGACTACATCTCACCCAGCCCACGACTTCGTCTCACCCAGCCCACGACTTCATCTCACCCAGCCCACCATTTCATCTCACCCAGCCCACCACTTCATCTCACCCAGCCCACGACTTCATCTCACCCAACCCACCATTTCATCTCACCCAGCCCACCATTTCATCTCACCCAGCCCACGACTTCATCTCACCCAGCCCACCATTTCATCTCACCCAGCCCACCATTTCATCTCACCCAGCCCACCACTTCATCTCACCCAGCCCACGACTTCATCTCACCCAGCCCACGACTTCATCTCACACAGCCCACGACTTCATCTCACCCAACCCACCATTTCATCTCACCCAGCCCACCATTTCATCTCACCCAGCCCACCACTTCATCTCACACAGCCCACGACTTCATCTCACCCAACCCACCATTTCATCTCACCCAGCCCACCATTTCATCTCACCCAGCCCACCACTTCATCTCACCCAGCCCACGACTTTATCTCACCCAGCCCACGACTTCATCTCACCCAACCCACCACTTCATCTCACCCAGCCCACGATTTCGTCTCACCCCGGCCCCAGCCACACGAAGCCCCCAGCAATTTGAAAGGACCCGCAAACAATATTTATTTTCGCAATGGGGGAGGCGATGTTGCTGCTTTCGCGCGTGATCCCAATTGAGTAGTAATTTCAAAGGGAGTTTTTCCAATATCGGAATAGACAATACCAGTTCCACTGTATGATGTTTTTAGTAACTGAAAACCGACATCATTGTTATCCAAAGGAGTAAAGATTATCCCTCTTAAGCACGGTTTGCATTGGTATTGGATACTGTAATGCCAAGTTGTTGTTTGGCCAATGCTTGATCCGCCAAAGGGTATTCGTGAAATTCCTAGTCCGCCCTCGGTAAAATTAAGCGATTGCTTAAGCCCTGGCTTAAACCCCGCATCTCACAGATTACTTGGTTCTTTCGGTAAAGTCACGTAGATAGAACATTAATTGATCACGACGTTTCGATCGCAACACAAGCAAACGTCATCAGGTGAGACAAACACAGCAGTTCTACTGCTGTGATTATCCAACATCGGAATGGACAAACACAGCAGGATAACTGCTGTGTTTGTCTCACCTGATGACGGTTGCTTGTGTTGCGATCGAAACGTCGTGATCTGTTAATTTTCTACCTACGTGACTTTACCGAAAGAACCAAAGAGTATGGATTCCTGCAGTCACGAAAGCTTCAAATAAGGATCTCACAGATTCTAAATCTGTATCTCACCAATCGGTATTTCTCTTACGTCGTGGAGAGCCATCATATTGGCGGGCCACTCTGCTTGGTGGTTACGTATCAGCCCACGGGGGCTGTAACAGCGTTGCTGCTATGCAGGAACCACGGTGGCCAGTGATCAGATCCGTATGAAAGGGGAAACGAACCGTGGTTGTCATAGGATCTGTCACGCCCGGTTTGCCGAGATGCCATGTCTCAATGTCCTTTATTTAACCAGGTGAAGCGTCATTGACGTTCGTTGCCCGGGTTTTAAGGGTGCACTCGCAAATTTTCGTTTTAAAAAAAAGTTATTTTCGTATGTAAAACTGATCTCGAATCTGCAGGTAGCTTTTAATTTCGATTTTAGGTGTGGCCTTGACACAATGTCCAGCAAAAATTGTATCGAAGAGGTATTTTTTGCATTTGCTTCGTATTCAGACATTGCTCACTGTGAAGTCAGAGATACGTCATTTTGGGCCTGGCAGCACGTGATGCTCGAAGCGATGATGGCCCCCGGTGGTCAAGACCGACCTTGGAGTCGCAGCCGAAGGAGGGAACGCGCCTGAGAGAATGTCTGCGGCGGAGATGCAGCGACGAAATCCGTTCATGTGGGGGCGCTAGATTGTTACGTCGCGGGACGATGAGGGATTGCGACGGGCTAGGGGAGGCCATCGTCCAGTAGTGGATAGAGCATGGCTGCTGCTGATGACTATTTTAAACCTGCAGATTAGAGGTTTTAAATTCGATTTTGACTGGCACACACACACACAATGGCTTTAACAAATTGTATGAAAATTTATTTAAAATTTACTCACAGTAGACGTTTATTTTTTCGTAAATTACTCGCCGTAATACAGGGCGGCTGTAACAAGAATTTTTATCGTGAACTGGCTCGGGAGTGAACATGTGGCCCGCCAGCCCATGTGACTGCTCTAACCCTCGATCCCCCTCTGCCTTGCAGTCGCAGTGCTTCCAGCGCCGTGCAGCGATGAGATTCCTGCTGGGGTTGCTGGCGTCAGCCGGCCACTGGCTGCCGATCGTGCTGACGAGCACCATGGTGGCGATAGGTGTTCGCGCAAGGGAACCTGCTCATCCTGAGCCAGGGGGCGGCTGAGGAGGGCTCGTGGGAGTCACTGCCCTCTCTGCTTCTTGCCTGGCTGCTGCTGGCTGGGGTGCTCGGTAACATTGGACTCTTCATGTGGAGAGATCCGAGCATCAAGAAGGTGTTTCTGCCATCCCACCAGGGTCAAGGATGGAGGTTGGGAACATTTCATGTTGCAGGGGTGGGGGTTGAGGGTTAGGGTTTTCAAAGTCACAAAGTCCCCTCCACGCACGATGCTCCTTCACGCTACCCGCAGTGCCAACATGGCACACATTCAGTTACGGTGGTGGGAAGTGCACCAGATGGTTTTATGCATAATAACAACATTAATTACCCATCACATGTGTTATTCATTCAAATTACATCTGAAAATGCTTTAGAAGTTATAACACGAACAGATTTTGCACAGAGGCCTGGGAAACCACAGACTAGAGAGTAACCAGCACCACAAATTGCCAAAGCTCTGTGGTTCTATATTTCTATGTTCAACTCTATTCGTGAGTTTTTACACACGTGGAAGAGAACCAGAATACCCAGGAAAAAGCCCGCACCGGCTAAAATCCGCTCTACAGAGCAAAACCGTTGGTGGCGAGACCCCTGACTTTTTTTCCTGCGTGTGCCACCCTCCCTCCGTACCCCCTACCCCCTTTCCCATGTCGGCCGCAGGTACTGCTACCACTGCGAGAGCTACGTCCCTCCACGCAGCCACCACTGCTTCGAGTGCCACGTGTGCGTGCTGCGCCGCGACCACCACTGCGTGTTCTTCGGCCGCTGCGTCGGGTTCGCCAACTTGCCGGCGTTCCTCGCCTGCCTCCTGCACCTGTGGCTGGGACTGCTCTACTCGCTGGTGCTCAATGCGCACACGCTCGTCGCCCTGGTGCAGCAGGGCTTCGGCGTCCGCCTGCTGCTCTCGCTGTTCATGCCCTGGCTCATGTGGATCCTGGGTGAGTGAGTGGAGCTCCGTTTGAGATCTTCATAATCGGACGACAGGTGCTGAGGTTTCTATTTGAGCCGGGCCAATTGGTAGATTAGGTTGGTTAATCGACTACTTTTTTGCGGGCGATTACTTGATTCCGTTAGTGAGTGTTTGGCTTTGTGTGGGAGGAAACTGGAGGATCTAGAGAAAACCCAAACGTATGAGGGGCTGACACTGAAAGCTCTGCACAGATAAATTCATTTAAACATTCGTTGACTCATTGCTGTGCTGCTATTTACTGGCCACCTCAAAGATAGTAGTAAGGACGATCGTGATTGTCGGTGAGTTTGGTGCATCCTTTCATAACATTCTAAATTCAGAAAACGTCCAGCTGTAGCAGAGACACATCGACCCTTTGAGTTTCGCAGACGGCACGCGTTGATGACGTGGAAGGAATTGTCTCATCTGCCGTCGGCGGTTTGCTGGGCTGCGTGTGTTCGTGTTCGGCGTGCAGGCCAAATGAATTCACGGGACTTCCTGAGCACGTTCGTCGCCGATATGAGCTTTGTGGGATTCCTGTTCGTGAGTGGCATGCTGGCGTTCCACATGTGGATTGTGGCGCATGGCCAGACGTCGGCAGAGTGGACACACGGCTTCAAGCGCTACGACCTGGGCCTCCAAAGAAACCTGCAGCAGAGCCTGGGCGACCGCTGGTACCTGCTGTGGCTCTCCCCGTTCCTCCCGGCGCGACTCCCACCGGGGGACGGGATCCACTTCACTGAGGGACACTCGGCAGCGTCCCAAACGGCGTCGCCGCCAGCGGCACCCTCGCGGCGTGGTGCTCGCACGGTCAAGAATCTCTGAGTCGGCGGACACCTGGGTGGCCGGGGTTCATCCGTTGCTCCAAGAGCTGAAGTGTCGGCTGATGTAACGATCGCCAGCGCGGCACCGTCGCGCCCTCCTTGAGTGAGTCGGGTTAGCGGCGGCGCCAGAGATGGGTCCCACTTGACCGGCGCCTTGATCTCAGGAGATGATGGGATCCTCTGAATCAAAAACGCTCCATTGCTCCGCTTGGTTTTGTTTTTATTATTTTTATATTTCTGACTTGTCAATCAGGTGCATGATGGCTCGATTTTGTACGATGTATTGATGTGTGTGCCTCCATCGTGATGTTTTACATAATAAATGTGAGATGACCTTTGGCTACAGTGTGTCCCTTCAATCTGTGAAATGCCAACGCCAGCATGCGGTCCCCACTGTCGCGGTTGCCTCATCCCGTCGCTTGGCACCGGGAGATGGCGGAACTGGAAACCTTCACTCTCCTTAACCGTCCTCCGCAGGGAGCCTGAGTTCAAATCTCTCTCTTATTCTCTTCTGTCAGTCATGACGTGGCGGCTAACGCTGAGGCTGGACAAACTTTTTCCACTCCTTTCTCGTGTCGTGGCGATCACTTCCAGGAAACCTATGTTCTTCTCTGTTAAATCCTTTATGCCATCGCTCCACCTCTTCTGTAGACGTCCCCTGTTTTTTGCACCTTCCACATGGCAGTGCAAATCCGCTGATGGAGGGAATTTTTTTGTCTCCGTTCATATTACCCGTCCAAATTGAAGACGTCTGTGTCCTTTGCACAAGAGTCTCATGCTGGCCTAGCTTTTTTCCTTGCGAGCAGGTTTCTAATTCACGGGCGCAATTAGAGTCATCCATCAGGTGGATGATGCACTTCTTGTAGAATACACATTGACCAAAAAATCGAGCACTGATTGATAACCTTCATGGAATCGGCACCAGCTCAGCTTTGGGTTTCGCTGATGGCTCCTCTCGGCGGCTTCTGCACGTGTGCCACGGTGCGAGGTCACGAGTGCCGACCGTGTCGGGGCACTAATGGAATCACTTTTGTAACAGGAGCCAGCAGCAAGGGCGTTCAGCCCATCCATTTTTTGCTATGACACCACCGGATGGGCATGACCGACGTTACATCTGCCTGCCCGCCCGGCTGCCCATCCGCATGCAGTGGCGCCAGTGGGTGAGTGGTGCGGACGGGAGGAGCGAGTTGTGCGTTCACATCTTGCCGCGAGTCCATCGATTAAGAGCCTCGGCACACGAGAGAGCGGCACACTAAGGTCGTAGTGGCGTCAGGCGACGACTGACGGGCGTTCTCAGTGCCGCCCTGAGCCCCGGGTTTCATCCGTCGCTGCCGACCAGACTGAGGTCGTCGGCTGATCGCTGGCCAGGCGCTGCAGTGACCCAAAGCCACCTACCGGGACTTCTCCACGATCCGACAGCGATCTCATCCCCAAGGAGGAGAAGCAAGAAAGGCGAGTGGCTTCGAAATCTTCAACAGTCCCAAGCGTGAACGTTTTCAGCCATGGAGAGGCGAGCAGATGCGTGGGGTCTGGCTGGCTCACGAGCGGGCTAGGCCTCCCACCTACTCAGGACGCAGGAACACCAGGGCGGCTGTGGCAGCCACGCGCATGTGTGCGAGGGTGGCGATGGTGCTGGGGTACTGTGCTGCTCGTCTCCCTCGTGGCCATCATCCTCAGCGCCTACTACGTCTTCGTGTGGGAGCCAGGTGGAGGCCACCGACGGCGACTTGAGCTCCACGCCCACTGCTGGTCCCGATGCCGGGCAGGCACGGCCCATCCGTCCGCGGCCACGGAACAAACACCGACAGCCGGGGATGCCGCTGACCTCCTCGGCTCGTCTCGGCGTCCCGCTTGACGCAGGAGACGAGTCGGGCGCGTGTACGGCAACGTAGAGGTGCGGCTAACGAAGACCAGCCTCGAAGATGACCCCATCTCTCCCGCCGGTCGCCGCAGGACTATGGTGTAAAGCGTGCTACACACGGCTCACCACTTGTACGGCGGTACACGGTGGGCGGTGTGCGTATCTGGAGCAGTAGCGCGCTACGAACCCGGCGACCCGAGTTCGATTTCTGCTCACGGGCAACACCAGTGACGATTATCTAAACCGGTCCTGGGCCTCTCCTAGGTTGACTCGGCCTCAAATGAGTACTTGCACGGTTATTTAAACATCGCCACAAGGGAGACAAAGGCGGCCGGGGGTAGTGCTGGCCACCTAAGACGTCGTGTGCCGTCCCAGGCTTCGTCGGTGCTCGCTCACAGCACTCGCCCCCAACGAGTCTGTGACGGCTTGTGGGGGGTGCAGCAAAGATGCGACGTGCGTTCACATGTGCTTGCAGCTGTCATTACGCAACCCCGGTACCACCACGAAGAGATGCCGCGGGCATGAGGCTGCAAGCTGTGCAGGCTCTCGAGGTGCTCGAGGGGTTTGATGCAATCGCGTTCGTCTCTCTGTGCCGCGGCTTGTCGCGCGTGTGCGCGCGCGTGTGTATTTAAGGGGTAGAACGAAGCATCGATCATTGTCGATTTTTAAGCTGCGCCATGTGTTCGAGTCGATTTGTAGACATTGTTACGGCCGCTATATTTAGCACATTGGTAAATGTACAATATTTAATCCAATCGCTAGGCGGGAGCTCAAATTTTGCACCCCTGATGGATGCGCAATGTAGCCGAGATGGATGCCAAAATATCGTGTAATCGCATCTGCACAAAGTTGCGTATATAAAGGCATAACCTGACGTTAGAATATAGTAGTAGTATCCATTTGTAGAGGTCTTTATCCAGCAGTGGACAGATCGTGGCTGATGATGATAATGACGATTTGGAACTCACAAGTTGCTTACTTTATATCCTGCCATAAAAATGCCTTGCGTCTTTCTCGTCCACCTGACACTCAAAGGCCAGAAGCGTTCTTTCGTCTCGAACATCAGGCAACCTGGCGTCACCGTCTTTTTTTTAGCGAGACTGCTGCGTGTGTACATACACGCAGCTGCATGGCTATAGCATATCTCCGGGAAACTAACAGACATGTGGATACATTTAGATTTAAAGCTTTCGTGACTGCAGGGATTCATATTAATGGTTCTTTTAGTAAAGTCACGTAGAAGGGAAACAATAAAATAATAAAAATATAAAACAATAACATTCTCACGACGTTTCGACTGCAACACAAACAATCATCATCAGGTGTGAACACAGAAATAAAATGTTCTTGCTGTGTGTTTCACACCTGATGATGATTGCTTGTGTTGCAGTCGAAACGTCGTGAGAATTTTATTGTTTTATATTTTTATTATTTTATTGTTTCCCTTCAACGTGACTTTACCGAAAGAACCAAGAATATAGACACGTGTATATTTTATATATATGTAATAAAGTAGCGCCGACACGAAGTTGGGGGGTAGGTCCGTGCTCTGTTTTCCCCCAGTCCACACTTGCCCAAGGCCCCTCTCCCAATCCGTTCCCCGCCAGAATGCCCCCAGCCCACCTCCTCTATCTCCTCGCCTGCTCCACCAACTCTTCCACTTCTAGATTTGAAGCTTTTGTGACTGCAAGGATTCATATTCTTAGGTTTTTTCGGTAAAGTCACGTAGGTAAAAAATTAAAATTAATAAAATAAAAATAAAATAAAAATCACGACGTTTCGGAGGCAACACAAGCTTCCGTCTTCAGGTGGAACCGTCACAGCACGATAGCTGTATCAAGTGAGACTCCAGTTAGCAAGTGAGATACACTAGATACAGCTATCGTGCTGTGACGGTTCCACCTGAAGACGGAAGCTTGTGTTGCCTCTGAAACGTCGTGATTTTTATTTTATTTTTTATTTTACTTTTATTAATTTACATTTTTTTACCTACGTGACTTTACCGAAAAAAACCTAAGAATATGAACTCTTCCACTGTTCCCGCTCCACTGCCCACTCACCCACCCTCCTTCCTTTTGACGGGAAATCCTCTCCATGGCCCTTTTCCCACCGCCCATCTCCATTCCTACCCCCTGACATCCCCCTGCCATCCACGCAGACGGAGATGTAGATCCGAGCTGCCGCCGTCCCAAGGCCATCTCTGCGACCACGCTGTGTCACGCAGCACAAGGCGGCCAAGTGCGTTCGCGTTAGCGATGGCACGATTGAAGCGATGTGGCACGTAGACCCCCACGAGATGTTCGTCGGAGCCGCTTACGCTCAGCGAGCAGGCGTCTGACAACATTTATATATTTACGCGATCTAACCCAATGATGATATTGGTCGCGAAAGCCTCCGTGTTAAAACTGGCATCTGAGTGTTGGAGTCACGATCCGGAACGGAGCCTGCCACATCGCTGCGCGCGGAGGCGAGGCGTGCGGATGATCCCCGGTGTCTTGATGCATAGCCGTCAACCCATCCGGTTTGCCCCGTATTCTTGTGCAGGGAAATTGCGTTTTCAGGTCCATACGGCGTACAGTCGTTTCAATACGGGCAAAAATAATGTTTTTGTCTATCAGTTTCGTGTTTCTCCCTTGTGACGGGCCTTTTAGGATGAACGTTGAGATGTATAAGGGGCACGGGTTGACCAATAATGTCTGAATTGGTCTGTAATAAGATAGGCACTGATAAGGGGCTGACAGATATGCCGATGCAATAGGTGTGTGTGTGTCTGTGGTTGGTGTTTTCCTTGATGCTTATCAACATAGACGACTGCTTTTAGATTTGAAGCTTTCGTGACTGCAAGGATTCATATTCTTTGATTTTTTTCGGTAAAGTTACGTAGGTAAAAATATAAAAAAATATAAAAAAAATAATAGAAATAATAATAGAAATACAATAATAAATCACGACGTTTCGGAGGCAACACAATCTTCCTTCATCAGGTATAAAAATGCAGCAAAATAACTGTATATTTAAAGCCCCATCACAAATAACTCCCACTACAGTTATTTTGCTGTGCCTTTTTTGACACCTGATGAAGGAAGCTTGTGTTGCCTCCGAAACGTCCTGATTCATTATTTTATTTCTATTATTATTTCTATTTTTATTATTATTTATTTTTACCTACGTGACTTTACCGAAAAAAAATAAGACGATTGCTGCCATCTCTCCGGATTGCCCCCCCCCCCACCACTCCTCCCACGTGCTGGCATGGACTGCTTTCATCAAGCCGCCGCCGCTGCTGCTATTGGCTGCTCGCTGATCAGATGGCAGAGCCACAAAGCGTTCTATTCTTGAATCTATCTGTGCGGAGCTTCGGAGCTATACCACCACATTACACACTATGTTTTCTCTGGATATCCCGGGTTCCTCCCACATGAAGGAAAACTTTGATTAATGGGGAAAATTCCAGTCCTGAGACTCGGTAAGGCTTTCGAGGATTCAAGGACATTATCATTGCCATTGATGTCGATTTTGCTGCTGCCTCTGAGGCTGCTGCTGCTTCTGACTTTTGCTGCTGCTACTGCTGCTGTCGAAGTTGCTGCCGCTTCTGATATTTCGGCTGCTGCTGCTGCCACTGGCGTTATTTCCGCTGTTGCTGCTGCTGCTCCCCTGTCAGTCCTCATCCCCCCCACGCTTCACGCCTCCACCAACAACTCCGTTTCGAAAGAGCCGAGCTTGTGTGGGCATCTCCGCTCACATCAACCGCCCCTCCCACGCGCTTCACTGCGCATCGCTGAGCCTAATAGCCTCGAAGCCGCCCACCCCCCCCCCCTTCGGCACATAAAACACACAAAGTGATATTTAGTGGTGTATGTTCGAAAATAGGTTTTTGTTTCTTTTCACCAACAACAAGAAAAAAGAGTGCACCGACAAGAATGCCAGCTTGCCCAGGGGAATTAATTGCTCGCGCGCAGATTAGTCTTGCGAAGGCGCACATGGCTCGGAGGAGCTGAGCTTCTGGCGCTGAATTTTATTTGTAAAAAAATTCCCAAACGTTGGTCCCGGTTGTCGAGCCACCGAGGCGAAGATTCAATTCGGAACTGTCGCAGAGCATATTCTTGGTTATTTCGGTAAAGTCACGTAGAAGGGAAATAATAATATAATAATAAAACATAATACAATTCTCACGACGTTTCGGCCACAAAGCAAGCAGCCGTCCTCAGGTGAAGAACAGAGCTGTCTGAAAGACAGCGTCCTAATGAACACTGCCAAGCTTGGCAGCGTATCTTAAGCTGGGTGGGAGTAGGAGAGCTCCTTGACAAAGGAGTTTACATATCAACAGGGGAATTTAGCATGTTGATGACTCCTTGAGGAATGTGTAGGCGGTGGGGGGTCTCCAAGTCACCAAGAATATGAATCCCTGCAGTCACGAAAGCTTTAAATCGAAAAATGTCGCAGAGCAGTTCTAAGCCTCGTTTTACATAACGGCCCACAGGAGTGGATATCACGAAGCTACTTATGAGATATCTTCGAGTGAGCTGAATGTATCCCAAAGCTCTAATATAGCAGAGCTATCTACACAGTAGAACCACATTTAACGTGATTTTTTTGCTTTTTAATGTGCGAGCAGTCACTGGTGACGAGGGCTGGAATCGACCTGAGATTACACTGCACCCTACGGAACACGTGGCACGTGTCCCTGTGGGATGCGGCTCATGACACCGCGGATTTCAGATCTACAGCGATGGACAAGTCGCGTCCCCCAGAAAATAAACAAACAGACGAGGGTGGATGAGAGAAGGCGAATTCAGATCAAAGTCCCAGCAGGTGTTGAGTGGCTGACCTAGCCCCCACACCACATCTCCTGTCACCACCCCCTCCTCTCCATTGGTCGTGGGGCAGTTGGGCAGAGACAGGCGTCAGCTTCCATCCACATCCATCTGAACTCCCCCCTCCGTCGCACATATGCAGTTGAGCAAAGAGACACTCGCACGGAGACAGGCACAGTCACGAATACACTGACACACACGGAGAAACAGACATTACACGCAATGACACACAGACACACATGCATGTGCCATTGTAAACACCTCACCTGTATGGACTCATGTCTCCTGTTCAACACAGCTCTATTAAACTCTTTTCAAATCCAACATGGTCTCAAGATTCTAATTGTGCGTCCTATGTTGGGATTTGTGATAATTGTTCACTGTATTTCAACTAACTAGCTTTTTTTGCCCGTACAAGGACGGGTGTATAATGCAGTAAATCTGAAATATTCAATAGAACAATTGTTCAGCTGATGATTATTAATGAAGGGAGGGGTTGCCCCATGTGGAGTGACGTCACCCGCTAATGGTTATTGGGGAGGGGTGCGGCATGTGGAGTGACGTCACCCCCTCATGGTTAATGTGGAGGGGTGCGGCATATGGAGTGACGTCACCCGCTCATGGTTATTAATGAGGGGAGGGGTGCGGCATGTGGAGTGACGTCACCCGCTCATGAATATTAACGAGGGGAGGGGTGCGGCATGTGGAGTGCGCGACCTTCTTGTGCATTCATGTAAATTTCCACGCGTGGTGCATGAATATTAATGAAGGTGGGGGGGAGGGGCTCTTTTGCAGTGACGTCACGCACGGATGTAGCACTGTGCTGCGTAGATTTATTTTTTACCGTCACAATCTGTAAAGAAACGTCATATTTGAAGCGACTTTGCGTAATAAATTATTTAATTCAGCTCGACCTTCCTCTGCATTCGTGTAATAAGTATAACCAGTAAAAACAAAGTTTTTCACTATAAATCTTTTATATGCGTGGCGGCTAGAGTCCTCTCGTCCTCTTGCTTGAGATGGCTGCCACCTATGGGTCAGATGTTGGCATTGCACTATTAAGCAATTGGTAATTAAATCTATTTTTGTCCTAAAAAGTGTAAAATTTTGGAAAAAAAATTACACGGACATTAATTGTCACGCACAACGAGTCTGTGTGGAAAATGTCAGCTCGATTGGATCACGGCAAGTGGGTTAAAAAACGACCGAAAGATTTGCACGGTCCTAAGCAAGCAAGCGAACTTAATATAAAGGATGTAAAAATACATCCATTCATGAATATTAATTAGGGGGTTGGGCCTCATGTGGTGTGACGTCACACAGAGAGGTGGGCCTCATGGAGTGACGTCACACGCAGGACGGACAGACATTTCTGGGCGATTATTTATTTAATGGGAAGAAACATCAAAAACAGATGTCGTTTCGCACGTGCGCATCAATCCCTGGGCCGCAACACGGCCACGGATTTTGAGGGCCCCCCAAAATATATGAACAATATCGAGCTTTAGCACTATGCTTATTAACATGACATTTGTTTGCTGCCAGGAAAGCCGCACCGAGTCTCAAGACTCCTTCAGGAGGGTCCTGCCAAGCTTTTGCAGTCGGGACCCAATGTTAATGTCATCCATCTTCTTGGTTATTTCGGTAAAGTCACGTAGAAGGGAAGTAATAAAATAAAAATAAAACATAATAAAATAATTCTCACGACGTTTCGGCCACAACGCGAGCAGCCGTCCTCAGGTGGAGAACAGGTCCGTCAAGTCGATAGAGTCTGACCGAAACGTCGTGAGAATTATTTTATGTTTTATTTTTATTATTTTATTACTTCCCTTCTACGTGACTTGACCGAAATAACCAAGAAGATGAATCCCTGCAGTCACGAAAGCTTTCAATCGAAATGTCATCCAAGTTGAGTGCTGTAATCTGCATGTAATTTCCGCAGCATTGGGCTATTTGGGCAATACCATTGTCTAATTTTGGACCATACAGTAAAAGCACTGTAGGTCTGCTCGTCACTAAAAGCCTTCTCGTGGCGAGCAGACCGAGGCACTGGCATTTAGCTCTCAAATATATTGCCATCATACGCAAGAAGCGAATGTTGTAGTTGCGGGAAGAAACGGGAAAACCCGGAGAAAACCCATGCAGAACATGGGGAGAACACAATACCCCAGATTTGACGAATATATTCTGTACTCCGTTCCTCAAGAGGCCAATTGCATAATACCTCGAGTGAAGCATTTCCCTTGAATTGGTTTAGGCAACCACAGGGAAAATGCGATTCTGTTACGCGAACGCCTACACCACCACGTCCCACGACGCGCGATGTTAAATCTCCGCGGGGCTCGCGCGCGACTATAAATGTTTGCTTTAGCAGAGCGCGCCTCCCTGAAAGCGATGATCTCCATCGAGACGACTGAGAGCCACACCTGGGATTACTTAACAGTGGACGTTTATTTTTGGTGGAATCATCATATAGGTGCAACAAACCGTACGCACAGAAGGAAGTCGGCGTGGGGTGAGGGGGGTCAGCATCGTCCGGTTCAGCCATGGAAGAGCGCTCCAACGTTACTTAGCGAACAAATCACGCAAATAATCAAAATGTATACAAACTATACAAGTTTACACGGAAAAAAATGTCACATAAACCCCTACGGGAGAAGGCATCTCTGTCGGCTAACCTGCGCGCGCGTGTAAGCTTCGGGCCCTGATGAGATTTGGTAAAGATCGTCCCTGGAAACTCGATTCCTCATAACTCTCTCCGGCACAGGCATTTTGGCTATTCGTTAAGGTTACACCAAGAACAGTCGACGTGATGCAGGAATGTTTTTTTCCGCTTGCTCCGAATTAAAATGCGAATCGCATACACAACAATACTGGCAACAGTGCTTGGAGCACAGCACTTGAAGTGTTGGGAGGCACAAACTCTGTTTCCATCAGATGATATGCAGTCATGCTTAAAACCTCAACAGTTTTTTTTAAGCTCGAGTTTATTCATAAAAATGTGTTCCGCGACTTCATGTGTCACGGGCACAGGCTTGTCTGATGCCGACAGTAAGCCAGCAGGGCCACACCGGCCACCGAGGTTCCATCGAGCTGCACGAATGCCTGCCGACGATGGCTAAACTAAAAAGTGGCATCTTCCCGGCGAGCCGACGCCCGGGGAGGAGCTCAATCGGCACTCTGAACGCGATTGCGGTGTGAGAGGAGGTTTACTCGGAAGAGAGGTTAACGCGGAAGAGATTTTTCTCGCCATTGGAAACACGGCGACATTTGCAGGTGGCACCGCCGAGAGCGCCACTGTCGGGGACCCACACGCTCGTTTTGGCCGCCGTACAAACAACTAGCGACGTCAATAGCTGCACAAATGAAACCACCGTCATTCAGCAACCAAGGCCGGACGGATGAAGGAAACTATTTTGGTGAGAATTAAGGTGTGGATTTTGAAACGTGAGCGTCCTGCAAGCGGGACGCATGAGGGCATCTGTCGCAACCCACACTGCACCTCCCGCTAATCTCCACCTGGGACGCATTAATGCGGTTCCTCTCTGAAAGCTCTGATTGGACACGACCAAATAAAGTGCAAACGCTTTGGGAGTTTTGAGTGAGAACAAGAACAGTGGCCTACGTGGACACGGATAAGGCTCTGAAGAGGAGAACGGCATCCGTCCACCCTGGGGCTTGAATCCGGGGAGGTGGAGGCGGTGGTGTGAGAAACAACATGAGGCACTGGAACCCAGCCTCCTCCCGGCAACCTCTTCCGAATTAAAGGAGCAGAACGTGGACATGGGCATCTCGCAGCAGTGTTCTCCCTAAGAACACATCATAGAATGTTCAGTTACATGCAAAACTCACTCATCTGGATATGGAGGAGGTTCTAAGCCACTTGACACAAGCCATTGACGATACCATTAAACTCCAAGTACACAAGATAAAATGGGTGGCAAACAGATAAAGGTATTCGATGATCACAAGTTCCTCTCCACGTCACCACACCAAGAAGTATTAGCATAAATAAACAACTAATGTTGCCGAGAAATGAACGGGGCATGAGCGGTGGAGAGTGCGAGGGTCTCCCGGGCTGGCGAGGGTGGCGGCCGTCGTTTTGCCGGGCTAGGAGAGCGCATCACTTGAGCATCTTGTTGGCCTGCTGGTTCGCATCGTCGATACGGGACCTGTTCAGCTCCGCCTGCGGCACAGAAGAAGCGATGTCACTCAGGGGAGGGAGAACCGGGCACTCCGGTTGCCCACCCAACTGACTTAAGCGGCAAGATAGTGCTGACGTTTAAACCTTTTTGCTGCATACTAAAACTTTCAAAGCAAAGAACTGCATCAAAACTGTTTTCCAAATGTTCATTAAGCAGTACAATTAGCTCTGAAAATCGATTTGTAGTAAAAATAATAATTGCAGCCTCCGGCTTTAATCGTTGGGGTTGTGGCGCTAGTATGTCATTCTGGCGTTGTGGGCGCTTTGCAGTGCTTGGTCGTGCAGTGGTTGTGGTGCTGTGTGGCGTGGTGCTTTGTGTTTGTGGGAAATGTGGTGCCTGCAGTGCAGCGAGACCCACCTTCTGGTTGATCTTGTCGATCTGCTTGTTCTGCATGTCGATCTCATTGCCCATGTCCACGGCCATGTGGCGCAGGTTGCTCACGAGGCCGCTCACCTGCACCAGGTTGTCTTCCATCTCATCCTCCCTCGCATCGTTCGTCACGCTGAGAACCGCACACCACCACGCTGTGAGCGACGCCAGCACCGTCCACGAACCGGGATCCATCTACCGCGAGCTGGGAGACTCACAAGACCGTTGAAAAGGCCAAGGCTCTCGGAGCCACTGTGCCGTCAGTTATACCATGATTCTCGGCAGCCCGTAGTCAGTGGCGATAGAGCAGAAGGGAATGCTACTCTGCTAGGAGGCAACACATACCAACAGCACTTGTAGAATGTGAAGGATTTGCTTTTTTAATGAGGGGGAGGGGAGGGTGCTGGTTTTTAAAGAGCAGGCCGTAGGGCACAGGGTAGATGCCCAACAGAGATACCGTGCGTGGAAAATAAAAACACTATGGCCTCTCCATTAATTTGCTTCACAAAGTTGCATTTAATAATTAGTAACAATAGGAAGAAATCCGTGACGTTGTACGTTACTGGCACACCCGGGCACGACATCGTATTCACGAAAATAAAAACTCCACCTTTAACGTTTAACCCTCCAGTCTGGAGTCCATGAGGACAACCGCTGATATCAGCATGCGCTGCCGCCCTCCCCTCTAAGCCCTGGAGTCAGCCCCCCCCCTTCCCCACCAACCGCTCTGCCGCGAGAACCCCTTGCGCCGAGCAAATTGATTGCTACCAGCGCGAGTCCGGGGCGGGGATGTCAGCTGGCATTTATAAAATCATTAACCCTGCCAGAGCATGCTCAACGTAAAGTTCATGGCAATGCGTGAGTCACGCGCTCAAAAAGGCGCTGCCGCGGAGACAGATGAACAAGACCAGCTCGGTATGAGCTCTACCCGCGGGAGGTGAGGGGGAGTGTGTTGCATGGACAATACAGCCCCCCCCCTTCCGCTTCCCACTGTAGACCCCCCCTTCTCATTATGCTGCCCTGGCTACAGACGGCCTCCCCAAGGCCACAGCCATTGCCGCTCATCTGAGCCACAGCTAGAGACAGATGCAGGGACAAATTGTGTGACAAGGCATTCTGGTTGCAGCGTCTGGCAGTTGTGAATGAAGAACACCCCCCTCCCCCAACCACAGTGTCAGTGACCACATGCTTGCTCGTAACACTGGTTAGGGTTCAGCAGTGTAAATGTAACGCAGTGGTAAGGGCCTAAGAAAACAATGTTTAACGCAGTACACCTGACAACTGTGGAGCTTAAATTGCCCAGATCGTAAAATCACTCCTATCAGGCCACAGGTGCAACAGGCTTTTACGAACACCCAACCAAAGCCTTACACGCGCACTCACATATACTGTCAAAGACAAAGATCTCCCATATAGCCTTAACAGAATGTAGGGGCAAGTGCTGTTAGCGAGCACCTATGAAGGCCAACACGGCACACGAGGGGATGGGTGGCCAGCACCACGCCCGGCCGCCTTTGTATCGCCAGTGGCGATGTTTACACACAGCATCAGGTACTCATTTGAAGCTGAGTCGACCTAGGGGACGCCCAGGACCGGTTCAAATAATCGTCACTGGTGTTGGCTGTGAGCGGGAATCGAACTCGGATCACCAGGTTCGTAGCGCAGCGCGCTAACCGCTACACTACAGCTCCCCACTGTATATGCATGAGCACACACAAATGCTTAGGTACGAACACATTCACAGGTATGCAGCCACTTGAATGCACAAATATATAAAACGATAAAAATCTCCCGATTGCATAAATAAGTGCAAGCACTTATTAGGGCCAACACATCGCTTGAAAGGTTGGTGCGGCCAGGACCACTCCTGGTGACTCCCATAAGGTAGAGAACTGGTTCGGATATCAATGACGTTAGCCATGTCTGGGAATCGAACTCGGGTCACTGTTCATAGCACAGTGGGCTAACCGGCACACCACGATCCATTACATCTTTAAATTAATATACAAAAAAACGCACACAACAACAGACGCCATTCACCACTGACAGTGATGTTCCAGCACTCATGCCAGGCTACGTGCACTTTGAGGTCAAGTGATGTTTTAAAGGTTTTGCTGGCTGGTCATGGGACAGACCCAAGTGCTATGGGTTAACCAAATGAGATGACCAGCAGATCCACAACCTACACTCCCCGCAGTGCAAACTAACCGTGTTCTAGCCACCCCGTGCTCTGCATTGGTTTGAGCATTGCTTCTCCGCCCCCTGCCTTCAACTGCCCAGTAGCATCTCCCATGACCTTCCTCCAGAGGGGCTGATGACACAAAGTTCCCCCGTATAGGCTTAGTACTGTTGGGGCAAGTGCTGTTAGCAAGCACCGATAAAAGCTGGCATGGCACACGAGGGGGTGGGTGGCCAGCACCACGCCCGACCACCTTTGTATCCCTAGTGACGATGTTTACACACTGCGCCAGGTACTTATGAGGCCGATTCGACCGAGGGGAGGTTCAGAACCGGTTCAGATAATTGTCACTAGTGTTGGCCATGAGCGGGAATTGAACTCGGGCCGCCGAGTTCGTAGCGCAGAGCGTTAACCGCTACACTACCGCGCACACACACACACGCACGTGGGCCATGGTGGGATGGGCGCGCTTGCATGCTCACTCACCGCTTGATGAACCCTCCGCTGACCTGCATCTGTTCTCGCTCGTCCATGACGCGGGCAGGCTGCGAGGACACCACGATGTCCTGCCCCGAGTTCCAAGTCTTCTTGTAGGCATCGCCCATCTCAAAGTTACGGATTCTTACACACGCACCCGCCACCAGCGTTAACGCCGCACCCAGTCACGCCGGCACAGGGGCCCACAACTGCCCGTGGGCCTCGGGGTGGGGGGTGGGGGGGTGGTGAAGGGGGTGCTCTTGCGGACCGCATACCTCGACACGCAGTATTGCCAACTCCTTAAAGTGGAAAGTCGACAAGCAAACCTTTAAAAAGTCGCCACGTGTTGCTTGGTAGATCTTCTAAAAAGGCATAAAAAATCTCACTAGACAATTTACCGAATGCTGAAATACAGTTAACTGGCACCGGATCCTGAATGCATTCCTTGAATTGCTCCTAAAACTGGGACATTTCTTTGTCCCAGAAAATCGGTTGATTTGTCACTTCTACAAAATGTATAGCGACAACATTTCCGAGTTGGCAACACCACTACCACGCCGCACAGAGCCGCAGGCTGTAAAATGAAGGGTTATGTCAAAGCACGGACGCTTGCATACTCGTCTGTAACGATCATTTTTCATTTGGTCCGTGGCAGTAATGCATTTTTATAAAAAAAATGTCTATAAATCCACGGGAGTTGCTTAATTCCAAATGATGATTATCATTTAACAGTTAGGTGGGAGGGGGGGGGGTTGTTGCATGCATGGTAATCGCTGAACGTTGGACAGCGAATGGCTACCATTGCGCTGTTGCCGAGCATGCGTTGGGTAGTTTTTTGCAAGGCACGGTAAAGCGCGTGAACGCGCACGCGGGTAAGAGCAGCAGCGGCTCTCGGTGGGACGAGGGGGGCGGGGTGAGGGGAGGGGGGGTGCATGCATGCATGCAAACAGCACCTACTTGTCAGACAGACAGACACAAAAGGCCACAGCACTGGGGGCGTCCCGCCTGCTCATCATCGCCCTCGAGGCGAAGGCTCTGACAAAAGCAGGGAGCCTTTACCATCATCACTTGCGAAAGTGAAGCCAGCGGAAGGAGACAGCGAAGAGGACAGAGTGGGGTGGGGGAGGGGTAGGGAGGAGAAGAAAAAGAAAGAGGTGAAAAGAAAGAAAAACACAACAAAGCTGGGAAGCGAGTCCAGTAGTAAGCACCACCGATTACACAGCACGGCAAACGACAAGCTGGTTAATAGCACGTGGGGCACGAGGAAGAACCGCGTTCGCTTTAAATAGGAAAGTGGAGAATACGACAAGTGGTAGGCACGGGATGTGGGGCGGTGGTGTGTGCGTACTTCTTGCAGGGGCACACGCAGAGGCCGCAGCACTTGGATAGGTCAGTGAGGTTCTTCTCGGCCTCCCTCATGTCCTGGTTTATCTGGTCCAGCCCCTCCTCAACTCGGTCCAGTTGCTCTGTGTTTGGGAGGAGCCGAGAGAGAGAGTTGCAGCCACGGCGCACACGGAGCCGCTACGTTCACGCACGACCAGGGCATGAGGCGAATATTCCAGCATGGTCGGAGAGATAGAAAGACGAACGACCTTGTAGGCTCACCCACGCAAATGCAAGAAACGACAGCCGTGGTTTCAAGCAGAGGCTTTGCGGTGCGAAGGACCGGAGGCACTGGCACTGAGAAGGGGCTGCTGCTCTCAGCCCCGTAAAGAGCGGGACTAATGACGACTAGACTCACTGCGAAATAAGTTTTTTTTCTTTTAAACACAAGTGCCAAATGAGAGGAAGCAAATGAACACAAGCTGCAAGCACCAAGGGAAAACCGACAACAAAATATATAAGTCCGTGCTGGGTAATTGAAGGAGGTGCAAACTGTTAAGGGGCACAGCGCACTATCCAATCAGACAACGACCTTCTCCTGGCATGACCCAAAGCAGCCAACCAGGCGACAGCTCCATCGTTAATCCCACCTCTACTGCGATGCCTGGCTCTCTTTTCACTTTTTGTTACATTTCTATTATTGCTTGTGACTAAACCGCATGCCTGATCTCATTATTATGTCAGAAGCAGAGCAGGATGGGTGACCACCAGGACCAACCAAATTGCTGTACGCATGGTATTGCGAGATCAGAATCAGAATATGTATTTATACTGGTGGAACCCGATAAGCTACAAAGCTCTTTTCCACAGATGTCCAGTAGGGGCAGGTCAGAACGTTACAACAACAAACAATACAAAAACAATATAGGAATGCAAAGTGTAGAAAAGGTAAACAGATCATTGATAGATTTCTCGGGGTTCTCTGCTCTTTTCCCACGTGAAACCAAACAATCATGAATGGAATTGGCCACACATCTCAATGCAGGGCTCTCCTGAAAGAGAATCCCAAGACTCAGTGAGGCTATCTTATGTAAATAATTAGCTTTGTTACATAACTATTGTGGCTCACGGTGCTACAGACCAAATCATTTCAAATGCACCCGCAGTCTGGACAGTGCTTGGATGAACAATCACGCACAAACCCATTGTGTCATTGGCTGCTGTGAGACTTCGTGCTGGGCAACAGAGGGGAGTACTGCAAAATCCATTGTTGTGTTCTTTTATGCTTCCACATCTATGCCAACCTCTTCACCAATCTGCACTGACTAGCTTAGTGAAGTACAGTCAATAACCCCCACTTGACGGACACACAAGGTCAGGTACGCCGTCACTAGGTGCCTTACCCCCTTGCTCATCCAGCATGACGAGCGTGCGAATTCCGGCATCTTTGCTCTGCGTACGCGCACGTCACGGAGAAGGAGAGGGGTCAGAGGGCATGAGACGGTGGCATTGAAGGACAAAGTCAGAGCTTCATTAGCAATGGGAGGCGAATGCCAGGAAGCTCTACCTTAGACAGCTTCTCTCCCTGAACTAACTAATCAGCAGATGAGTATTGTCAGGTCTCTGAAATTAAGCTAAATGGATTATGTTGAATGATCACCACTGTTAGCATATCATTGATTTTTTCAAAATACTGGTTATGACAGTCAGTGGGTTCATCACAGAAATCAATCTATGTCAGTGGCTGATCACGTAACATTAACTTCAATCGGCTGAATGCCACGGTATTGCACCTCGATACCAATGGGAGAAGCGCAATTCAGCATCTAATTTCGGCCACACAGACTGCCTCTAAAACTGAGGAGGGGGGTGTTGCCACTGAGACTCCAGAGGGAACGCTGAGCAAACCACATCGACGACCCTCCACGAACAAGTGTCGCATTGAACCGGCAAGGCGCCGGTTTGTTGAAGAGAATCCGAGGACTGCTTTAGCAAAGCGGCGGTGGCGACGCTCAATCGAGTGCTTGGCCGCCTCGTCTGAGTGGTGACACGAGTGTCGAGTGCTGCTGAAATTAGCTCCGAGGCGGCGGCCGACTCGCGAGCCACGTCGCCCGTGCAGCTGCAGCACGGTTTGCTCCGCGGCTCAAGTAGCCACTCGGTGGCCATGGTGTCGCGGCACTGCAATGCTGGTGCACGCCCGGCCGGCCGCGTTCAGCTGGGAGAAGCGCCCAACCGAACGTGGCCGCTGCACCTCACTAAAAATTAACATGCACGCCGAGACGCCAGATAAAAATAAAGCATGCGCCCAATGGCAGCGAGCCGTCATAATCATTTTATCGGTGCAACGGCATAAACTCAAGCTCAAGGGCTTGTTGAGGAAGTCGTTAACGTTAACCACTTACGAGCCAAGCACAAACCGCAGTGAAGAACGTGTAAAACGGTGGAAAGCCTTACCTCCTCCGCCAACCGAATCATCCGACGGGTGCTCTCCAGTGACTGTGGGGTTGAGATTGAATGCAATTAGAGACGTGCTGCAAACTCGCTAACGACTGCGCGTGTCACCCATTAAAACAGACCGCACATGCTGCAAAGTCGCTAGCATGTGCACCACCCACTCACATCAATTGCACTTGACATAAATCCCACACGTGCCAGTATACATCTTTTCAGTGGTACAATATAGCCAGTTCCAGAGTGCCAAAGTCAGATGCACATATTTGGTAAATTTTTCTCCAACAATGCTTTCACAAAAATACACTCAGCGTGCAATGGATCTTTTTCTAAACTGAAACAAGGGTTAGCTAAAATCTTTGTTTGAAGCTGCTTTTTCGACGTTAAATGGGTCGATCGATCATATCTCTGCCTAATCGTTTTTCCAGCATCAATTTTTGTGCATTCGTCAGAAAGGAAAAAAATCTGTCTATTTATAGTTTGACATAAAATTAATTTTTAATCCATTAGGCTCTCTCTCCAAGGAGATCGGGGGGGGGGGGGGGGGGACGGACACATTAGGCTTTCAGAAGCAATCCTGCACCAGCCCTCTCGGCCCAATGAGGTTGCACGCCGCTCACCTCATCCGTGACCTCGTTGGCCTTCATCTGGATGGACTGGAGCTCATTCCTCATGTCGTCGTCGTTCATGGCTGCAGCAGGAGTGTGGGGCCGTCAGCCCCGCGCACTGTCGCTCCGAGTATCTGCCGCCCCCACCGTTGGGAGGAACTCCCAGGCAATGCCGCTGCTACTGTTGCTGCTGCTGCTGTCGCACAAGAGGGAAAGCAGGTGGAGAGCAGCTCGTCATCCCATCATCCAATACATCGCCTCTAGGATGCACGATGTGCGTCATCACAAATTTCTTATCAGCGCCTCCCTTCATAACCCCCTCATCTGCCAGAGGCATTCAATGTGGGCGGCGAAAACAATGGTCCCCTAAGCCAGGAGCTGGAGCTAATCTCCTTAAGGTCACATAAATCCTCTCCACCACTGGCTGCCCACCCCATGCCGTTGTGAATTTTTCATGCGGCCGAGCGGCGGCTCTGAAGTGCCCGGTCGATGCTAAACGCCTTCTTATTCCCTCCTTGTCACTTCATCCCACTCCCCGCTCGCTCCACGTGGGTTCGCTCCCGTGGGCGGTGACCCACGCGCACCCTGTGGGGGTTATGCAAGGTCCGGCAGCGATGCACGGACACTCGCAAAGCTCCCTTTAAATAATAATCATTATAACAACAACCAACAGCAGCCACGGTCATAGCAAATAACGATGCCGTTGGCCGTGATGTTATTTATTATTAACGCTGCAATCACAGCAACGCGGGCACGTCAACGCGCGCGCCTTGTTGAAGCCCGGGAAACCCATCCCTGGGCTGAACAATGAAGAGGAGAGCCGCCCCTGCCAACCTGCCCTGCCTTCGGCCACCGTTGCTTGCCTTGCACCCCCTCCAGCACCACCCCCGTGCCTGGCGTGCCCCATCATCTACCGAGGAGACCATGACCTGCGCGGTCACGCCGCGAGCAAAGTTCGCGCTCTCTCACTCATCATCAGCAGCCACGAATATAGCGTAATCCACTGCTGGACTAAGCCCTGCCCAAGCCGTCTCACTGGGGATCTCGTTCATGTCCGCTTGCAAACCCCGGAGTTCCCCTCCAGCGCGGATGGCAAACAGCAATAATCGTGGCGTTCAGATGCACACTCCTCAATGATGCTCAGCCACACACCAACACGGTCACACGGACACGGCAACAAGGACAACACTGACGCACACGCGGGCCAGTCACACCTACACCACCACCAACACGTACAGACCAACAATGGCACACCGTCAACAAAGCCACGTCAATGTGGGGGCATCCCAGGGGAGCATCGGATACACCAACAAGTGGTCGCGTCAGCCACGAATCCGTGGCCACATCAACACACGAAGCCACGGGGAAATAAAAAAGCAACAACGCCCACCACACCTCTGAGAAGCATCACCCAAGCCGGACATCCACCGCCTACACCAACAAGCACGTCCCGACATCCACCACCTACAGTCCTACACCAACAAGCACGTCCCGACATCCACCACCTACAGTCCTACACCAACAAGCACGTCCCGACATCCACCACCTACAGTCCTACACCAACAAGCACGTCCCGACATCCACCACCTACAGTCCTACACCAACAAGCACGTCCCGACATCCACCACCTACAGTCCTACACCAACAAGCACGTCCCGACATCCACCACCTACAGTCCTACACCAACAAGCACGTCCACATCCACGGAGCGATCGCTCCTCCAACATCACGGACCCCCCCAACGACACCCGCCACGTCCGCTCACAAGCGACCATCAAAAGCCCGAACCGCTCGAACACCAAACGCGCCACTTTGTCCGCACACAGCAGCGTTCACCATCACCAAACTAAACATCATCACCCCACACATCATCATCACCATCACCAAACTAAACATCATCACCCCACACACCATCATCACCATCATCACCATAACCAAACTAAACATCACCCCACACACACACATCACCCCCCCCCCCCACACACACACATCATCATCACCATCACCAAACTAAACATCATCACCTCCCCAAACACACACACATCATCATCACCATCACCAAACTAAACATCATCACCCCACACATCATCATCATCTTCACCATAACCAAACTAAACATCATCACCTCCCCAAACACACACACATCATCATCACCATCACCAAACTAAACATCACCCCACACATCATCATCATCTTCACCATAACCAAACTAAACATCATCACCCCACACACACACCATCACCCCCCCCCCCCCACACACACATCATCATCACCATCACCAAACTAAACATCATCACCTCCCCACACACACACATCATCATCACCAAACTAAACACCCCCCCCCCCACACATCATCATCACCAAACTAAACACCCCCCCCCCCCACACATCATCATCACCATCACCACCAAACTAAACATCACCATCATCACCGACCCCGGACTCCTCTGCTCCCTCAACCTTCCGGGGCTCGGGCTCTATTGTGCATCACGGCGCCCACACAGCCCACGAGCCCGCGGGGGGAGGTGGAGGTTGTTAGGGGGGCGGGAGACCAACACCGGCCACTGCGTGAGGCACCGGCCACGACGCGCCCGCCAGCGCTACCTTCGGCTCCCGGTTGCCGGGCGGCTGAGCTCCGAGGAAATCGCCTCTCACGTCCGCTCCTTCTGCTTCTGGTTCAGCCGGAGGAGAGGAGCGGCGCCCCTCCCCCTTCCCCCTCCCCCTTCCCCCTCCTCTTCCCCCCTAACAAGCCCACCCCTTCCCCCTCCCCCTTCCCCCTTCCCCCCCTAACAAGCCCACCCCTTCCCCCTAACAAGCCCACCCCTTCCCCCTCCCCCTTCCCCCTTCCCCCTTCCCCCCCTAACAAGCCCACCCCTTCCCCCTAACAAGCCCACCCCTTCTCCCTCCCCCTTCCCCCTTCCCCCTTCCCCCCCTAACAAGCCCACCCCTTCCCCCTAACAAGCCCCACCCCTTCCCCCTCCCCCTTCCCCCTTCCCCCCCTAACAAGCCCACCCCTTCCCCCTAACAAGCCCCACCCCTTCCCCCTACCCCCTAACAAGCCCACCCCTTCCCCCTCCCCCTTCCCCCCCTAACAAGCCCACCTCTTCCCCCTTCCCCCCTAACAAGCCCACCCCTTCCCCCTAACAAGCCCCACCCCTTCCCCCTACCCCCTAACAAGCCCCACCCCTTCCCCCTAACAAGCCCCACCCCTCCCCCCTAACAAGCCCCACCCCTTCCCCCTACCCCCTAACAAGCCCCACCCCTCCCCCCTAACAAGCCCCACCCCTCCCCCCTAACAAGCCCCACCCCTTCCCCCTACCCCCTAACAAGCCCCACCCCTTCCCCCTAACAAGCCCCACCCCTCCCCCCTAACAAGCCCCACCCCTTCCCCCTAACAAGCCCCACCCCTTCCCCCTAACAAGCCCACCCCTCCCCCCTAACAAGCCCCACCCCTTCTCCCTACCCCCTAACAAGCCCCACCCCTTCCCCCTAACAAGCCCCACCCCTTCCCCCTAACAAGCCCCACCCCTTCCCCCTACCCCCTAACAAGCCCCACCCCTCCCCCCTAACAAGCCCCACCCCTTCTCCCTCCCCTACCCCCTAACCAGCCCCACCCCTCCCCCTAACAAGCCCCACCCCTCCCCCTAACAAGCCCCACCCCTCCCCCCTAACAAGCCCCACCCCTTCCCCCTAACACGCCCCACCCCTTCCCCTTCTAACCAGCCCCACCCTTTTTCCTACCCCTCCCCCTCCTAACCAGCCCCACCCCCACCACGCATGTGTATGTCATCACCACGCGACGAAAGAGGCACTTCGCGGACATATTACATGGGGGCTGGGGGAGGGTAAAGGAGAGGGAGGCGCTTCCACAGCGATGGCCCAGACGCATTCGCGGCCATATTGCATAGGGAGTGGGCCCTGTGGTGGTGGTGGGGGGAACCCCGCGCAAGGCGAGCGGTGGAGGAAAATGCCGTCGCACGTGTTTAGCTGCAAAACTCCCCTACCCAACATGGCCGCCCAGTCCCCCCCTTCCTCACCAGCTCCGCCGAATTAACGCTCCCACGCGCAATTTGAGATTGCCCCCCCCCGCCTCTCCTGCCCCCCCCCAAACCCTCCAATCGGCGCGAGGAGAAACGCAACGCCGCTCGCCAACGGGGAATGCGCCATAAATATCTTGGTCGCCTCTCTCCCGTCGTGCCTCGCGCCTCAGTTGTAACATGGCGGCGTGGGCGGTGGGCTGTTGACCGCAGCCTCGGAGGGGCAGTCATGTACTAAAGTACTAAAGGTCGGGTCGGGTTGGAGGGGGAGGTGTGTACCGGGCCGGGACTCGCAGAGCCAGGAGAGAGAGAGCGACAACGAATTTGGTGAGTGAGTGAGTGAACGTGGTGAGCGTGGAGAGACGGCGCAGACGCCCGCCTCTCGTTCCCAGCGCGGATGCGGCGTTATCCGGACGAGGGGGGAGGGGGGGTGCGTAGGAGGACTTCGTCGACCAATCACGCGCGTCTTAGGCGGTCACGTGCGCGCGCTTTGGCCAATCGCTGCGCTCGCGGAGCGGGGCGGGGGAGTTTTTCATTTTTTTGTAGTCGGCCGTGCGACGCACGTGTGAGGCACGCGGCCTGGGCGCGTTACGGGAGCCGCGTCGATCTTGGGTGTGCGGCCGCAACCCGCCCGTAATTAACGAGGCTCGCAGCAAGCACAGGTCTCTCGCTTGCTAACCTCGTGCTCGTCGAGAAAGCGCCCCGGAGTGTAAGACGCTCCCCGCCCCCCAAACTTGTGAGAGGTGCATGGAGTGATACAGGACAGATCTGGACTTCCGTGCATGCGCCTACCGGATTATAAGACGCGCACCCATCGATGTTTGCCTTGTTAGCGGGGAAAGTATAATCCGTAAGGGTACGCGGTGACCAGACGCGCAGGCTGGTCTTGTATGAACTGTATCGCCCTGAACGTCCTAACGCAAAACGTATACGGTGCTGTTCATCCTCGTTCCGTTATTGTATGTTATGTTAAGACTTGTTTACCCAGGAAAGCATCGCGGATTCTCAATACTAGACTCTCTAACGAGATTCCTGCCACGTTTTCGCATTAGGGAGTCGATGCTGTAACCCTAATTGAGAAACTTGCGGGTATTTTATCAGCATTGTGATGTTTTGGCAAACACCAATTGCATTGTGTGGGTCGGTTATGGGAGGAAACTCGTGCAGAACAGGGTGAGATGTTGCCAGCTTTACATAGGGGCCCGCCGAGTCGGAATCGAACCCAGGAACCTCTTTCTGTGAGGCCAGATGTGTTACTACAGCGCCACCCTTGCCGTTTGGAAGTTTTGCCATCCCAAATCTCTCACCGTTAGACTGCGTGTATGTGGGTGAATGAGTGATTGCAATGTTAAAGCAAAATACAGTACCTAGATTTATTGCAAAAATAAATATTGAGGCCGTGCTCTTTTTCTATACAGCCTTGTGCCAGTGGTCGAAATTCCACATTGCTATTGCGAGGCTATTGATAGGACAACCACTGTTGACTTCTCCACAAAGTGGTACTCATCTTCTTGGTTCTTTCGGTAAAGTCACGTAGAAGGGAAGTAATAAAATAAAAATAAAACATAATAAAATCATTCTCACGACGTTTCGGCCACAACGCAAGCAGCCGTCTTCAGGTGAAAACCAGGTCTGGTCTCCTCGAAAGCTTTAAGTCGAAAAGTGGTACTCATGTTATAAACCCAATTGGGATCATTGACTGAGTCAACCGCTAACCAGGATTTGAACTTGCAATCTTTCACCTAGGAGCCGCTCGCTGTACCGCAGCCGAACCATCTCCCGATGTGATGGACACGTCTGGGATGTTGTCAATTATGTTTGCCGATGGTTGTTGCCGCAGATTGAAACGCAAAGCCACAAAAATCCCTGTCTGCTACCGAGAGGGCCATGTCCAAACAACTCAAGTGTGGCCTCTGCCGAGTCCACTGTGCCAACACTAAGGTGACTGACTGCTGTGGGTTCAATCTAATTCCCAAGAATGCTGCTTGTGTAGTGTTCAACACGGAGGCACACACTCTGGACTGGGAGGCAACATTTTTATTTAACAACTTCCCTAGCGGGTAACACTGACCGTAACTCGGGTTCTATCGTAGGTGATGTGGCCTAACTATGTGAGTAGCGAGTTAACTCTAGACGAAGACCCGGAGACCACGAGACACGGGACCCAGGCTTGATTCCACAGAAGAGCCAAGAACATTATCGGGACTGCCCCTTGATGCTCCTGAGCGTGGCCTCGCTCCGACTTCGGCCATGCCCCCTTCGAGACCTTTCCTGAAGGATCTCGACCGAGCATCACGTGCCCCACTCAGGCGACCACATCCTCCCTTGCCCTTTCTCTCAGGCCATCACCAGGAACTATGCCCTCTAGGGCTGGCTGACATTCCTCACTTACTCTGGTGCTAGAGAGAGGCTCCAGACGCACAGTTGCACTCCTGTAACAGTAGCTGGCGTGAACACCCTCGTGACACCATTTACGTCACTACACTTGTAACAAGCATTTTGCATAACAGCAGGTAGCAGACATAGTCCCATGCGATTGCATGTGCAGTAAATTATTTTACTCAAAAGCTTATAAATCATCTGGTGTTTTGTGTCTTTGACCAAATTTCCCGGAATTTTATGGGACGAGATTGTGGGCAGCAAAATCTATTTTTGTACTCTCTAAACCGAAGCTAAGTACCACCAATGATCCCTGCCTTGACCAACCCACTCTGACCAGTATGGTGAAATATGGTCATATAGCCCCCACAAAAAACACATTGTGCAGTGGTGGACTGACAAAAGGGCTGCACATGTGTGTAGTGAGTCCAACTGAGTCGCAGACGATCCTTTTAGACGCAACACATTTATTTGTAACACCGTAACACAAAAGGGTAAACTGCCCCTTTACCAGATACAACTGAGAGTGGTGACCACCCAGCTAACTACACTATACAGGGGAGTTACTACTATGAAGGGTTGGACCCTCACTCGGGTCTCTGACCACGTGGTCCCTCGTAGGACGAAGCGCTTCCCACTTGTAGATGTTGAGCTTCCAGCTTGTAGATGTTGAGCTTCCAGCTTGTAGATGTTGAGCTTCCAGCTTGTAGATGTTGAGCTTCCAGCTTGTAGATGTTGAGCTTCCAGCTTGTAGATGTTGAGCTTCCAGCTTGTAGAACAAAGAGACCCCGGTCCTTCTCAGGGACCCGCTTTATATCCCTCTCCGGTCGGGCCCGGTACGCCCTCGGCCCCGCCCGCCTTCTTGAACATTCTCGTTCTCTCTCCAACCTCAAGAGTTCTCCCCGGACACGTGATCACCCATTAGTCCCCCCACCTGGGGCCCGCTGTGAGGACAGTCCCGATCATATGTCTACAGGGTCAACCAGAGTGCCACAGCCTGGGCAACCTTGCCCCTGGGCTCACACTCACCCCCTTCCCCTCGGGGGAGCCCACACCTCATGCTGTGCATGGCGCCCGCACTTTCCCAGTGCTCGCCAAGCCCTGCTAGGGCTTGGATTACACATGGCCACCCAAACGGTGCTGTCCACGATGCACGACCCTTCCGGGCCGGCACCATATAGTGACATCCCCTATGACTATGTCACTACATGTGTATGTTTTAATTCTTTCATGAAATATGTTTATTATGAAACCCATGAAGACATCAGCCATGCTTCCCGATTAATGATCTTTCAGATATATAGCATTGTGACTGAGGACACTTGTCATATATTGATGTGCAATGACTTATTTTGGCATTTCCTAGACATCTTCAGGATGTTTCTGATCATTCCGGTCTCTCACCAGGAATTTGAAGAGCACATCAGAAGCATGTTGCACCACCGGGAACTGGAGACAGTTGAAGGAAGGCAAGTGTAAAAAATATCTCGTGTATGTACTTTTTAAAGCCTCTTCCTAAAATATGATAAGGCAGTTGATGCGAGTGGCCAAAAATAGCATGCCAGTACCCTGGCAACAGATAATTGTAATGCTCGGAGGATGTGAAATGTGTAGGAAACTGCAAATGGCGATAATTTAATCAGGGGGACGTTAATTAACTGTCATTGTAATAAATAAAGTTTCCAGTGTTTTATACAAATACACCATTTCACAAGAGGATTGAGATATATTTGCAAGACAAAAAAATGCAATCGTGACCCAAAGAAGTCCTCGTTGGAAAGGGACCACTTGCACATGAATGTGCTGTGGATTGCGCTGCTTCACATAGCAAATTTCATCAGATGGTGTCTCCTCCAGCAGAGAAAGGCGACACCACTGCGGCAGCTGGGCAGGGGGCAGCCACTACACCGGAGGGAGGGGGAGGTTAGTGGGCTTTGCTAAGTTCACAGTGACGGCGGCGACTAATTTTGGGGCTGTTGCCTAGTGGCAGCTTTCGCACTGACGTCTGCTGGGCTAGCACTGGTGAACGTGGATGTGTGTGGGTGGTGGTGGGGGCGGTGTCAGTGGATTCATGCCCCACGTGCACGCACGGTGCTGTTCCACAGTTGCTTGGAAGGTTCAGCCACTGTCGGTCGGTAGCTGGGCTCGCTGGAGATGGGCTGTGGGCCGATGGGACGTGCACAGTGATCGTGGGGGAGGTGAAGTCAGGAGTTTTGACCGCATTTCTGCTGTGTTCATACTGTGTGCTATTGTGAATGGTTGTATGTTAGCCAGAAGTACTCAAATCTGTTCTATTCTGTTGTGTAGCCATTGTCCTGAAAGTTATTGTGCAATTGAAATTATGTTATTATGAAGTGATGCATTCTTATCTTGTGTATTTCAGCTCCATAATTGTTTTAGAAAAAAAAGTGATTCAGATGAACGTTCTGGAACATGAGTCTTGCCTTGTGATGCATTGTCTACTAATTGCGATAAATGTTCAATACAATCTTAATGGGTAGGGTTGCCTCCCTCACATGATTATTATGGGCAGTACGTATTTCAGGTGTCTCCACAGCACTCTCGTGACTCTTACTCATTGAAAGTAATTGACCTTCCAAACACTATTTGCCAAGATAAACGACTTGGAAATTGAAACACTTTTATGTGCGCCCGTTCTCCCAATATGTCATTAACTTAAAAGTTGGCAAACCTATTAACAGGGGACGTTATTTCAGCAATCTTTGATTGGTCATTAGGTGGTCGGGGAGACCCTTGGTGCGATCATTTACCGTGCTCTGCTTCCATGGGGCGTTGAGTGAGCGAGCTGTCAAACGTGTGCTGTTGCGGTTCTCCCAGGGCCTGCACGCACCACTGCCGGGTGTGTTGTGCCAACGTGGTGGGGCTGTCCGCGTACGCCTCCCACCTGAGCAGCCCCGAGCACAAGAAACGCGTGGAGAAGTCGAGCCCTGGTAGCGCATATCGCGAGCTTCCTCCTCCCGACGCAGCGCAAACAACCGCTCAAAGAGACGACGCAAAGAAGTACGTGGCCGCTTGACACCGCCAATGTTGCTGCCATCAAATACTTATCCAGGCGAGAGTTTGTTTGGAGTAGAATGTTTGTTTCTCGCCTTATACGTATTTGACTAAATCATCTGCAATGCGACCGATCCCGTCAGATCTCAGAAGTGAAGTAGGTTTCGATTTAAAGCTTTCGTGACTGCAGGGATTCATCTTCTTGGTTCTTTCGGTAAAGTCACGTAGTCAAGTAGGGTTGAGCCTGGTTCTTGGACGGGCGACCACCACACATAGATCAGGTGTTTTAGGCTGCTGCGTTGCTACGCTGTCAGCAGAGGACAGTTCAGCAAAAATCCATTATTGTACTCTACTTCTATGGCTCTAATGTCTATGCTATCCACCTACATCGTCCCACACTGACCAGGATAGTAAAGTGTGGTAAAATAATCCCCAATACCCGCATATCTTGGGGAGACCCTAATCCAGTAGTGGAATGACAAAAGGGCTGTCCGCGCCGTTTTATATGACTATTAACTGGTAGCTTGATCTTGAAACTGTGATGTTTGGCCAATTTCGTTACGAGTGTTTGAAATGTTGAAATAAACCAGAGTACCTGGAAAAATCTATTCATATGAGGAGATAACACTCAAAGTTCTGCACAGATAGATAAAATAATTGCTGTATTTGCATCTTTTGGCCACATCACAGCCTTGTATGTATGTGTCTGTAAGCGCATAATGTGTATATGCGAATGTATGTACATCCTCAAAGTATGAATTGCTCGGACAATCGTCGCGTCACTCCACTTGGCTCGGAATGCACTCGCTAAAAGGTTAGAAAAATTAGAACGTTAAAACTTAGCTGGTGGGTATATCTTTTTTTATTCCCCTGTTTCTGGCGAGGAGCACTTTGCAGCCCTCCGTTTTATTTTGAACGATGGAATCTGTCGACAAAAGTGTCTACGCGTTGCAGCCCCCACCATCCCATGGGACGCCATGCGGTAGCGCCGCCGCATGCCGGGCCGTGCCATGTGACGCGTCGAAAGACCGGCAGTTGTTGAGCCAGTCGAGATTGTTGCCACGGAGATTACCCAATGCATTCAGTGCGCGAACGCTGGCAGCATTCTGTGCTTCAATCCGATAAATATATTACCCCATTTATTTATAAATCAGCTGAATGTCAGTGCATTTCTGTGCTCAGTGGAATACATTCATTGTCCAGCCCTTTTGTCAATCCACTGCAGTATCAGGGACTACTACGCGCCATGCAGTGTCATGTTGATTGTTTGGCCCATACATCTTCACGTTGGTCATTATGGGTTAGCGAAGGTGGGTAGCATATACGTTGGAGCAGAATAGATTACCAACGATGGATTTTGCAGCATTGCTAACAACGGAGCCCCAGCACCAGCCTACACAACACCCGTCTTATGCATGGTCATCTCCCATTCAAGCACTATCCTGACTCAGGTTTGCTTATCTTCTGAGAACTGACAATCTGGCACATTTCATGTCATTTGATGACCGATTAGTCTATTGTTTAATTTTATATTGAAGAAACAACCTGTGTAACATCTTAAATATAAGAAAATGGTTAAAAGAAGGCAATTTCAGCCTCAAAATTCATATCTTGCCTTTGCTCATTCCTGATGGGGAGACTGACACACTACTATTGGCAATGCAGGTACGCCAAGACGTGCCACATTCCTTAGCCAATCACATCAGCTGGCACCGGCACGGCATGCGAGCACCACTCGTGCTTCCAGCACCCCCCCCCCACACTGGCACATTTCTCTATTGTCAGGCGGGATGGAATCAGGCTGGAAAGTCTCACGTGAGAGATAATTGCAGTGCTCACACAGCAGATGCTTGCGTGCAGACAGGCCAAGTTTAGCTGGTGAACCATGTGAGCGGCGCTCACAGCAAGGTCGCAGCACAAAGAAAGGGTAACCTCCCCCCCCCCTTCTACCCCTCCCCCTTGTTTAGCCCCACGAGACCGCGGCTGTTTGAACAGATGCTCGCTTAGGCCGCAATCCCCTCGTGAGGGGGGTGTGCGCTGCTGGGCGTGATTGGAGAAGGCTGCTGAGAGGAAATCCCCCCCCCCCCCCCCCCCCCCGGCAGGGTCCGGAAAGCCGGCATCTCTTGGATGGGGTCGTTTTAAAGACAGGTGCAGAGTTTAGTGCTGACTCTAATATCGGAAAGATGAACATGTGTGGTAATGGAGATTTTTGGCATTGTGTGTCTTGTAGTGAATTTCATCTGTGATTTGTTATTGTTTTAAATTCAGACCAGAAGAACGAAGTTTACCCGTAACTGACACAACGAAACAAGTCCCTTTCAACAACAACCGTTTCCATCCAAGACCAAACCTTGAAAAAGCCAAGAAGATGGTGAAAGAAGCTACTAACGAGTCCAAACCAAAGACCGACAAACTCATGGAGCAGCCCAGGAGCCACACGGACGCGCACCCTGCCTGGACGGGTGCAACCTCGAACGGCCTCAAAGCCAACAGTCCCCTCTTGCCCCCTCCCGGTGTATGCTACCAAAATCGGCACCATAAGAGGCAGCCTTTCAGCATGAGAGGCAGAGGTGGTGCCGGTGGTGGCAGAGGTTACGGCTACAACTATAACCATGGCCCCAATCGATACTGGCAAGATTTCCGTTACCCCCCACAGCGCTGGCACAATGATCAAAATTACAAGCATTGGCCCGAGCACCTCGACGAGGGCAACTATAACAGGGGAATGCAAGACGACTTCACTTCGGACGAACTCCCGCCGTGGTTTGACCGGGAAGAAAATGCGCCATTCCATCAACACGTGGATCGTGGGAAAATGAAACCTGCCTCGAGATTCACACGCTGGACCCCATATCCTTCACAAAAGAATCCCAATGGCCATCGAGACCAAGAGATGATGCCCGAGGAGGTTAAGCAACTGGAAAAGGTTCCTCCGCTGAAAGCTGACGAGCTGCCAAAGATCTCCTTTGATAAAAGCAAAACGCGAGTGCCGCCGAACCCCACCAACACTACCCAGGGCGGATCAAGAGTCGCCCCGAGTGGCACGACGGCCCGCAGTGACCCCGCTCGCGGCGAGGGCACTGGCTCTTCATCAAGCAGGCCCTCGGTGGCCGCATCGCAGGGACCTCGCACGACGACATACCAGTCGAAGGGTGCCGTTCCTCTTTCAGGCAAACAACAGAGGCGGGAGAGTCTCTCCAGCAACCTGCGGAAGGTACGTGCCAATCTCCGTGCTGGGCCTTCCCAACACAAGCCTCCTGCGGCCGTCCGTGCCACCGAAAAGCACTCCAACTGCCCCAAGAACAAGGCGACTCAAAAGGATGACATCTCCACTCACCCGTCCGAGGTCTGCGAGGATCCGCCCTGCCTCACTTTGCCCTCGTTATCGCTGTCGAGCCACCGGCCCAGCAGTGCCCCTAGCGCTTTGCTGAAGCTTGATGAGAAGCCGGGGGACGCGGCCCAGCGAGTGGCAACGCACGAGAGGCCATGGTCAGCGGGGGCATCTGGCTCCACCGTGGGCCAAAGAGACTCAGCCGACCTTGCGAAGGTGGACAAAGAAGGGGTAACTGCAAATTCGGCTGACGCCAACCGCCCCACCGCTGTTGAGCCCAACTTGGTCGATGTGTTTAAAACCAAACTCGCAGGCATCGTGGATAAGGTGTCGGGCATTAGATCAGTCCATAAACAAATGAAAGAGCGTGTGCCGCAGCCCAACAAAGCTTGTCGACTTGGGATATACGGAAAAAGTGAACGCCGTTATTACGACTCCAATACCGTTAACACAGAAGCAACCGGTGGGAGTCCATGGACGCGTCAAGAATAAAGAAACGTCACACAGCCAACCCTTTAGTAATGACTGCACAGGTGGGAAGCCGCCCCAAGAAAAGAACCTCCCCTCCCCAAGTGGGAAAGAGTTTGGTGCTCAAGGAGGGGATGAGACGAATCAGAGCCCGGCTTTGGACATGACCTCTACCGATGCCACGGTGCGTCTGGAATGTCTGTCTGCCGCGATCACCAACTCGGTGACGAACGTGAGGCCCGCACATGCGGAAAGCAGAACCTCCGAGACCACGACTGAAATCAAAATAGAAACAGCGCCGGAAGCCGAGATCATGGTCACGGCTGCTCTGGCCTCAGACAAACACACCGGTGACTGCGTGTCCTCTGAACCGGAGGCCCACAGGTGCCCGCCGGCGTTGGCGCAAGCCGAGCTGAGCAGGCTGGGGGTCTCGACGGCGCTGCAAAAAGAGCTTTCCCGGTACCTGGCAGCACGTGGAACCAGTGGGAGCAAGCCAGGTACGGCAGCCCCCGAACCAAACCTCAACCAGGCTCGGCGCCGCATGCGCCCCGGCGGCACCTACACGAGCGGCCCTGTGCCGAGCACCACACTGGGAAAGGGACCGGCGGTATTGGCGGTGTCGGGTACCGCAGGGCTTGGCGGCGCCGAGGCCCAGCGCAAGCCGGAAGTGGAGCGGGAGAGCTGCAGCCTGCGTCCTGCCATCCAGCAGCTGCTGAGTGCACCACGCAGGAATGTCGACTGGGAGCAGATCGTACAAGTGCTCAGCAAGAGGAGGCAGGCGAAGGGGCTGCCCAGGTGAGAAACCGCACGGTTGTCTGCAGGTTATTGAAAGAGAGACAATCCGGGAGGTGGCTGGGTGGCTCGAGAGTGATCACGTCACTTCCATCAATGCGCTGAGAGCCTGGGTTCAAATACAGGCAGCCGCTTGTAATTAAACTGGTTTCTCAAGTACAGTGATATCGATTGTCCCAACCCGGTCACCAATGACTGCGCTTAATTTGGGTGGTTCTCTAATTGAGAATTAAACATTGTTTGCAATGTAATGAAAATGTATCTCGGTGGCATGGCAGTGGGATAGTTTTCCCCTCTACTGTGTTAATCACTTAAAGGGCTATCTCAGCGGTAGCTCTGTGATATTCACTTCCATGGGTTGTTCCCGAAACAAATGGTTGCACCTCCTGAACCTGGTTGTCGGTGTCAATGACACCAATACCAGGTTCAGGCTAAAAATGGTGAATATAACAACCCAAATAAACTAATATTTGAGTGCATGTCTGGGAGATAGATGTGCCAGCTCACATAATTAAGAAAAAAATACTTAGTGCTTGTGTCCATGCCCTCCACCAGATGGATCTGTGCCCCCGCTAATACGTGGATCGTGCACGCGGCCAGGAGTGCGGCCTTAGAGCTCTAGTGATGTCACTGCTTCATCACTCTCTCACTTCATAATAAACTGTCACTACATTGCCATCGTTTGAAGCTCATGGCAGTGCACCTGGCGATATATTTTGATGAATTTTCTTCTCAATGATTACGAAGCATCAAACTTGTGTTTGACATAATCCACAGACTATAAACCTATCATTAAACACGACAGCTATTTGTTATTTGAGTTATTTTCATTTAGGCCATCAATTCCATTTATTTGAAAGATTACAAGACGAGTGTGTTGATATGCCGCCTTGTTTTGTATTGTTTATTTTGTGCACACCAGATTTGGAATCGAAATGGGACCAGCCAACAAGGATGACCCATTAGACCCAGCCTTCCTCAACTTTGATGAGCTGGGTGACTTCCCTGAGCTGTATGACCTCAATTTGGACTGACTTCCTCCATAAGGAGCAGCAGTTTGGCACCAAATATCACTCCGACAATCCGGTGGAGCCAGCCAGTGAACCCCGCCTCGCGTGCGCCACAGCCGGAGAAGCAGCAGCCAGTGTCTCCGGCACCACCACTTCTAGCAGCGGTCGAGTCCCACAGCTCCTGGCCACTCTCGAGCACACGCCAAACAACACCACAAATGAAAAGCATCTCTCCGAGAACGGAATGAGCGCCAGCCGCCCATTGCGAACGGGCGTCACCACCACCACCACCATGGGTGACCTTGGCTCGGAGGGACCGCCGGTTAACACGGGAGCAGCCGCGACCCCAAGGAGCTTGTCCGGTGTCCTGCTGGCCAACACCCCGGAAGTCGGCTCTCCCAGTGCCAGCCCGATAAGCCCACAGCGCCCGCTGGGCGCTCAGGTGGAGGGTGAACCTGACATCTTGACGGACAGCAGCTTCACATCCGGGCCCGAGCCCAGTGGGGGCCAGGCCCGCAAGAAGCGCCGTGCCACCGCGGTACGTACCGTAGCTGCATGATTCGGCGGTTGCGAGCGTGAGCACAGTCCCGTCATCGCTTGCTGGTTCCAAAACCTGGGCCTCGCGGTGTTGAGGGGCAATTTGCGTCACGAGTCAAAGTAGGCCTTGTGCCGGGAAAATAGAGTTGATGTTGGCGCCCGATCGAGCTGTTGTCCCGTTTCCTAGGAAGGGTCTTCGCCAGAGGTGCCAGAAATTGAGCGGAAAAACAAGAGGATGAAGGTCAAGGGCTTAAAAAAAGGTACCACTGGATCCACATTTTTGCATGTGCAGTATATAGTTGGAATGTAATTATTCACCGGTGGTTTCGGTGGTGAATGATCACATGTGAATCTCTGTACGTACAGCGAGCTTTCGAGAGGGGTTGATGATGGTTAGCGCACTGCGTTACGGATCAGGCGACCAGAGCTCGATTCCCGCTCATGACCAATAACAGTGGCGAATATTGTAACTAGTCCTGGTCCTCTCCTCGGTCGACTCAACCTTAAATGAGTACCTGGTACGTTGTGTAAACATCAACACTAGAGAGACAAAGGTGGCCAGGTGTGGTGTTGGCAGCCCGCCTCTTTTGAGTGCCGTGCTGACATTCATAGTGGCTCGCAAACAGCCCCAACAGTCTGTTAAAGGCCACATGGGGGATCTTTGACTTTAATTATGGATGTGGTGGTGCACACTGCACTACAATCCGGGTCACCTGGTTCCGATGCCTGGCCATGCACAACGTCTAAGGCTAAGAGGAGAGAGATCCTTCTCTCTGATACATGTGGCTGCGTGTGTGTGTGTGCGCGTGTCCGTGGCTGTGCATGTGTGTGCGCGCGCGTGTTTCCCGCAGACCGGCAACACGTGGACGAGCTGCTGAGTGTGTCGCTGCGTGAGGAGGAGTTGAGTCGCGGCATGCAGGAGCTGGAGCCCACACTGGAGCATGCCAAGGCTGCCCTGCACAGCGCCTTCCTGCATGTGCAGGAGCTGCTGCTGCACAAACAGCAGGTTGGCATTACTGCATAGTCAGTCACATCCGGGCCCAGCTGTTGCATGTCCTGTCTGCCGATGATTCACTTTGGTATGAGAGCCAGATTCTACATGTCCAAATCAAGACCAAGGTGTCGGCATGGTCGGAGCTAATTGAGCATAGCACTGTAATTTAAATATGCGTGAGTTAGTGCAGATGTGCGCATCTTCTTTGACAGTGGTGACCTGTGCTGTCCATTGTGCTGCAGATTACCATGGAGATGGACAAATTGAGGTCCTACCGCATCCAGATTCTCCAAGGAATGCAAGGTGTGTGTTTGCACCATCATCCCGGAACTTTCCCATTGCTCCGTGTGGTATTCCGATTGGTCTTCAGTTGCGATAGCTCAACGGTTTGTGTTCAATAGCCCTTTTTACATGAGATGCCATGATTATGTTTAAATCAACTATTTCACAAAAACATATCCCCCTAGATTTTGGTTATAATTGGCAACTTTTTGAGAATAACAATGCTAATTGGCTGTTGACAAAAAGTGGGAGGGTCGTTAGTAATCAGTGGGGTATCTATACATGGATTACACTGTACATAAGTACATTACAGCACTTTCACCTGGTGTTACTTGAACTGCTTAGCCAAATTGATTTCACTGAACCAAATGATTTTATTTCAGATCAAGAAGGCTGACGTATTGTATACCGCCCCTCGGTTTTGTGTAGATAAATCTGTGAACCAGCTGCATTTGCCTTCTGCTCCATTGGTCCCGCCAGCGGCTACCGCATCCCCGAGTCTCCCTGGCCCCGCCGGCGTCTCCCACCCTCTGCTGATCAAGCAGGAGGCCGGGGAGCTCACCCCAGTCACCGCCTGCACACCGCCCATGCTGAACACGGCCCTGTATCCGGGCTCCTTCCTCCCGCCCTCGCCGCTCCTGCAGCAGTGCCTTCCCGCTGCCACTCGCGGTGAGTCGCGCACGGGCACGGCAGTCGTGCCGACACAGTTGAACTGCGCGTGCCGTAACGTGATCTCCACGTACCACTGATTCACAACGGTTTTGCGGGATTGGCCGGGTGTGTAGGCGAGGCCGGCGTGCCCACGGCGACGACACCACCAGCCACGCACTACTTCACGCAGCCACAGGAAGTGCCGTGGCGACGGCCGCCCCTGCCCGACGGCATCCCAGAAACGATGCCGCTCAGAAGTTCTCGCCTCTCGTCTCCTGCCCGCTCCAACATGTGCACGCCCGTAAGCAAGTCCCTCGCCTCGACGCCTCATGATTCCAGCGCCGAGACGACCGTAGCGCCAACGGGCACGTCCGCCGGACCAGCGCCTACCAAAGATGGCGCTGAGAGCAGGGATAGCTCGGTGAAGCGCAACACCATGCGGACGAGGGCCCGCGCCGGCGTGGCGTCGGAGGGGAGCGCCGAAGCGGGGAGGGTCGGGAATGCGGCGGAGGAGCCCGGCGAGGACGACGACAGCACCTCGACGCAGAAGCGCAAGCGCCTGAAGAAGCGAAAGCCGGCGCGGGCGCGCGTGCCCGAGACGAGTGACACGGAGCAGGAGGCGCTGACGCGGCCCGTGCGGCGCCTCAAGACGCGGCGCGGCAGCCGGCAGGGGAAGTCCACGTCGCAGGTGAGTGGGGAGAACTGGGCTGGAGGCCTGGGGTAGCACGATGGGTGGGAGGCCCCTCTGTTACAATGCAACGCCCCAATAAAATATAAAGTGGGATCATGAGTAAATGCTCGAATGATATGAAGGGAACTTGTAAAATGGAACAGAGTTTTGAAGGAACAGGGTAGAGCAGCATTGTGGATCACCGTTTCACTCCATGCATGATTTTAAAACACTTTCCTTCATGATTATGGCCAATGCCTTATACTTTTAACAATTTTTGTCTTAAATCTAATCGCAGAATTATCTTAACGAGCTGTTTCACTGCTTTTCATATATATTTGTGTATAATTGGACTAGTATACTTTGGCATTTGTTTTTATGGTGATTTACTTTGAGTAAATCGGTTTAAAATCTTGTAACATTTTCAACAACGGTAATTTTTTTAGGTTGTGCACCGAGACCAGTTGTGTAATCTGCGCCTTGTATGTAAATTGATGACAACAGTCTGGCTCAGTAAGGGTTGTACACTTCTCTGTGAAAGTGACACACGGTGTGATGACTCCTGCACTCTGCAGGCCTCCGGCACCGTAAGCCCCTGTGGGGTGGGCGATGTTCCCGTGGCCCAGGAGGAGCCGCGTCTGGCCCGACCTCCCTCCTCGGCCGCGCTCCACAAGGGGGAGGAGGATGACGAGGGCATGGACAGCCCCGACGGGAATCACGTGGGCGGCAGGCAGAGTGAGCCGGACTCCAGCTTGGAGCTGGTGGAGCCGCCCACTCCGGAGATATTGTCCATCGACGACAGCTCAGACAACGAGGCCACAAAGCTGCCGAAGTGTTTGACGGTGAAGGCGGCGGCGAGGGGCCAGACCCCGGCAGCGGCGAGGGGCCAGACCCCGGCAGCGGCGAGGGGCCAGACCCCGGCAGCGGCGAGGGGCCAGACCCCGGCAGCGGCGAGGGGCCAGACCCCGGCAGCGGCGAGGGGCCGGACCTCGGCGGCGGTGTTGGGCGAGGCGGGGCGGGCGAACAGCGTCGAGGTGTCGTCGACAAGCGACCTGTGGCAGAGGAAAAGCCCCCGCCTTGTGGCTGAGTGAGTGAGGCTTTACTGAGATGACGGGCGTCTTATCGAAAGTGTTTACGAGAATGACACGGCGTGCGTGCCGCGTCGTGTCGCGTTTTGGTGGTAATGTGTGCGTATACAGCCATTTTTGTCAAGCCTCCTCTGGATGAAGACCGTGCGGGTAACTGGGGTTATTTGACCATCATACTTCACCATGCTGGACAGTGCAGATTGTTGAAGGGCATGGAGCAGACACATGGAGGGCATAGAAGTACAATACAGCAGTAGCCACACAGCCTATAACACTTATAATTATAAATCCAACAAGTCACTCAGCCTAGTTGTGTAGATGCCTGGTAAGGGCTCGTTTATTTGGCCTTTGTAAATATTTAAATCTTCTTTCCCACTCTCTCTTCCCTGGATGCAGGTCACTGAAAAAGGATGAAGACCACCAGAAAAAATCCTCGACCACAGGTGGGTTCGTTTTTGGTACTCTCCGCTTGTGATTTTTCCAGATGGGGGCAGGGCAACACTCCTGACTAACCGGTGCGGCTATTACATCTGTCAGACTCGCACCTGTGTGAGCCCACCGCTGGGGCCTTCGAGGGCCACGAGGCAGCCGTCAGTGGCATTCAGATTTTCGAGGGGATGCTCTACACCTGCTCCTCCGACAAGACCGTGCGTGCATTTGACCTGGAGGTGAGGATCCCCGCTCTGTTCAACCGTTTACCTTCGCCTATAGCCGGGCCTCTGAGCAGGGCTAAAGTGCTTTTGTGGAGGCAGTGTGTATACCGGATGTTATTTTGGATGGAATCTTAACACAATGGTGGTTGCCCATGCGAGTACTTCGTAGGATCAAACCCGCCTGCTTAGCTTTCCGAGATCGGCTGAGATCAGGCGCATTCCGGTTGATGACGGTTAACCTGCTGAACGATGCGTGTGCCTCGTAAAGATACGCTGTGTGTGCCTCGTAAAGATACGCTGTGTGTGCCTCGTAAAGATACGCTGTGTGTGTCTTGATCCCTTCCTCGCGTGAAATCGGCGCGGCGCAGACCCGGCAGTGCTTGCGCACGTTCAACGGCCACACCAGCAAAGTGAACGCGCTGCTGGTGACGGTGGCGGGCGGCAACGCCTCCCAGCCGCGCCTCTACACCGGAGCCAGTGACCACACCATCCGCTGCTACAACGTCAGGGTGACTCCTGCACGGCACGCGCTGAGAACCCCGCCGCAACGCACAGCCTGGCCAACCTGTCCGGTGTGAGGTCTGACATTTGGGAGCTTCTACCCGACAATAGTGAGAGAATGGCCGCAAGTTGGAATTAATGAGAAGTCACAGCTGGAGATACGAAGAAGATGATTCTGCAAGGGGAGAAGGGAAATGGATAGGTTGGTTAGAAAATCTGAGCAGCTTACACAAACTCTCCATGAGAGACACTGATGATACCCATCAGTGCAGACTTCTCACAACAGCAACCGAGAGGTTCACACGTATTTTCGTGTCTTCCTGTGTTTAATGTGATCATACGGAACGATAGGATAGTGGCAATGATCTGAACTGGTCCTGGGCCACACCTAGTTGAACTCCGCATTAAATAACTACCGGGTGTAGTGTGTGAATGTCAACCAAGGCGTGGTGCCGGACACAAATATGCAAACGACAGCCTGTGCAGGCTATACAGGGGATCTGTGTCTTTGTCTAACTTGGCTGTGCTGTGCTGAGCGAGCAGGAAGAGAGGTGCGTGGAGGAGTTCTCGGTGCTGGACCGCGTGCTGTGCCTGCACGAGCGCTGGGACGTGCTGTACGCCGGCCTGGCTAACGGCACCGTGGTGTCCATCAGCACTCAGGTGCCGCCCCCTGCACACACAACGATCAGACAGGATGGATTTTTTTTATAGATATTGTTTTCCATGAGACAAGGCGTGGCTATAACTTACGTGACTGTTGCTGCAGTTTTATCGCGGCGTGCGTCTTGTTGTTGCGCTGGGCGACAGAGCAACAAGTTCCTGGACACGTTTGAATGCCATGGGCCGCGAGCCGTGAGCTGCGTGGCATCGAGCCAGGAGGGCAGCCGACGCCTGCTGCTCGTTGGCTCCTACGACGCGACCATAAGCGTGCGCGACGCTCGCTCCGGACTCTTCCTACGCGCCCTCGACAGCCACACCAAGACGGTGCTGTGCATGCAGGTGGGGACCGCTAGCCCGGACGGCGGCTGCCGGGAACGACCGTGTGTCTTATTTATAAGCAGCGTGGACCAGTGTGTGAATAATTTTGTGTTTCACAGCCCCTTTTGTAAATTTACTGCCGGGTGAACGCCTCTCCATGCCTTGTCGGTCACTGGGGGGAGTTTTTGGTCGTACGTCATTTCGTTGGTCAGTGCGGGTTAGTGACGTTAGGAGGGCCACAACCGGTCCAGGTATCGCTTGTCACTGATGCTAACCGTGGCTGGGAATTGAACTCACAACTGTGCCAAAAAAACACTTTCTTAATGCTCCCCCCCCCACCCCCTTATTATGTAACGAGTGTAAAATGACAGAGATGCACCAACAGACTGTGGGAAGACCTGTGGGGTTATGTGAGTTTCATTAGCACTCCCATGCCAATTGCTGTGCCCCCAGGTGGTGAATGACTTGGTCTTCAGCGGATCCAGCGACCAGTCTGTCCACGCGCACAACATCCACGTGAGTGCACCACCACAGACACTGGCTTGGAGCTGTGTGTGCTCACATTATGCTGCTGGTTTGTGTGTGCGCATCGCATCGGTGCCTCTATTACCATGTTAACAAGTTTGGAAAAATCATCCATGGAAGATAGTGGGTTGCTGTCAGGGCAAAATGCGTTTGCATATTTGCAAATATTCCTTTTTGCTAGGGTTCATGTCTGCAAATTCTAAGAAATGCTTTGGTAAATGTTTACAGTTTTCAATAGGGTAAGTCCCAACAGGAACAGAATTTGAAGTAAAGTTTAAAAACATATATACTAGCACTGCCCGCACATTTGCATGGCATCTACGGCCATGATGGAGGGTGGGTGGTGGCGAGGCGTGACGTCAGCACAGTGTTCAGAACCCAGCTCAGCGCTGTGGGATGTGGGTGACATCATCATGCAGATGCGCAGGGTGACATTACAATGCACTCGCCTGCCTGTCCGTGCCAGCCAGCCAGCAAAACTTAAAACATACAGTGGTATGATATGAAAAGTACCCGTCGGTGAACGATGGTCCTCTTCAACCCCCAACGTCCCCACCGTCCTACCCCTGGGTGCCCCCCCCCCCCCCTTGCGCAACCCACAGGGCCCCACCACCCACAATATCCACCCAGTAGCCCCTTGGCCCATGCTCCCCTTCTCGCACATCCCTTCCTACGTGTGCCCCCCCCCCCCCACACACCCCACCCCTGACCCACGCTTCCCCTTAGTGCCCCCCGACTGCATGCCCCCACCCATGTCCCGGCCACCCGTGTGCCCCCTCCCCTCAGTGTGTTGGCCGAAGCATGGCCTCCAACCAGCCAGAACTTTTTTTTCATAAAGTATGATATTTTGGAGTCTCTTTACAAGAGATATAGTGCCCCACTGTGACAATTTAAAAGCGTTTGAAATGGCATTGGCGCCAAGGCAGGCGCCGAGTTTGACCTGGCTGCGAATCTGCCGCGCCCCCTGGGTTTCTCCGCACGGGGAATAACGCGGCGCATGTCGTCTCCCGCATGTGGCGGTCGCCGGCGCCAGACGGGAGAGCTGCTGAGGATCTACAAGGGGCACACGCATGCCATCACGGCCATCAGTATCCTGGGCAAGGTGATGCTGACCGCCTGCCTGGACAAGCTGGTGCGAGTGTATGAACTTGAGGTGAGCATTGAACGTTCGGCATGCAAGCCGCTGGGGCACGGCTTCTCTCCTAGTGGTGGAAAGCCGAGGGGATGCGCTGAGGAGTTTGGGGTGATGTCGTCTCGAGTTAACGTTGACGGGGCCGGGTGTGCCATGTTCCCTTGCAGTCACACGACCGCCTGCAGGTGTACGGAGGCCACAAGGACATGGTCATGTGTATGGCCGTGCACAAGAGCATGGTGAGTGCCTCTCATACTCATCCAGTTTTCCACGACGTTTATGTTCGTGCTGCTGTCCACTAACGGCAGCGGTTACGCACTGCTAAGTTTTGGCCTGCCCAGGTTGAGTATTGCGAGTTGTCATGTTGATTATCCAATTGCTAATGGCTTGTATTCCAAGACGCAACATGTCTCGTGGATACACACCTGCGCTGCATGTTTTGACACGTCTTTAATTTCTTTGAAGCTTTGTAACCAAGACTCTTTAAAGTTACATTCATGTGCTCCAGAAACAATGGTGAGGTCCCAGCAGAATCACTGCCATACATTTTAATACAAAAGTGTTTGTACAAGATAAGAGCTTTTAGTTTTTTTAGGGTTGTGTTCCATAAATAGGTCCACATGTCACAGCTAGTAACGCTTGTTGCTGAGCACCGGGCCATAGGCTCAAAACTCCAAGCGGCCAGTAACAAACAGCACTATTAAAGGTGTAATAGTTAAGGCTTAGTTAAGCGGCGTTTGTGATTCATATCCCTTACGTGGTGTGGTCGGAAGTCTGCTAATGAACACTTCTCTGTACGCCAGTGGCCAACGATGGCGCCTCTGCCACCCTCGACAGATTTACACCGGATGCTACGACGGCTCCGTCCAGGCCGTGACGCTCAACCTCGTCTCCAACTTCCGCTGCTGGGTGAGTACCAATGCCTCTCTCCACCCTTAGTTATCAGAACGGCAATAACATTTTCAATTCATACGGCGTCCACATGCAATCGAATCAACAAAAACTATATTTGGGTAAAATAAACTGTATTCGGGCAGAGGAGCTCAACATGAACACATGGGAGAGAGGCGATGGAGCGACACTACAGCAAGCCCAAGACGAAGCAACTACCCAGCAACAACAACAATTAGGAACCCCGGGGGCAGCCAGGGCAGTACCAAAGAGTCCCTGGGACAGTCAGGGCAGCCAAGGTGGCACCAAAGATCCCCTGGCGCAGCCAGAGCGATAACAGACATAACCTAGGTCACCAGTGTTGCTGGGTAAACGTGTGGGCGGTGCGCTCTGGCGTGTGCAGTGGCACAAATGTTGCCTGATGTTCGGGGTGCTGGACCACCTGAAGGAGCACATCCGAAGCACGCACCTAAACGCCGATGCTCAGAGCGCGCTCTGCCGTTGGAGGGACTGCGACGCCTTCTTCACGGCCAAGAATCGCACCATCCATGTGAGAATCGACCCCCCCAGCCACTACCCACACCGAGCGAGCCAAGTTTGATACGACCCAATACACGTATTTTATAATGACTTCCATTAAGCGTTTGCCTTCATAAGTATATAATAAGCAGTGTGAAAAACAATGGGTCGCTGGTTGGGGCAAAGTGTGATTTCGTATTTGCAAAGTTCTTTTCGCACAGGTTTCCTTCCAAGTATTGGGTAACCATTTGATCACTCTTTTAAAATCAAAGTCGCTAATAGCAACGAAATGTTTATTCAAAGTATTGTTTACATGGAATAGTTTTTATGAGAGTTTAAATTAGTTTATAATAAATCCTCCCTAAAACCTGGTTTTGCACAAACTGTTTAGTCAAATTAGTTGCTCTAAGCCAGTCTATTTTCCCTACTTGCGCATCCTGCTACGGCTAGTGTGGTGCTGAGGAGTGTGTGTGTTTGTGTGTGCGCGCACGCACGCACGCGTGTGTTACAGGAGCTGGTTCCACACTTGTGCCGTCACGCTGAGCTCGACAGCCAGCCACAGAAAGAATGAGGAGGGGTGGCGGCATGCCGGACCACCGGTGCCCCGGGCAGTATCACCAGCTTGCGGGAGATGAATGAAACCTGCGCCCCCACTCGTCTAGAATATCTAATCACGTGGCCGGCGACTTGAATTAGCGACGGTGCTCGCAACGATGCGGTGAAACGTTTCCGTGTGGCCGGGGCCATCACAAAGCCTTGTTGCTGCACATGCGTACATACATACATGCAAACACACGCACACACACAAGGCACCATTTTAACTTGGAAGTGAATCGTTTCTGTTGAGTATCTGACGTAGGTAGAGGTTGCACCAGGAGGTCCGGAGTTCTGTTTTAGTGTACATGAAGCACAGTTATTTTGATTGCAGTGCAGCCCTTCGCACTTGCACGTCCACTTACTCGCCTGACCGATTGTCAGGCCACCGCTCGGTGTGGTTTTTATACAGTAGGTGAATGTGTGAGAGAAACGAAGATCTACATTGATTGCAGTTGATCAGTCCTCCTGTGGCATCCATACACTATGTTTGTACTCACTGTTTTGTACACTGTGTGAGAGACTGTTGTTGATTTTTAAACGGTCTCGCCATTTGACTTGTTATTGCGATTTTAAGTTTAATTGTCGTGCTCAAGACATGAGCTGGCGTAAATGCCTAGTGTCGACTCGGTGAATATGCCCTTCGTGGTGTTCAGACGGCAAGCTCCTTAGACTCGTTGGAGAAAAGACCTGCTTACTGTGGTGGTGATGTGAAAACATTGCCAGATGCAGTGATGATGTAAGAGCCAGGGTGGTTCACTCTGTGTTCTACATTGGAAAGGTTGTACTGCAAAGGCCCGGAGCAAGAATGTTAACTCTGGTCCACGCAGGAATGTAGAGAATGTTTAGCCATGTTGACCCGGGAAGGGAGTACACTTGTCAACCAAAAAAGTATCACAACACAAGAAATATTTTGTTTTGGGTGTGATGTGTGCAAGTGTAGACCCCTGATGCTGGCAAAAGCCAAAGAGGGTGAAAGTGAAGTGATTAGTTTTGTTTATGTTTTGAACCGCTTTGCCACAAAGAACCTGGTGCCTCCCTAATATGGCGGTGATGGCTTGCACACGATCAGAAAGTGAGGGAGCAGTGAGCCAACGTGTGCGTACAGATACCAGTGTCCCCAACTACTTCCTGAGCAGGATACACGGAAGTATTTGCCGGTCATCGCTGGCTGTTTATTTGAGAGTCGCTAAACCAAACCCTTTAACGCAACTGCCCAATCCTTGAAGGTTGCAGCAGCAATCCAAATCCAGTTGATTCAAAGATCTGGACCAGGTTTCCTTGACCATCTTCGTCAGCCGTCGGCAGTGTTTCTATTGCACATTTCGTATTGAGTGGGTTTCAGTGCACTGCAGACAATTTGAATAAGGCAAGCATCTAGCAGTGTTAAATGCAATCGGGGCTTGCAATGAATCTAGTAAAGCACTATAATGGATTGGACAAAAAAGCATGTGAAATGAAAATTAAGTTTTTGCAGGTTGACCCATTTTTAATGTGGGTGGTGCATGCTGTTCATTGCTAACTGGTACAACTTTATCATGATTGCTTCTATCAACGTGTACCCATTCTGTACCCCAAAGTGCTGTCGTTCTTTCCAGCAGCTGAGACTTGTAAAAGTCTTAACCAAATTATGTGAAAGATGAGGTGATTGCAAAAAACGTTAATCTTCCTTATAAAACCACATGGGCTCTGGTTGGACCACATTTATCTTGGAGCAGCAGGGTTGGGTTGGTTTGGGTTTAGCAAGTTGGGGAGAAGTGTTACGCAGGAGTTACAGCCATGGAGGTTTTGGGGAGAGCACCACAACGAACGTAAAGTTACGGCACTGTGTGGGGTGAATTGCGTGCGTGGTATTATTTCCATTGCTTGAGTTGGATGTGACGCATGTGTTTATTTTCCTTGAGATGGCTCGTGTGAAGGTGCTCCTGCCTGAGAGTTGTCAACCACCGACGTCGCGCCTCGTCAGCATTAGTGCGGTTCAACGGCCCTTGTGCAGTAGCGTTTGCGTTATTTTGCCCAAAGCAACGAGGGATAATTTATGGTAAACCTTTAAATACATCTCCCATTGTTTTGCCAGTGTCACTTGGGATCCTCTTACAATGCTGCTTTTGCGGCACATGTGTGGGGACTGTGCCTTCGGGGGTTCATGCGTGAAAGCTCCCGTGCATTGTGTGAAATTCTGAACATGTTTAAATATTGCCCCATTTCCAGAGCCATTTGGGAACGCTGAAGTACCCAATGCAATGTCTAAATGCGTGCCAACCTTCACTCCTGCATCGCCAAAGGCACAATCTTTACGATGTTGCATATCAACTGGGCTGCATCGTTTTACTGGCACCACCAAGTTGAATTGCTCTTGGGAGTTACTGCTCGTTTTGTGGCCATTTTGTATGGGAGCTGTTGACATTTGGGATGTGGCGTCACGTAGTCTGTAATTCATTGAATTATTTTCAATATTGCAGAAAACGTGAACATGCATGGTTAATATCAGTTTTGGTAGACTCGGCAGAGGTGTGTTCAGTATCGACAATGCACAACAGCATGACTGAAACACCTGCCCACATACCACCTGCATTAAAATTAAGTTAAAGCTGAGGTGCCTGAAGGGTGATGAGTAGGAGCACCTCGCCGTGGTTGTGGCGAGTGCAGAGGGAGCGGTGTGGAGCCGTCCAGCGTGCCGTGGTGTAGCGTGATTATACTGCACGAGCGTGGCCTTGTGACTGGAACTTAGGCGCACATGTCTTCCTCCTGACTGGGGTTTGACACCCCTCGCCCACAAGAGGCCCTTGAAGTGCCTCCTCTGCCACGACAATCCAATTGGGAAATCGGCAATTGAAACTTTTCTTTCGGCGAGCATCGGATAGCACACAGACCACGGATTGTGCTGGTTTCATGACAAGCAGGACCTCGAAACGAAACAAGGGTTTGAGCTGGATTGTCACAAGAGGACAGTTTGCCAGATTCTAGGTAAAAAGTAATCGAACAAAGCCATGTCAAAAGAAGGTTAATATCGCGGTGTAACCCGATGCCATGTAAATGTACAAAGCGTTTACACAGTTCTTTTTAATTGTAGGATTTACTCAGTAATTTTTTTTATCACATGAAATGTTTCTTAACTACATTTGACAATGAGATACAAGTTACATATCGTGGCCTTGTGTGATGTGCGATGTCTCGCTTAAAACATGCCGATGGGTGCATTGGTCGTCGGCATCGTGAGTTTGAGGGGGAGTTTTGAGAGCCTCAACCCAGGGCTTTCACTCACCCGTTCGGCTGAGAGGAGGTGGCTTTACCGGTGCAGGTGGCACCGTGATGTCTGGTGCCACTCATTCTGGGTGGAGTGAGAGGCCGTGTGGGTCTCATTGTGGTAAAAGGAGGACGTGTGCACCACGTTCTAAACTGTTTACTTTTTGTATTCACTTTTCCTAAGTTAAAAAATATTTCAAACTTGTGAATCCTGGGCATCGGCTTGTGGATTAGGTGCTCGAGAAGCTGACGGCCATCTTTGCAGGAACTTCCTGCCACACGGGTTACAAACACATGTCAAAGGCCCACATGTATATCATTAGTTTCTCATAGTTGTAGTCATGCATGCATCGTTAAGCTATTGTACAGATAATTCACATGGCAATGGCATTAAGGTGGAATGTAGACACCAGGAATTGAGAGTTGGAGCTTTTGACAGTAGTGATGTAGCTGAAGCTTCTACTCATCGGATTTTAGCGAAATTTGGCAAAGTCCATCACTATTCTCGTGCTACTCGAGTGTGTGACATGCACCTGTGTGAATGTAGCGCCTAACCCACAGACCAGACCCAGCAGACACACGCGTGCCTTGTGTGTGTTTCAGGAAGCTTTAAGTTGAAACATTCTTGAAAAAATCTTAAAAATAAAATAAAATTCTCATTATGTGTGTTGTGTGTTTACTTGGTAGAGGGGTATATCATCATCGCACCAGCTCTTCCACAATGTGGGAGGGAATCTCAGATGACCGCTTATAAGAGCTACACTAACGTTATGGGTCTAGCAACATTTAAATAAATAAAAACACGGGAAATGTGTCGTGCCTGACGAATCCAGATTCACACTGACCCAGGTTAGGACCAGTATGGGTTTGGACTTGATATGGTCATGATTCGATTCTGGTTTGGATTAAGTTCCTGGCTCAACGGTCGTTTTGTTTGGGGTCCTAATAGGATTGAGGTCCCGGTTTGGGTCCTAGCTTAGTTAGGGTATGGCCAGATCAAGTATAAGTCTGGTCCGACTGAAACAGGTTGAAGTCCAGGTTGCATACCTATCAACCCATACGGTTTACCCGTATTCTTGTACAGGAAAAAAATAAGAGTGTTCAGGTTCATACGGCGTTTCGCCGTTTCAATACGGGCACATTTTTTTGTCCGTTTCTTCCTTGTGACGGAACCTTGTAGGATGAACGTTGAGATTTATAAGGAGCACGGGGTGACCAACAAGGTCTGAATTAGTCTGTAAATAAGGTAGGGCACTGATAAGGGGTTGACAGTTATGGGGTTGGATTTGGCATGGCCTGTGTCCAACATTGGGACTATGACCCAGGTTGGAGCCGACACGGCGGGTTGTGTCTGACCCTGGCCTGGTGCAGGTCTGGCCAGGTGATGTGCTGCTGACCAGGTGATGTGCTGGCAAGGTGCTGTTCTACTGACCAGGTGATTTCGAAAAGTTTTTTGGTTTGGCCGTGTTTGTTGTAGTACGGAGTAAGACTGATGGCGTTAATCTAAGTTGTCTTGTGGTTGTTGTTTGACTTGCATCCCACTGGGATTTCTGCACAGCGTTGGTGTACGGTGTTTTTTCTGCAATATTTTGCTGTTTTTTTCTTGGATTTTCTGTTTGCACTTAGTCACATATTCACTTTAAGATGTTTTCTTGTTCATGTTTTTTTTTGTTGCGGTTGCACCCGATTCAAGAGCCGAATGGCTCACAGGGCTATACCAAATAAATTAACTTGAGGTGCTGTTCTGCTACTGACCAGGTGATGTTCTGCTGACCAGGTGATGTTCTGCTGACCAGGTGATGTGCTGCTGACCAGGTGATGTGCTGCTGGCCAGGTGATGTGCTGTTCTGCTGACCAGGTGCTCTTCTGCTGACCAGGTGATGTTTTGCTGCTGACCAGGTGCTGTTCTGACCAGGTGGTGCTGTTCTACTGAACAGGTGATGTGCTGTTCTACTGACCAGGTGCTCTTCTGACCAGGTGGTGCTGTTCTACTGACCAGGTGCTGTTCTACTGACCAGGTGCTGTTCTACTGACCAGGTGCTCTTCTGACCAGGTGGTGCTGTTCTACTGACCAGGTGCTGTTCTACTGACCAGGTGATGTTCTACGGACCAGGTGCTGTTCTACTGACCAGGTGCTGTTCTACTGACCAGGTGCTCTTCTGACCAGGTGGTGCTGTTCTACTGACCAGGTGCTGTTCTACTGACCAGGTGATGTTCTACGGACCAGGTGCTGTTCTACGGACCAGGTGCTGTTCTACTGACCAGGTGCTGTTCTGCTCCCCGTCTGTTCTGTGCTGCAGCCGCTCCGAGCCGTGGGCGTGCCCCCGCTGCCTCCCGGGGCCCCGCTCGGGTGACGTCACCGAGCTATGGGGCGGCCCGTGGCTCAGCTCGCCGTGCGTCTCCTCTTCTTCGGCTCCGTGCTCGTGGGTCGCTTCGCAGCCATGGCGTGGCGCTCCAGCGGCTCCTCCAACGCCGAGCTCGTGGGGAACCTCAGGAGTGAGTGCGCAGTCGCCGACCGGGAGGAGGGCACGGGAGCCCGAGGGCCGCTGCCACCGTGCTCGGTGATGCCGTGGAGCCCGAGCCCTGGTCGGTAGGGGTGTTAGGCGAGGCAGAGGCGTTGGCGTTCGCCTAGGCCCGGCTTCGCTGCGGTGTTTGCGGCGGGAGGGGGACCCGTTCACGTAATGCGTCACTTTCTTCGCTGTCGACAATTCTGCGTTGGCGTCTAACACCGATGCGAGGCGGCAATTGAAATGAAAAACGTAATTGCTCCAATAACTTGTGCGTCGCTAATTAATATGTTAGTTTTGCGAGCAGCCGCATGCTCGCAGCATTTGAGCCGGAGTTTGTGCAAATTTCGCCACCCCGCCTCCCCTCCTGGCCGTGTGGTTATTGTGGTGGTGGTGGCGGCGGTGTCAAGACGAGTCGTGCTGATGAGACCAGTCCGTGGTGGTGGTGAACCCATGGTGGCACAGCCGTGGTTTTGTAAATCGTGGTGGTTGGTGGTGGTGGTGATAATTTGGGGTAGCGGTTAGCGCGCTGTGCTACGGACCTGGTGACCCGAGTTCGATTCCCGCTCACGGCCAACACCCAGTGACGATTATCTGTATCGGTCATGGGCCTCCCCTAGGTCGACTCAGCCTCATTAATACCCGGTGTGGTGTGTAAACATCGCCACTGGGGAGACAAAGGCGGTCGGGCGTGTTTGTTGGCCACCCACCCCCCTCGTGTGTCGTGCCGGGCTTCATAGGTTGATCGCTAACAGCACTTACCCCAACAGTCTAAAATTGACCCACCTTTCAAAAATAGAGCTGTCAGCTCCCCGACCCTGATGTTGGCCGCATTGCAGTGGCTGCCGCTCTCTCGCCGTGACTGTAATGCGGTGGTCGTGCCAATGGTGATCACCATCGCCTCGCCGGGCCGTGTAACGAATGCCGCGTCTTGAATTCACAAATTATCTTTATGGCGGTACCCTGGGGTACCAAATAATACAAAATGGGCCGAGGCAATTAAATATTTTATTTCTGGGACACTATTTTTTTCCAGGCGTGTACTTCACTCTGCGACTGGGGTACCAATCAATCCGGAATCAGTGCCACTTCGCGATGTCCAAATGCAGCGAGTATGATAGCGCCGAAACCCTGAACGCTCGTATGCACCATAGTTAGTGCATCGTGTACAGCTCGTCGAGATGAGTCAATTGCCGGCCGACCATCAACAGACTAAAAATGACTGCATCACGGACATTTTGCGAGAGCCGGGGTACTACGCATATCCCGGGGTACCGCCATGAGGTTCATATCCCGCTCCCCCCCAACAGAGAATGGGGTCATCAAGTCGGAGCGCGTCTACCAAGTGATGCTCGCGACAGACCGCAAGCACTACGCCAAACGCAACCCCTACGTGGACACACCTCAGTCCATAGGTGAGCGCTGCCGGCACGTCGGAGCGTGCGAAAGGTAGGGCAGCAGGCCGCCCGGGTTTGCTGGTGTCTCGCCGTGGTCTATATGTGTGCGTGTGTGGTTTTTTTAAAGCGGGGCGGTAGTGTCGTGGTTACATACCTGTCAACCCCTTATCAGTGCCTACCTTATTACAGACCAATTCAGACCTTTAGAAATCTCAACGTTCATCCTATAAAGTCCCATCACAAGGGTGAAACATAAAAAACAAAGACAAAAATAAGATTTTTTTGCCCGTATTTAAATGGCTGTATGCCGTATGGACCTGAAAACTCAATTTCCCTCTTCAGGTAAACCGTATGGGTTGACAGGTACGTGGTTAGCGCACTGCGCTAAAAACCTAGCGGCTCCAGTTCGATTCCAGCTCACGACCAACACCAGTGGCGATTTTTGGAACCAGTCCTGGGCCTCCCCTAGGACGACTCGACCTCAAATGAGTACCCAGTGCGGTGTGTAAACATCACCACTGGGGAGACAAAGGCGGTCGGGCGTGGTGCTGCCCACCCACCCCCTCGTTTACTGTACTTGCCTTCATAGGTGCTCGCTCACAACACTTGCCCCAACAGTCTGTTAAGGCTACACGGGGGTCTTTGTCTTTTTTAAGCAATCGGTTAAAACGCTCCCATGACGTATTCACCTGAGATTCTAAAGCCGGCGAGAACGTTCACACGCGATCGTTGTTTTATCCCACAGGCTATCACGCCACCGTCAGCGCCCCGCACATGGTAAAAGCACATCTCCTTATTGCTGTAAATATTCAACTGGAAAATACACAGCATTTGCACTCTTTTTTTCTCCCTTCAACTTCCAAGTATTAAGACACTTGTCTTGTCGGACCAGAGTAGAGGTTGAAACCTTGTCCACAGTGTCATCTGTCAAAAGAGCTTGGCAGCATGCCACAAGGCCGGCCAATGCAGTCGTGCGAGTCCCCTTGTGTCATTGCTTTTGCCCGCTTGCGTGTGTGCATTAGCACGCATTTGCGCTGGAGCTGCTGCAGGATCGGCTGCAGGAGGGCGCCTCGGCACTGGACGTGGGCTCCGGCAGCGGCTACCTCACCGCCTGCTTGGCCAGGATGGTACGGGGAGACGGGCCTCGGGTTAGGGCTGCACTTGTTGCCCTGGTCCCTAATGTTAACCATATGAGCTGGCCCATTGTATTACCATAGATCCAGCACTACTAGGCTTGGCCCTTCCTCACGAAAGCATTTTTGTCATAATGATCAATTGATGGACCTTGTGCATGGTATTTAGCATAGTGTGCAATGCATATGGTGACGTGATATGTTTGGTCAGACACTCATTGTCAACATGGCATGGGGTAGGTCTTCATACTGCAGTGGATTGACAAGAGGCCCTACATTATTGATGCAATAATCATTCTGCAATGATTATTTAATGTTGGGCTTTTTATATAAGAGCATCATGGAAGTTCAGTTTACCATGGAAGTCCCGTTTACAATGGAAGTCCAGTTTAAATTATGTTTCATTAGCGATGGCCTGCATTGGCACAGCCCGTATGTGTGCTGACATCCCCAACTGCTGCAGATTGGGCCACGCGGAAAGATCATTGGGGTGGATCACATCCAGGAGCTGGTGAGCGAAGCCAAGGTGAACGTGCAGAGGGATGACCCCAGCCTTATCACATCCGGCCGCATAAAGCTGATCCGTGAGCACCGGCACGTCTCATTTCACACCGTCGTTACATGGAAGCAGGGCCTCTGCTGAGAAGCAAGCAACCAGGCTTCCGTCAAAATCTTATTCGCGCTGCTTGTGCCTCCAGAAAACAAATTTGCACCTTCCCGTGAAATTGTATGTTGCAATTGTAGGTGTTCATTGAGCACCCTAAGATTAACTCAGGATTGTGTGCGTGTGTGAAGTTGGGGACGGACGGCTCGGCTACCTGGAGGGGGCACCGTACGATGCCATCCACGTGGGGGCAGCAGCAGCCATCGTGCCGCATGCCGTGAGTGTCATTCCACCAAATGACATTCGATATTATCGACTGGCGATGTCCTTGCCACACAAAGTTCACCAATGAACAAGATTAAATGCTTGCAGTAACTGCCGACATTAATTAATCTTCTACTTGAAATTAAATTTTTCATAACGTTATCTCGCCATGTCGTGCAGTGGTGTCATCTGGTTTTATGCACCGGCCCCGCTTGTTGTGCTTCCCCCCCCTCCTCCCCTGGCTCCCAGCTCCTGGACCAGCTGAAGCCGGGGGGGCGCCTGGTGCTGCCCGTGGGGGCAGCGGGCGGCGACCAGATGCTGGAGCAGCATGACAAGTTGGAGGACGGTACCATCAGGAGCAAGCCGCTCATGTCCGTCATGTATGTGCCGCTCACCGACCGCGACAAGCAGTGGTCCAGGTGCTACTGACTTCCTTGTTGGCCCCTTCCTGTCCCTCCCACAGCCACAGGCAAGGCCCCCACGCCTGCACTAGTACATTTTGTCTCACGAGCACACACTGTCACGACACCTATAAAATAATCAGTGCTTCTTTTTTTTTTCCTGCAGCCTAGACGCAAGCCATGGCAGCGGGTAGTGGTTGGAAGCATTCATGGGTATTTATGCACATTCAGTGCATCTGCAGCCTGGTTTGCAGTGGGATTCACATAGAGTAAGATTAGCGTGGAGTGGTGTTGGCGCATGGGTTGGCATGGAGTGAGACAGGCATGTTGGTTGTCACAGAGAGCCAATTACTTAGGTGCTTAAGCTTGTTTAACCGTTTAAACATACATACAAACGTACTGATTTGCAAAGCAAAACCATCAGGGCATGCTTTAGAAGATTCCTCTGGACTAATGATTCATAGTTGTGATACAGATTAACCATAGATTTTTCATTCATGTTGGATAACATGCAGAGTTGGCAGGCATTGATCAACGCGAGCATCAAGAGTGAGTGGATGATGCAGAGCAATACAAAAGTTACTGGGCACACGTGGTTGTGACGTGGTTTGGACTGTGTGATGTTGACGCCCCAGCGTGGAGGCCATCATATACCTGTCTGATAATCTCGATGACTTGTTTCACACTATGTGTATCGTTGTCCATTCGGTGCACCAACAGGCTCTCCTTTATGCGTGTGTGCTGTCTGCGCCACAGGGACGAGTTGTGAAGCAGACCCGCAGGGATGGCCGTGCCGTAGCCAGCGCCAGGCTGTCGGCAACCCGACTGTTTGTGCTTGGAGCCAAAGCGCAGCGACGACGCAAAGGAAGGCGCGCCTCCGGGGTTGTCAGCGTGACGTGTGCTGCCACGCCAGCGTGCTCGCCGCATGACTGGCGAGCGCATTGTATCGGGGACACATTGCGCACAGCCTTTGCCGTGCACTGTGCTGCACAGTGGCTTCATGGGGACGGAGAACCCCGTGAGCGATGCTTTGTTTACGAATGTAGTGCTTCCAGTGGAATTGCCGGTGTGATGGAGTGTAATATTTTCATGTAAAAATGAAGTGTACAGTTGAGGGCGAGGAAAGGCCCTTTGCATGGCCTTACGTCATGTGACGGGTGAGAGGTGTCGGGTCTGGGAGAGAAGCCGTTGTCTGCTTGCTTTCCAAGATTTTTGTTTTGCTGTAAACCACAGCCGTTCCCGCGTGTTCCCTTGTAGATTTTGTTGCAGCTCCCAAAATGCGGCTGTGGTTTAGCTTCCTTTCATCTGCATGACTTGCGGTGAGGCTAAGCCTTATTGTTTGCCGTGCATCTTCAGCCTCGGCTGTGTTACTTTTCTTCCCGAGCACTTAAGTCGCTGCCTGCCTGCAGCTTCGGAGAACTGTTTCTCTAATAAACCTGCGACTTCTAAGCATCCTCATGAGATTCTTTATTATTCTTTCACACTTAGAAAAGCTAATCTGAGTTGGAGCAAGAACAGAAATGACGTATATGCACAAATCATGATTTAAAATATGCTTTAAACAAATATTTTGGTCGTAGATTACATGAATGGTAAAACATTTTTAACGAGTATCTTTTGAACATAATTGGAGTAAAAGCCAATGAGTGCTGTCCCATACTTTGCCAATTATGTTTTAAACAGACAAACATTTGGACACGGAATAACTTTTCATCCCATGTAAACATTTGAACTCGTGCAGCCCTGTGCGTTGAGCAGTGAGATCGAACAACACTCGTGACTTGCACGGCGTGGGTGATACCTCATCCAGTTGTGATTGACAAAGGGCTGACCATTATTTTTTTTATTTTGTGTAACAACCGCAATACATCCTTTAAATTTAAACTATAAAAAAATATATGTAGGGAGCACGGGACATTGCAAGGCTATGCTACACCTACAAATACGTGATTTTAAACATCTATTTGTTGTTGAGGCCATAGTTTTTATCACGTGATCCAATTAACTGGACAAAGCCCTAGCACAGGGGTGGGTGACCTTTCCTTACTGGGGGCCCAAATAAGACCTTCAAATACCTTTGGCGGGCAACACATTAACACTACACTGTTGCATTATTCGATGTCACTCCAAAGGGTATAGAAGCATTTGCAGTTAGAGAAATGGCCGAATGCCCTAAAATCACAAGCGCGATATTGCCAGGTAAAAAGTCTAAGTGGTGCCGTGGTGGTGAGACGTTATCTCCCTCGCCTGGTATGGAGGAGGTTGTGGTTTGATCCCGACCCTTGACGCCTGCTGCTGTATATTTGGAGTTTGCTCGTTCTCGCCGTGGTCGTGTGGATTTTTCTCCAGGTCTGGGTCCTCCGGTGTTTTCCTCCACATTTAGAAACGTGTTGATATTATTTGGCTGCTAGAAATATCCACGTGATAAGCCACTTCGTTGAGCGCTCATATGTGGCCACGTCGCTTCTGAAAAAGCTAATCGCTCGGTGGGCCTTCCCTTGTAAATATCTTTTTTAATTACCTGATGATTGCAGCAAAGAATCTTACAGTGACGGATACGTTTATTTGCGGGCTGTTTGGAAGTGGTAGGCCCTGTGGCCGTGGGCGATATGAAATGAGGGCCGGATGCAGCCTGCGAGTCGTAGGTTGCCTACCCTTGCCTTGGAGGAACGGGTCATCGCCGCTGGCCGGAGGAGTGACACGACCCGGCACACGGGCTGGACTCCCCCACTGCTGGCACCGTCTCTAAGTTTAGCCCGCCCCCTGCACGGTCGTGACGGCACATGGAATGGGATGCCCGGCGGCTGATGACCATGTCCTGGGGTCGCAACCACGACACCAATGCCAACATGGTCAGTTACTTGCGAGGTGAGTGGTGTTGGCGCAACAAAAGCTATTTCCACGCGCGCACAGCCTGAATGAGACGGCAATTCCACGGATTTGGCGTTGCCGTGGCAGTGAATCGCGCCGTGTTTTGTTCACAGCCTGCCCCGTGATGCGTTGTCGCGAGGTGGTGGTGGGTTATAGACGGTTCTATAAATACATGACGGCATAGCTTGAAGGATACACTAGCCGGTTAGCGCAATGCTTTGATACCCCAGTTAGGAGCCAGCTTTAGCTGCGGTGCCGTTACTGCATGGCAATGAATGTGTGTGCACCACGGAGGGTGACAGAACATGTTGGGCGAAAAACAAGCTTCATGAATAATACATGGCACACATGCTCCGAGCCCTACACTTGACCTCTGGCCTACTCAGTCATGAACTGGGCAAAGTCAACCCCATATACCCTCCTTGCCGCCCACCCTTCCCTGCTTAAAATAGCACGGTTACAACAATTCAGCAGGCATCCAGATGGGAAAAATATCGAATCTTTTTTTTTGTTCACTCCACAAGTTCACTTTGAAAATGTTTCATAAATGAGTCGTGTGTGGTTTGTCATGCGAGTGGCTGGTGGGCAAGGCGTGTCCGTGACCTATGCATGCGCGCGTGTCCACTGTGAGCTTCTAGAGAACTCGTTCGCCTCCTCGGAGCGAGTGATCGGGGCCATGCTGGCCACCGACCGCGGACACTACACCCTCATGAACCCATACGAAGACCTTCCCCAGCCAATAGGTGTTGCATGCAGTGTGGACGTGCACGTGCAGCTGTTCCACGTGACCTCAAAAGAGTGTGTGGCCAGGCATTGTGGGATCAGTGGAAATTCACTTGAACAAGAAAATTCACCGCTTTGCTGGTGGCCTCCTGGTTTTGGTTTCCGATGTTTTTGTTTTGTTTGCTCCAGGTGGAACTGCTCACTTCCTGGGTTTGAATGTGGGTTTCGGCGACGTGTGATTAAACTGGGTCGTTGAGTGCAGTGGAGTTTGATTGAGTCAGCCTGGTCACCAATGGCTTACGGCAACAAAAATCACGTGAACTTTGGTTTTTCATTTCAGCAAAACAATCAAGGATCTGAGTGTTTTAAAGTTTGACTGCCACGTGACGAGCATCTCTGTCGCAGGCTGCGTGTGGGAATGTGCAATAACGCTGGTGCAACCCACCATTCTGCGGGCCGTGTGGACGCTCCGTATCAGGACGTAGTGGTGCCCATAGTGCAGGGGTGGGGAACGTCCGGCCCGCGGGCCGTATTAGGCCCGCGGGCCGTATAAGGCCCGCGAAATCATTTGGTGTGGCCCTGCCAAGGCAAGCGCAGGCGGGACTCGAAATTCAATAAATCTAGGAGCAAACCTGGAAGAGCAGTTGCGAGTAGCAACATCATCAATCCCAGCTAACATCACACGCCTCACCAAAGAGAAGCAGTTCCAGCCATCACATTAGGGGTGAGTTAATGAAATGTCTTCTTGGTTCTTTCGGTAAAGTCACGTAGAAGGGAAGTAATAAAATAATAAAAATAAAACATAATAAAACAATTCTCACGACGTTTCGGCCACAACGCAAGCAGCCGTCCTCAGGTGAAAACCAGGTCCGTCGAGGCGACAGACGGACCTGGTTTTCACCTGAGGACGGCTGCTTGCGTTGTGGCCGAAACGTCGTGAGAATTGTTTTATTATGTTTTATTTTTATTATTTTATTACTTCCCTTCTACGTGACTTTACCGAAAGAACCAAGAAGATGAATCCCTGCAGTCACGAAAGCTTTAAATCGAAAATTTATGAAATGTTTGACCAAATATAACAGGCAAATTTTTAAGTTGATAATTTTGTATGGCCCGCGAATGATGTTATAAATATCCAAATGGCAATTGGCAGAAAAAGGTTCCCCACCCCTGCAATAGTACAATCAATACATTGGGGGTGGGGATATGAAAATGAGAAAAATTCTGATCTGATTACCGATTAGTCCGCTTTTGTTTCTGTCTTGCAGTTAATTTGTGTCTTTCAGTTTGAGACAACCCCAATGCGTTAATGTGTCACTGTTCTTTCCGTAATTTTCTCTTTTTCTTCACGCAGGCTATTACGCGACAATAAGCGCACCACGAATGGTAGGAAATATTTACAACTGGGTCATTATTAAAATTGAGTAATTTTGTTTAATGACACATAAGAGGAATGAGTTTCGGATTTCAGACATTCGGGTTATTCAGGGAAATTTCTGATCTTTTTTTCGGATTTTCAGATCATTTGCATTGCAGTGCGTTATGTGTCGATGGTTGTCTGCGTGCTAACAAAACTTATGCCACCCATTGCCACGTGCCACCGTTTCTGGCTGGAAATAGTGATGTCACTTCCTCCTTCGGCTCATTCCGAAATCTTTGGCAAAAATAAGTAATATTTTTTTTTTTACTTTTTTTAAAACACGCTTTTATGAAATGTACTAGTAATGGAAGAACTCCACGACTCCAGGAAGTGGCCCAGAAACTTGCCATAACGTAAGGGGGCCGTGGGCAATTACAGCCAACGTTAGTTGACCACAATTCGACCCAAGCCGAAACATAACATGTAAAAAAAAAATGTATATAGATTTTTTTTATGATAGAATATAGTATTGTCATCAGTATGACATAAGTATACCAAGTTTGCAGTCGATACCACATTGGGAAGTGTGTTAAAATTGAGTTACAAGATTTGTGGATACAACAACGACAACAACAACAGAGTGAGTTAAATGAAAGCGTGAAAAAAAAAATCGAAAATGTCTCAGAATTTGCATCTGGACGTGAGCAAGTCACGAGTGCGCGTGTGCATTGGAAATTGTGTTAATACACTTCTACGCAAATTGGATTTAACTGGCTCAAAATGGTGCAGTTTCAAATTAGTGTGTGTCCGGACTTTGAGGTCTGTGTTGCTTGCTGACATCACTTATCCCAACAGCTCACGTTGACTATAGCGGGGGGGGGGGGGGGGGGGGTTGCGTGCTCAGTAAACATGGAACGTTGAGGCAACGTTCCCCAAACGTTGGTCCAACGGTTCTAACCGAATGCCAACGTTCAGCCAACGTTGGGATTTTGACTGTGTGTGTCTGTGTGTGCGCTTCAGCGGTAGTGTAGCGGTTAGCACGTTGCGCTACGAACCTGGCGACCCGGGATCGATTCCTGCTCACGGCCAACACCAGTGACGATTATCTGAACCGGTCCTGGGCCTCCCCTAGGTCGACTCAGCCCCAAATGAGTACATGTTGCGATGTGTAAAAATCGCCACTAGGGAGACAAAGGCGGCCAGGCGTGGGGCTGGCCACCCACCCCCTCGTGTGCTGTGCCGACCTTCATAGGTTGCTCGCTAACAGCACTTGCCCCTACAGTCTGTGAAAGGCTACACGGGGAATATTTGTCTTTTTGTGTGCGCTTCAGCACGCGTTTGCGCTGGAGTTGCTGCAGGATAGGCTGCAGGAGGGAGCCTCGGCGCTGGACGTGGGCTCTGGGAGCGGCTACCTCACTGCCTGCTTGGCCAGGATGGTACGGGGGTGATAGTGGCACTGCCGGTGCCAACGTCGCCATTGAAAACAGCGTGAACACGCCAAGAGGGCAGTGGTGTTTGTGCGCGTGTGGATGATGAGGACAAGGTGGTGATGCAGCCACCAGTTAACCTATGGCACCTGGGTCTGTGCCGTGACCTATCAACAGAGCCTTTCTTTGTTGTCAGGAGTGGTGGTGAAGTGGTTAGTGCACTTCGCAATGAACCCCGGGGGACTGAGTTCGATTCCCATCAGTGGTGAGTGATGTCAGATGCGGCCATGGGCCTCAATTGGGATCACACACGGCAATCAATGCCCTCTCCTGTGAAAACGTGGCATAACGCTCCTGAAAAAGTCATGAGATTCGGTCAGGCTTTCCTGGGTAAACAAGCGCAAGCATAAAATAAAATGAGTACCTGGTGCACAGCGAGCTGAACAACAGCACTGGGCAGACAAAGACGGCCGAGAAAGGTTCTTGCCACACCACCCCTTCGTATAACAGCACTTGAATGTATGTACATGTATGTTGAACTTCTTTTGCACCGTGCGTAGCAAATCGTCTATGAGGCTACACTGCTGGTGGGCTGGGGGCTTCTCGTGTTTATGTGGAGCAGGTCGGGCTGAGGGGCCGTGTCATCGGGGTGGAGCACATCCCTGGGCTGGTGGACGACTCTTTGGAAAATATCACCCGGGACGACCCCTCGCTCATCTCTTTGGGCCGAGTGTCCATCAAGCGTGAGTGTGGACGTGGGGTCACCACGATTCGAAGGTCGATATCGACCTTTGTTGATGCCTCTGGCAGATTGTTTCTGGTTCCCACGGTCTACGCATTGCTCCTTCGTGCGGGTGTTTTTTTCTTTCTTTCTCCCACTAATCTTTACTCCATCATCCAGGTGTCGAGTATCAGGGCAACCCAGAGGTCATTTCCCATCAATTTCTCCTACATGGTACAATTTCTCCAGATTGTCTCCGTCTCTTCTAGTTCTACGCCCCCAAAAACACTGTACTTGTTTCTGCTTGGAGACTCCGCCATCAGTCAAACGTGAGAGATGTGCAAGCCACTTTTACCTGTACGACTTCAACACATAATTAAAAAAAACTCCACCGCCCTCATTCGCCACTCACGAACATGCGCCAGTCGCTTGGATCGACGAGTTGTTAGACGAGGCCACGCTGAATGCGACAGGAATAAACTGTGACAATGCCACGCAAAAAAACATCTCCCGTGACCGCTTGCCGTATCCATTGAAACAGAAGTTGCCGCCGTTGTAGGTGTAGTTATTGAGCACACTCGGATTCACTCAGCGCGTTTGTTTGTAGTTGGGGACGGGCGGCTCGGCTACCTGGAGGGGGCACCGTACGATGCCATCCACGTGGGGGCAGCAGCAGCCATGGTGCCGCATGCCGTGAGTGTCATTCCACCAAATGACTTTCGATATTATCGACTTGCGATGTCCTTGCCGCACAAAGTTCATCAATGAACAAGATTAAATGCTTGCAGTAACTGCCGACATTAATTCATCTTCGACTTGACGATTACATTTTTCATAACGTTATCTCGCCATGTCGTGCGGTGGTGTCATCTGGTTTTATGCACCGGCCCCGCTTGTTGTGCTTCCCCCCCCTCCTCCCCTGGATCCCAGCTCCTGGACCAGCTGAAGCCGGGGGGACGCCTGGTGCTGCCCGTGGGGGCAGTGGGCGGCGACCAGATGCTGGAGCAGCATGACAAGTTGGAGGACGGTACCATCAGGAGCAAGCCGCTCATGTCCGTCATGTATGTGCCGCTCACCGACCGCGACAAGCAGTGGCCGTGAACACCCATCGGGGGTCGTCGACGTGGGCCGGAGGTTGTTGGTGATTGTGAGCGGCGCTTCGATGGTGAAACTAAATCAAGGGACTGCATTGGCGGTGAACACGCCAAGTACAGAACCCCACCACGTTTGTCATTGACACCGCTTACGAATGTGGAGTTTTATTTTATTCATATGGTTTGGGCAATTCATGTAGCCATGGGCGTGGATTTTTTTTTAAATTGTGTCAGTATTTTCAGAGTATGCATTGATGTTGTGCATAGTGAAAGCCACCAAAGGGATTAATTTTATGTCTTTTGACAATTTGCAACGAGCCAGGAACCACGGCCGTTTGCAGCTCAACAGTTTATTGTAATTAAATACCCAGAAATTACAACGATCAATACTTATTATAAAAACCTGTCTCAAAACCTATTAAAAGTAACATAAAACAAGCTCAATAACCAAGCGCGATGCCCTCGAGTTGCATCGCATCGCGAACGCCCGTCTCTTCGTACAGAAACGGGTGGCAAACAGCAATGCTCATCACACACGCTGGCGTGGGTCGTTAAACCTGGCTCCGTTACCGAGCAGTCCGAGAAAACCTCGGCATTCGTGTTCACGCATGCCTTCTCTTAACGAGCACCAAAGCGTGCGCTCGCATGGAAGCTGCGTGTTGACTTGCGAGGGCTCCCGAGGTCGCTGGCAAAATGTATGGTAAGCATCGATGGTTCCAGGGCATCTCATCACGCAATTCAAAGCTACGAGCGTAAAGATTCACTTGGAGATTTGATGAATAGCCGCAATAAAAAACGTAACTTTTTTTTACATTGTAGTGAATGTAGCGGTCTGCAGTGGCTTCAGAGGCCACGTGAACCTGTTACACATACAAAATATACTTATCGAAAAACATCCGTTCTCGCGCACGCACGGTTCGATGCACGTACCGAGAGTTCAAAGACGCATGTCGGTGGATCAATGAATGCATCGTTAAAGCCCCCTTGAAAACAATGACTGAACCAACCTGCTCTGGCGCACATCGGTTCCTGTGTCTGAGCGCGAGTGCCAGTGCAATGGGGACCAGCAAATACAAAAGGTTCCAACATCGAGCCAAACGCATGGAAGGGTGAATCACAATACTATTTTAACATTTTGAACACATTTACAGTATTACATATTTACAAACACGTCCCTCGTCGCTGGGCCACAACACCAGATGTGAACGATGGCAGTCGGTGTCACCACCACAGTGCCCTCGCTCTCTTCGCTGTCGAAGTAATGTCACCACTTAACTTGGCAATTGCACACGTCGCATCATCATAAAAACCTTGTTCATCTTGTCTGTAGACATCTAGCAAAGTTGCGCCAAATTTAGCAATTACCGGTCGAGCATACTGGATCTTACGTGTGCAGTGGTGGCCGTGTCGACTCTTGGCACAAACCCGACCGTTCATCTCGACCCCAAAACTCAAAGCCAATGCAATAAAAAATGAAAATATTTAATCAACAGTCCAATGGACAATGTGGAGTGAGGCCAGCAATGTGTAATGTGCCAAGTTCGCATGCAGTGGTGGGAGACGGATGCCCCATGAGGAACTCAATTCTGTTGTTGCAGATCTCGGAGCCCAGGCCTGCTGAAAAACCAGGCACATAACAATTCACTTTCCTGGCTAATTGGTCTTCGCGATTTGGGGTCACGATTTGATAATTGTTTCTCGTTTGTATCACCCAACTCATCTGTCCTGCCGAATTGTGTTTCATTCATTCCATTGGTCCAAAGCTATAATCAGCAAAAATGTTATTGTGGTCTAAATGTATATCAGCATAAAGTTCCTGTTAATTGTAAATGCAATGCCTCGTGAGTGTACAATTCGCGTTTAACCGGCCAGGAAGAATGTACTCCACTGCACAAGTTCAGCGTGCATGGCTTAGGCAACACGGACAGTTATCGGTGGTTATAACGACGATTCTTTAAACAACAAAAAAATTATTGTAAAAATTCTGCTAAACTATTATCGGTACAAAAGAAAAGTTTTTGTTTTCTTATATACAAAACACAAACACACGCTGCAAAAGTTACGGCTTTTTCCAAAACTGCATTTACGGTGAAAGAGGAAGCGAGAAATGCGTGACCGTACCGTTGCATTCTCACAACCTGCGCCCAAGCGATCTCGTCACGGGTTCCCGATGGCAGAATCCCGTCGTCTCTTTCGACGACTCCCTGAACGCGGGGATGCTAAATAAGAAGAGGTTTGCACTTGTTGTTTCCTGCGGCAGTCCTGAGACACAGCTGTAGCCTGGGCCACCTTGCAGCCGTGTGCCTTCCTGATGATGCTTTGGGAAAACTGGCTTCAAATGATTCTTCAATGATAAGTCCAAAAAGGTTTAATTACAGAAACAAACGCAAAACAACCAAAGAGTTGCCGTCGAGGTCTGCGGAACTGCAGTGAAAAACGTGAAGATGATGGAGGAAAAGACCAGACTGGCGTTGTGCTGGGAGAGGCGTTGGGGGGGAATCTCTCAGCAGTGGTCCCCATGAGTGTGAGCTACTGAGTTCAATGGCCATCAGCCCTGCAGTGTGGCTACACCCGGTAACTACGTGGGAGCCCTGCTCACGTCACACACCACCCTGCAAGTGCCGTGCCGAGGTCACATTGCACAGCAGGGAGGGGAGGGGGGTTGGTGGGGATAGGCCCAGTAGAAAAGGGCAGACCGAAGCGGCGGTACTCAATGTGCGATGACACGGTGACCCCTTGACCTGGCACGATCATCCAGCGGCCTTGGGGAGGCGGTGCTGCTAGACGCTGCTCTGCTTGCCCATGAAGGGGCTGTGCGGCAGCTCTGCCATCAGGTGCGTGTTCTCCTCCTTGGTTTCGGCGCCGGGCTGCCCGTCCACGACCGTGGTGGTGGCGGTCGTCCCGTTGGTCGTGGCGGTGCCGTTGCTCGTCTGTTTTCGGCGAGCGCGGCGCAGCTTCCACACGACGAACACGACCATGAGGACAGCGACGAGCACGCCGAACAGCACCCCGACTACTGCAGCAGCAGCAGCAGCAGCAGGGCACACGCACAGGGATATGTAGGTTAGCGCAAGCACGCACCCCCACTTAGCAGACATAACCAACCCACTCGTGCTCCAATGCGATATTTACCCCAAAAACTCTGATCCCTCAATTGGCTGCTAATCCAAGCAGATTAATTTCAACATCTTCTACGTTAAATTTCGATTTGAAGCTTTCGTGACTGCAGGGATTCATCTTCTTGGTTCTTTCGGTAAAGTCACGTTGAAGGGAAATAATAAAAACAAAATTATGTTTTCTTTTTATTATTTTATTATTTCCCTTCTATGTGACTTTACCGAAAGAACCAAGACGATCTTCTACGTTCTTGCCCCTACCTACCTCTCCCCTCCTGTCTCACTACCTACCTCCCTCCTCTAACTCTACTCCCTTCCGTGCACTCAGACAGACCTATCCCCTCTTATTATTGTACATCTCCCGATAACTGCTTTCACTACAAAATAAAAATGCCCACTGCTTCTGTACAGCATCTGGTGATGTGGTCCATATTCGCTGCTGGGTAAGGCCACGTGTTATTGTATTGTACCCATCACTTCCAGATGTTGGAAAGTTTAAGAATGGACCTCGAAGGTCAGGAGTCATTTTACAACCAGAGGGATCCAGCAAAATAAGGTGACGGCGAGGAGTTCTGGCATCAACAGCACTGACCTTGATGACCCTGACCAATTTCTAAAACTAGTAATAGATTTGTTTTTGACAGAGCCGCCCTCCTTCATGCTGCGGCGTCTTGTAACGCTTCACACGCGATAAGCGACTTGCATTGCATCTCAAATATTTGAAAGGGCACCCCCAATGCCAGCAGTCCTTGTGGGCACAAGGAAACTCAGCACCCAGCCTGTAAATGGGCATTGTTATAAGCCGTTTGTAATCCCAATTGCGTAATTTTATGGTAATTTTATTTTATTTCATGCATTTGGACCATGACACCAGCACACAATGGCCTGTCTTTGAATAATGTCCAGGTGTTCTTTAACATCAACTGTGAAGCAGACTGCATATTCCGTGGATAATAGACGCGCGGTAATAACCACAGCGATTGCTGGGCTCGAAAAGCGAACCTCTCTTACAAGTGACATATGCAGCAACATAGAGCTATGCTACCACGCATTGTTCATACAAACAAGCACTGAACCTCTGTGGCCAGACACACGCAGCTGCTCCACAGATAAACAAACTCAGCGCTGTGCAGAGATTCCCTGCGTGAGTGTGACAGAGCTAAGTGTCGGTCAGTGCAGTTACCGTGAAGGGATCCAGACGTATTGATGTTTTTGTCGGCATTGGATTCTGCTGTGCACACATACAGGCCATCACACACACGCAAACAGTCATTAAGATGCCTGTCATCCGTAACATATATTGACAGAATAACTTTGCAGGAAATCGCCTGTTTTTGAAGAGACCGACCGACGCAGGTGAAGAGTGCATTTTGCAGTACGCGCTGCCTGGAAACTATCCTCGCCAAACGTTGGAATTATAACAATTACATGACACTGTGGACATTAGATTGCCACGATACATGTATCCTGAGCATGAGAATCGATTACAATTCACATTTCTTTTCCCAGGAGCAGGGCCAACCAAAAACCAGAGGGGGAGGGGGGGCACAAAAAGGGTAATTTGCCCCAGGCCTCACACGACAGAGGCCCCCCCACAACAAGCCTGCGGATGATGCAGTGAGCACATTCAGACTCAGGCCTCCAGCATCCTGCAGGTGGCCCCGTCCAGTAATGCCCCATCCGTGACTCTCAAAGCAGGGGTCAAACAGTTCAATGGAAGAGAATGAGGAGTTAGGGGCGGGGAAGCAAAGACGGCGTGGGTATCTGGGGGACCTGGGGGCCAGGCAGGAGATGGGGGCCTACCGGAGCAGGCCTTCAGGCAGATCTCCTCTGTCAAGTAATTGTTGAAACCGCCGGCACAGCCTCCATACGTGAACTTGGCGCAGCCGCCGGTGCTGTCGCTGTAGTACCAGCGCTGGAAGTGGGCCCGGCAAGGCCCAGTTTGTGGCTCCGCTTTGCAGAGGTCTGGAGTCGGTGCAGGCGAGAGCACAAGCAGACGCACACAAACAGATGCATGCACAACAACAATTACAACAGTCTCCATTCACCGCTGTGCGGCGGTGACGTCACCACAGCACCTGTGCCAGACTAGGTGTACTTGACGTCGCATGAAGTGAGGAAGGCTCATTGGCAGGTCAGGAAATAGACCCAGGTGTTCAGAGTTGACTGACAAATGCTTCTATACACAAAGATAAAGACACCCCATGTAACCTTTAACAGAAGTTTGTGGTCATCAAAGTTAAAGCAGTCATGTTTTAGGTTTGTAAAACAGAGGTTCAAACCTTCGAAGGAGTTGTCCGATTCCAACAGCCTTGAGCTGGAGCCTCCTGGGAGCAGACAACAAAAAGGATCACTCCATCACCATTCAGCCCATTTGCAAAACACACATTCTTTCACAATAATTGGAATGTATAAAGCAGCAAACATACAGCAGCACATCACTTTGTGTTTAGTTTCTTGTCCTCCCCCACACCTCCAAATAGCATGGTTGGCTACGTACGGTGCAAAAGAAGTTTAACATACATACTATGCCTTACAAGACAACCTCAAAAGCATAAACGGCGTGCAGAAATGTTTTTTCTGGGCAATGCGAAATATTCAAAAGCTGTGACTGGCAAGCGGGAAGTCTCCGGTGCCGTAACTTATCGTCACACCTTTAGACGGTCCACAGTTCGTCTTGCAGTCCGCCTCGTCTACGTAGTTGTTGTGGTTGCCACGGCAGCCGCCGTAGGTGAATTCCTTGCAGTGGCCGCTCTCTCCGTCGTAGGTCCAGCGCGTGAAGTATCCGCGGCACGGGCCCGTGACGGCCTCCATCAGGCACACCTCTGTGGACAGCGCTCGGCGTGACGGTGGTGCTTCGTCCAGGCTGCATTTGCCAATCAGATTCTGTTACGTTTCAGTATTTTTCCCCCAAGACTGTGCTGTCGTCGCCATGTCACAAGCTGAACGATCCATTCAGATATCTCGCAGAGCAGTGCAACCCAGTGGTGGCTATGCATGTGGCCTGTAATCCAGTACTGTGGAAGCAGTGAGGGTTCGTGGATCACCGCACAAATGTTGTGACACTCCCTTCCCATGTGCGTCAAGGAAGTGCATTACCCTGACTTGTTAGAATGCGGTTCAGTAAAGTGAGGACTAATAACGGTCCCTTCTGTATGGGATAGAGTGTTGCACCCTCACACACAGCGGTTTACTATGGGTGCTCTGGTTTCCTTCCATATGTATAAAGGCTCATTCAGTGGCTGAAAACATCTGAACAAAGAGGACTGCAGAGCTCAGGCAATTATTGGCACCAGTCACCACCTGCTGGCTGCCTTCCAGCTTGTCTGCAGTTCATCAGCGTTTGTGAGATGCAATTTGCATGACCGACGCAATATATAAATCCGCTATTATAACGGTCCACAGAAGAGGATATCACAGAGCTACCTAAGAAATCCCTGCGAGTGCGGTGCATTACCTGCGTCGAGCTTGTGCACCGCCAAGTGCAGCCGACCCTCTCCTTCGCCGATGTCCACTGCATCACCACACGACAAGCAGCGGCACGTTAACCCTCCCGGACACGTCACAGCAACGCACCTCCATGTACGAGCGACCCACGCTTCGTCCGTGAGTTCGGATCCTCCTCTTTTGTTGTTGTTGTTGTAAATTCCCCCCCCCCCCCCCCCCCCCCCAGTTTTGTCCCGTTTGTGCCATGATAGAAAAACCAATATCTTCATTGTCCGAGCTACAATTTAAACGTAATTTACATGCAGAAGCAAATTTAACTATATGGGGTTTTTTTACACGAGGATTGGTGACCGGGCCGAGACCATTAATTCGTCACATTTGGGAACATGGATTGATCACAAATGGCCGAAACCTGGTTTCTGATGCAGGATCTCAGCAGTGCTGGCTTAGCACTCTGACCTTTGAGCCACCTCACCAGCTGTCTGCCAATTCGATCGTTGAGGCTAGCCTAAACGTCTCCCCACTCACACCAGCTAGGCGGCCACACTAATCTTCACCTCTAGCCCTGAGCTAGTGGTAGAAATTCAACTATCCCATGGTAGGGATCATCCAAAAAGCAGGAACTGGCTGTTTTGAGTTTTCACAAAATAAGAATCGGTTGACCGAACCCTAGTTGGGACCTAAACTCGAAACTGCGCTACCCGGAAGGATTAACCACAACACCACCGGCTCAAAAACAATATAAGCCCGCGTGGTCTATGTGCCCTCCACACTCGGACCCCTGGTTCCTGGTGGCCTTGCTATGTGTGTCCGCATGCACACAGTGGTGGTGCAGCAGTCGGCGTACTTGCGCGACAAATACTGAAAACTAAGTTTGAGTTCCGTCCACAGCAAACGCGAGTGGCGAGTGATATCAGAACCAGTCCTGGGACTGAATTGAGCCCCTGATGTAGGATGTAAACATCAGCACACGCGGAGACAAAAACAGTTTGGCATAATACTGGCCACACCACTGCAGGCCCAAGTAGGTGCTCGCTAACAGCACTTGCCCCAACAGCCTGTTAGAAGCTACACGGGGGATCTGTGTGCTCCGAGCCGGGTCTCCGAGCTCCTCACCAGATCCGTCTTGCAGGCCGCACATGGCCACGCACTCCGTCTCGTCCAGAAAGTTGTTGTAATTTCCACTGCAACCACCGTATGTGAACTCCTTGCAGTGGCCGCTCTCGGCGTCGTATGTCCAGCGCGTGAAGGATCCACGGCACGGGCCCGTGACGGCCTCCAGCAGGCAGATGTCTTGACGTGGAAAAGTCATCCAACACAAAGAAATGAGAAAACAAGAATAATTTACTACGACTATACTACTACGACTATTTTTACTTACGAGGTAAGGCCCACTGAGTTATAGAGCTCTTTTTCAGAAACGACCTGGTGACCACAAATGATCTTTGCTTCATTGCTGTACTTTTATTTGTTTTGATTGTCATTTTGGTAATCCAGTTCACTGAATTAAAGATAATATGCTGGTCTCTAAACCTGACCTTCATCCTTAGTTGTAAGCTTTAAGAAATATAATTATAATGACCATTGCGACATCACAGAAATATTAAGTTATCTACTCAATCGTTACGGGGTTGAGTGGTGAAAGTGACGTCATAAATTACACAGAAAAGTGCCATCAAAATTCCTTCCTGAACCCCATACAAGCTCGTTTTTAAAAAAAATTGTGCCGAGTCTTACCGGGAGGGATCTCTGTGGCGACCATGCGGATGTTACCATCGTCGTCCTCTGCAAGAGAAGGAGGTCAGTGTCAGCGTTACATCGTCCAGTTGCCAGACCGACCAGGGTTTCGGTTATCAAATTAAACATTTACCGAACAATAATTCAACGTGCGATGGTGTCTGCACGTGCGCAGGGTACCCAGCGATCGGCCGCATGTGACCATGCACTCCGTCTCCTCCAGGAAGTTGTTGAAGTTTCCGCCGCAGCCTCCGTAGGTGAACTCCTTGCAGTTGCTGCTCTCAGCATCGTAGATCCAGCGCGTGAAAGAGCCTCGACAAGGCCCCACGGCCTCCTCCAGCAGGCAGATGTCTGATCGCACACGGAGTTGCGTTCGAGACCCGAAAGGATCGATGGGAAGTTAGAAACGGGGTCTGTGAGACAGCCGCCTTCTTTAATAATGGGGGAGGAAGCATAACGAACTGCCCATGACCTTGTGAACCTCACCTTCTGGAGGAGCCATGGTCCTGAATACGAGAGAGTGGTCGGCACCTGTGAGCGGAGAGGAGAGATCACGTGAGACCCAAGCTTGTGGCCCCGAGAGGCAACGCACTCGCAAACACGTGCTTATCTCGAGTGGCACTTTGCACCTGCTTATTGCCGGCAATCTCCTGCAGCATTGTACATACATGATCAACTCCCAAACTGCCAGCAGTAAACGGCCATTTTAAGTAAAACAAGAGTGTAGCGGTTTGGATTTACGATGAAAAAATTATGGCAGCTTTCGATTATTTTATTTTATGTTGCCCATCTCTTAGGTACGCCCCAGTTTTCCACCACATGCCTCGGTTTGTGCATTCGGTTGTAGACCTGCGTCACCGAGCGCGTGACCACGGAAACACCGTGGTTACCAGGAAACCACGTGGCGTGCGCGGCGACAAGTCGCGGAAAAAACACAAACGGATTAAATTCGCCATTGCCCAGCAACGCCGGCCCGCATGCCCGCCCGCTGGCACCCACCGTCGCTCGGTCCGCAGTCCATCAGGCACTCCGCCTCCTCAAGGAAGTTGTTCTGGTTGCCGCGACAACCGCCGTAGTTAAACTCCTTGCAGGTGCTTGTCGCGGCGACGTAGGTCCAGCGTGTGAAGGAGCCACGGCACGAGCCGGTGGTGGAATTCAGCAGGCACACGTCTACCCAGGCAGGTGGAGGAGTCAAGCGCATGAGGGAATAGGCAAGAGAGGCAATGGGCGTGGGAGGTAACGGGTACGAGAGCAAACGTGCGTGGGAGGGAACGGGCATGTGTGTGAAAGGGATGACAGTCTTACCGGCGGGGTCCAAGTTATCCGACTTTATCCGGGACCTCACCGCTGCAACAATGGCAATGACAACGCGTTAGATTCAAAGCTTTTAGAACGAAGGCCTCACAAAGTACTTGACAATCCCACCGCAATGCAGAGTGGCAACAAGATGAATACAAGATTTAAAAAAACAACTAATAAAAACACATATCATCGGTGATAAACGTTACATTCCTTTTTAATTTACAAGACGGAGATGAGGGATGACGGGGCTGTACCGGTGCCGTTTTGCAGGCCGCAGGTCGTTAGGCACTCGGCCTCCAGCAGGAAGTTGTTCTGATTTCCACGGCAGCCGCCGTAAGTGAACTCAGAGCAGGAGCCGTTGATCGGGGTGTAGACCCAGCGGGTGAACGAGCCACGGCACGGCCCTGTCAACGCCTCCAGCCTGCAGAACTCTGACGGCGACACAGGGAGACAGAACGCGGGACGTGAGAGACAGGAGACGCACGACCAAGGCTCAGGGCGGTGGAGAGTGGCGGTGCAGAGTGGCGGTGGAGAGTGCTGCAGCGACGTGGATTACCGTAGCTCTGCAGCGTTCTTCCTTTTCCTGACATCGGATCTGTAATGGGAGCAAAAACAGAGGGGAGTTACTTGGACGGGTTCTTAATAATAATCAGCGAAAACCGGTCAAATTTTTTAGTTTATTTTGAGCAAACAAAAGGAGAACTGAAGAAAACACGACGAGTCTCATTATCAACAGTGACCTGGGTCTGCACAATGACAAAAGCAAACTAAACGAAGTTCAGAAATGGTTGTAGCGTGCCTCAATAATGCAGATGGAAATCAAGGTATTTATTTACATTGCATCTCAAGAAGCTGTACAGAAACAGCAGGGATATTTATTATATATAGAGTTAGTCATTCATGTATTATTAAAGGAAGATCTTGAGCCTGGACTTGAACAGGGAGCAGACAGCTGGTGCAAGGTAGTTGCAGACTACAGAGGGCAGTAGAAAATGAATTAAAGACTCGATCTCAAGACGCTTTTATCGCGTGATCCAGCATTGGGGCCAGTTGTATTTTAAAGTAGTGTTCTGCACATTGGAGGAAACTGGAGTGCCCGGAAAACACCTGACGACACGAGAAGATAATGCTCAAAGGTCTGCTTGCCGCACTCCGATCTCCCAGCTGCATCACAGCCCCAGTGGGTGTGGCAGTGGAGGGCCACCATACCCAGTTCCCACATTCCAGTGCCCAAGAGCAAAAGGCAGGGCAGCAGGTACCAGAGCAAGGCCCTTTGCAACGCCGTTACCTTTTTGCAAGCCACAGCTGGAGAGGCACTGCTGTTTGCTGTGGAAGTTGTTCCCGTTGCCTTGGCAGCCGCCGTACATGAATTTCTCGCAACCCCCAGACTCGGCCGAGTAGGACCAGCGCCAGTGGCTGCCCCTGCACGGGCCCTTATCGGGCATGGACAGGCAATCGTCTGCCACGGGTGGCAGGCGTGAAACTCGGTTACGCACGCACATTCCCACCACCACGACCGCTCAGGCACCCGCGGCCCGACTCTCACGCGGTGAAATACCGATACCGAAACAACGGGGCGCAGTGGATATTAACGGCGGAGGGCGACAAGACGGTGCCGTCGGTTACCGATAGTGAATGGCGGGGGTGGCTCGGAGGAGTGCTCCTCGTTGGATTGCTGCTCTGGGGTGGAGGTCGTGGGTGGGTGATGTTCCCCCTGTTCCTCCTCCTGCATCCCCACAACTCTCTGGGGCTCCTGCACCTGTGGAGCTGCACCTACATGGGAAGGGCACGTCAGACGGCGATGTCCGTCCACAAGCGAGTGAGCAGCGACCGCTAGATTCGCGTGCGTGAAAGCATGCTCCCGACCGGCACACGGAGAAACGAGACGCGATGCACCGTGACAGCGGAAACGTGCACGCTTGGAGACTAAAGAGTCCAGTGCATGAACACGGTGGTCTGAAAGTTCCGATACTTCTTACACCAATGCCAGCAAGGAGGCTGCAGTCTGCGCAGCCCCATAGACTGCCCGAGGAAGCAAGATGCAACGCGATGGCATCACCGTGGGTAAAGATGCTTGAACCCAGATCCAAAACGACTCGCGTCGACTTGAGTACAATCAGGATCTCCCGAAACTCAACTTGAACAACTAACGTTGATGGATGACTCACGTTGGTTAACAACGTGGTGCTTTCATGATTTGCCGAAGTAGTTGAGCTATCGCACAAATTGAGCAGGTCTACCATGTCAAAAGGGCCCACTACAATCATCTCAATAACAGTAATCGGGTACGAGAGGGCAATATTGGCGACCTTGGAAATACGATGTGTTTTAACATCGGTGCGCTCGTTCACTTCTGCAACTGCAGCGGCTCTTTCGCAGTGACAGGAGTGAACGAGTGTGGCAATAGGAGGTGGGGCCCTACAAGGATATTTTCAAAGCCCTGTTCGGCCCTTGGTAAGGAAAAGGTGGCTCCCCTCCGCCAATTTAAAAGCGTACGCGGCACACCGTGCGGCAGGCGAACTGACCCTCCCCGCAGCGCTCCAGGCATTGCTCCTCCAATTCGAAGTTGTTGCCGTTGCCCTTGCAGCCCCCGTAGATGAAGGACTGGCAGGAGCGGCTATCTCCGTCGTAGAACCAGCGCGACAGGCGGGCACGACAATGTCCCACCTTCGGGGGCAGCTTGCAAATGTCTGCTTCCACACACGGGAGGAGTAGAAGTCTGTCGCTCAGTGGTGCCAGCGTGAAAACGTATGGCACCTGCCGCCCAGGGAACGTTGCACTCAGAAAACATATATTGTAACTGCTGTGTAATTGTCGGGCATTGGCTGTCGATTCCAATTATTATGCTCACCATACACGCGTTTAATAAAGAATGATGGCTTGTGGAGGCCTTCATGCAGCAGTGGATTTACAAAGAGATAAGAAATATGCGAATGATATGCTAATGGTATATGAAAATAAAAGAAAAAGGCAAGACGCAATGCAATAAGAGAATGATTCCTGAACCAAACGTTGACCATAAATTGTCACATCTCTGGGGGGTGGAGGAGTGACTCATCAGATGAAAGTGTTCTGGCCTTGTGTACTTAACACCAGGAAGCGGCCTGTCCATTCATTGCTACCACGCTAAATGTGCAAGATGCGACAACTTGCCCTGTTATTCAGCGCTAATCCGCATCCATGAATAATTTAATTCGCAGTACAAAGTGCGAGCCTCACATGGACACTGCCGTGTGTCTCACCTGTTTGGCAACAGACCAACAGGGCACACGCACACACACACACACGGGGCCCGTACCAGGAGGTTCACCGACACGGCACCACGCCTCCTCGCTAAAAACCTGGTGTTTACAGCCAGGGCTAATAAAGGGAGCTAGAACAACCGCGCCCTCCACCGCACACAGCCGCTAGTGTGGTGTGCCCTCAGCAACTCTCGACGTCTCAAATCGTCAAAGTAACTTTGCCACGTGGTTGGAACGGCGGAACTGCGGTTTTAAGTGATGCTGATTTTGTTTAATCCATGCGAGAACACAAGAGACCAGGATTAGTCTCATTTGCAAGTGTGATCTGGGCCACTCTTGCAAATTACAAGAGCAAAACAAATAAAATAAAGCGCTGCAATGAACAAACTGGCAGTGAGAACAAAAAAAACACAAAATAACTTACCACCAGTCCCGCCCCCAGCCCTTCACCAACCCGGAACGGACCGGCATGGTAAACTCCAAGCAACAGGCCATGGGGAGGACCTTTTTTCAGCCGTGTTTTGACAACAACAGGCCGCAGGTGTTTCATTTCAATACATGTTGTTTCAACGATAAATGCTAACCGCAATCAATTGTCGATTCCGGAAGTCAGAACCCGTATCCTCGAGAGGAATCTGCACCGATCGGGCCTCACGAACGCACAAACGGTACGGGCGGCTCACCGCACGGTACATATGTCCTCATTTCAAAGTTACAATTAAAGGAGCAGCCCTGCAATTGCTCGCTCACACCACTGCTGGCAGAAGGGCCTTCACTGGAGGAAGCTCTGGAGGGGTATTGAGCCTACTCTTCAACGCTGACCAAGACGTCTTGGATAGAGCTGGGCGTAGCCACACTTTACCCAACCACACGGGACCTGCCAAGCGACTGAACTAAGGTGAACTCATTTAGCCTGCCAGGTGGAGAGGAGGCGGGGGGATCTAAGAAACGATCCCCCTTGATTCAACTGCTGGCGCTGGGAGTTTAAATCCAACTGGCGACCTGGATTGAAAGCCCAGCGTTACAATGATTGCAACTGTTGTGGCTGCTCTCCTCATTTTCCACTTAAAATGTTAAACATGCTGAGTTTACTGTTCGAGACATTTCTGCATGTGCAACAACCTGATAATACATTTTTACCGGTTTTTATCTCATCTTCGGTGGTCGTGGTGGTGGCGGGGGGGGGGGGGACCAGATGCTGTCACCCTGTGGTTGCCTTGCTTGCATCAAAACAACTCCATCGAGGGCTTAATTTTCAGGTGGGTCTTTCTGGGTCGGTGACAGGTAATATTTCCACACCCGGCACACCGTATCTAGTATACCGCGAGCTACAGCTGCAGCTTCGACTGGACACGTGCCACCTTTTGCAGTCTACCGGTGACCCGGAATATATACAGTAATGAATGAAGCCCTTACCCCCCCCGACCCATTCCACCAACTATCCGAGGTGTTTACTATGGGCTCGGCGACCGCAGGAGCATGCTGTGACGCAAGCGGTCCCTGGGATGTGATTTGTGCGTTTCTCTCTCTCTCTCTCTTGGAATGTCCGCGGCTGCTCGGGGCGAGTTATGGGGTCTGCGAATTTGAGTTTGTTTTTCTATACAAATGTAACCCATAATTTGTAACAAAATTCTTCAGCACACCGGATGAAAACAATGAGACCGACCGTTCTGAACGGGTACTCGCTGCACACACGCAGGCGCACAATGAGGAACATGTCACGTCTCTGGGCCGCTCGATAAACAAGCGATGTTGTAGATAGAGGCAGGAACACATACACAGTACGCAGCACCAGTGCCAGCGGCACACACCCTGGCCGGGCTGGCTATGCCAGCAATATCGACCACAAGTAGGTAACACAACCATGAGGGCACACAGCCACTCAAGATGTGTGGGGCATGGGTGACTGGCAGTGGATCTGGGCGGCGATGAGGGTAGCGGTCGTCCTGTTACGTTTTCAGTGGCAGAATGTGGACCGGTTTTGAGGTGACGCACACCTGTGGGAAGCCAGCCAACGACATTGCATCTACAGGGCTCAGCCGCTCGGCAAACTCGTATTTACTTTCAAAGTCTGCGTACTGTATTCTCCGAATCATAAGACACACTTCTCCCCTGTAAATTAAAGGGTAAGTTGGGGGTGCACCTTATAATCCAGTAGCTGTGTGTGAACAGATCTGTATAATTCTATTGACACCGGGCACAAGTTAGCGGTGCATTTTATTTTTTGAAGAATCATATAATCCTGAGAATACAGTCATATAACTTTTGAATCTATTTTACATTAATACAGTATGTAGATAATGCAAAAGTGGCCTCAATCTGACAAAATAATTACATTTAAAAGCGCAATGACGAGTGTGATGGTACGAGGGGGGGGGGGGTAGTGGAGAAGGCTTAGATGATAGGGAGAGTGACTCATCATACTTCCGGAGCATTGACTGCGAGTCCTACGGTATTACGACTTATCAACCTCCCACGCCACCATCCATCGATCCCACGCCCCTCCACAGTTCAAATCAACACAGGCCCCCACCACCCAGGACAGCTCTGTCCCTGCCTGAGAGTCAAAACTCAAAATGTAACTGCTCTCGCAACACAACTCTCATTGTTACCTCCGACGTGACTTCCCATTATATGGCACCCACCTGCGGCTAAACCACATCGGCCTTATCCGTGTGCCGTGATAAGCGGAAGGCTCAGACGAGTGGTGGTGGAAAGCCTTGAGAAGTGAACATATTTCAAGCAGCTTCCGTGCGACTGGCATGTACAGTATATCCCCGAACACAGCCACACCTGGCACCGCTGTTGTTATTAATAATACAGAGCGATGTTGCTCCCATAGATGCGCTTTTCAAGTCGTGTCACTCTCGCAACGTTTTGTCCGACCTTCGTGCAATGGTTTCTGTCCATGCCAGGTGGCTGTGGTAGGTGGCAGGGCTTTCAGAGAGGTGAGAAAGAGATACAGACAAGAGATGGAGGTGTAGTGAGATTCGAAAAATGTGGACAAAAGATAAGGAGATGAGATATACAGGCGAGACAAGAGAAAGACAAACATTGAGATGGAGAGATGCGGACAAGATCGATGTGAGAGATCAGTTGCCTTTTAAAAATATATATTAATGGGTTTGTTATGTCTACCGTATAGGATTTGGGCCGATATTAAACACACCACCAGATTATTCAAGACTCCCTCAAGCTGCTTGGGGCTCCAGGTATTTGCTCGGCTGTTTTTGCTTCACGCCGCTATTGCTTGGGACCAATTAATTATGTAATTAGCAGATATTCCCAGATTGGCCAATCACGTGAAGCAGTGCGTTTCGGTACGTCTGCTAATTCCGGTTCATGCCACAAAGAACACGTGTTTATGAAACTAAAATATGCGAGTAACGCCAATTATAAGTCAAACCATTGACCATCGATGATGTTGATGTTCATTCGTGTGATTCAGGGTCATAAATCGATTAGAAAAGTTTTGTTTACACTGTGGTGAATGTCACGGCCACTAGTGGCTGCAGGAATAACATGAATACGTTACATACGAATAAAAATGTAAAAACATTCATTCTTAAGCGATTTGACATGCATAGCAAACTTCAGAATCAAGACGGGCATAAAAATGCACGCATCATTACACCTACAATAATGGGTCAGTCCGGTGATGGGGTTAGTAGCGTCCATCACCAGACATCATCAAGATGATGATGGTAAAGTGGCGAGGACGGAAGCACGAGTGTAAACGAACAGTGTGAGAGTGGCCTTTGCTACACTGCTCTCCGTTCACAAAAAACATTCTAACGATTGATTATACAGCGTCGTACGTGAAAATTTTATCTTACAATCACGGAGGAACCACAAACAAGCTGGAAGGCTGGAAGGCCGCAAGGTGGTGTGAGCCAGCGCCAACAATTTATCTTCAGTTCTCTCTACATTAAGATTAGTAGTGAGTGTTGAAACGCGTGGGATGAAATCGGAGCACCTGGAGAAAACCCACGCATATGATGGAGCAACACTGTCCCACACAGAAGGGACAGATGATTCAGTCCACATTTGTCCTGGACTGCATACTGCTCGCAAGCCACAAGTATGGCTCTTGGGTGTCCACAGGGAGCCTCGGAAACTTTTTAAATTTGTCCAATCCACCAACCCTCGCCTCCAGTGCTGGATAACGAGATCGGGTGCATTTTGGGCGATTTGGTCATAAGCCCAATTTAAATATCTGCCAATATACCATCACAGAGATAACCGACTTTATACTGTATGTTAGGAAGACTGTACACGTGTAGTGGGGCTGATTGCTGTGTATATTGTTGAATATTTACACAGCTGCCCTCTCTACCATTACCCTCGGCGCTCAAACACCAAGAGCATGAAATCCCACACCCATGCTCCGTGTAAACGAGACCCGAGCACTATGATACGTCTTGGTCACACTTCTCAAGGGAACACACTTCTCAAACTCTCAAATCTTGGGCCCCTCTCAACACATGAATTGAGGGGCCACTGTGCAGCGCATCAGCTCATTGGACTTGCATCACATTTAAATTTCAATGAGATTATCCTGTAATTGAGAAGCGACATTACCAAACGCACCCCTTTTATCACAATGTGTAATGGGATCTTGCAGAGCGCGGGATCTACTTGTGAAATATCAGCGCGATTAAAGAGGTGTGGCACATATCATGTTGGTTGAGTATAAGTGACGGACGATCGGTGAGGATTAGTGATATGCGATGGGTGAGGATTCGTAACGGGTGAATATTTGTGATTGTTGATGATTCGTGATGTGTGATGGGTTAAGATTAGTGATAGGTGGTGGTTCGTGATGGGCAGGGACTTGTGATGGGTGAATATTCTAGATGGGTGAGGAGCACACAGATTGTGTCACGGCAAGGGCCCTGTCCTGATGAGACTGTTCTCATCGTCGTTGTCAGCGTGGCCATGATCGCTCGCCAAGCAACACCAATATAAACAAAGGGAACCCATGGCTGTCAGGACCCTTGGCAGAATCATTTAGTGATGGGCCCTAATACATACACATTATTGTGCTTTAATCAAGGCATCTGTTGACATAATTATCCATCCTACTCGTCCACCTAGGTCACCCACTTTGACCACACAACACTATACTTCTCCCCTCTGATCACCAGAATTATCCACTCTATTTGCCCGCTAAAACTGCCAACAAATACTCAACCACCAACGTACAACTGCCTAATTACCAGGGGGGGGGGGGCATCGGACATCAGAGGGTCCCCTAGGCTAAAACGTCAGCTGACCATTGCAATTACTGAGATGTGGTGGTGCAAGGCGCGATCAGTTTGAGGAATTTAAGCGCCCTGTACATCCAAATCCTTATCACCACCCACCTCACCAATTCGCCCTGAAGTCAATGCCCAACCCTGATTCACCCTCATCACCAACTGGACTCATCGATACTGACCACCATCATCACCCAACCTAAGCACCATCCACCCACCCACCAAAATCAACCACTAAACCATCCGCCCACCAAATCAACCACTAACCACGACCGCAAACACCCACCTGTAACGTTCACCCTGGCACCCCCAACACCCTGTCTGCTCACCCTACTCCTCGCTACGGGGCCCTCTGCGCTCCAGACGAGGCCCTCGATGAGGCCCTCGACGAGGCCCTCGTGCCCGTGCTAGTGTCCACCTACCCTGTTCGCTCTCTGGGGCTTCCCCCGTCTCCTCCGCGGTCGCCGGCTGGATCTGGGGCTCCACGTATCGGACCTTGCTCGCCTCGTGGTCCACGAAACTGCACGGGGCGTCCTCGCAGGCGAACAGCTCGCAGGCCCTTTGAGGTCCCAGCACGACCGTGTCGCAGCGCGCCATGGCGCAGCACAGCACCACGCAGGCGTCCTCATCGGCCACGTCCCAGGTGCCCAGGCTCTCGCCGCCCGTCACGGCGGTGGCCTCCATGAGCGAGGGTAGGCACGGGGTTCCGTCGTCCTGGGACTCGGCCGTGGCCACGAGCAGAGCGGAGAGAAGCAGCAGCAGCAGCGCGGAAGAGTGGCTACCCGCGCCCATGATCCCTCGTCCTCCTGTGATCCTCGTCCTTCTCGTCTTCTCCCTCCTCCTCCTCGGCGCCTCGGTGGTGGTGGCGGCAGATGGAGGCTGTGGTGGATAGAGAAGGCAGCCTCGGTTACCTGAGGGCCCCGGGGAGACAACAAGGAGCGAGCGCGGAGGAAGAGGAGGGCCCAGGAAACAACCAGCAACCCCGCGCGTCGTGACGGGCGCTGGGGCGGACCTGCTGCTCAGTGGAGCATTGTCCCCTTCCTCGCCATGGCCCCTCCTCGGCTTTGCCTCGCCTCCTCTCACCTCGTCGCACGCACCCACCCACCCACACACCAGCCCACACACCAGCCCCGCTTTGCTGGAGGAGTTTCACCTGGTGGGGGTGGGCGTGGTGGTGGGGGTGGTGGGCGGGGCTACGGTAGCGGGGGAGGGGAGGGGCTCTCACCTGCACCGGCCCCCCCGCTTGGAGGTGGTCACCCCGCACCGTCGTGACCCACCTTGTTTCAGAAGATATTTGGACGACTTTAGCCGACGGCCACGCGGCTTCCCCAGCGCTCCTCGCCGCCGACAACGCAGAGTGACACGCCGGTGGCTTGTCGTGGAGAGAAGTGGAAACGAAGCCGTGGGAAGTGGAAACGAAGCCGTGGGAAGTCGCTAGATGTCGCTAGATAGATGGCACGCACAACTAAAAGCCCGTCAACAACCGCATTCCATCATCCGTGCGGTATGGTGGCTATGCGTTTGTCGAAGAGCGTAGATGCGAGCGTAAGGAAGGGGTCTGCAGCGCACGACGAAAGGGCTTCGGGAGAGAGTTTGAAGTTTTTGTTTCTGCTGCTCCCTCCTCCTCCCCTGATGGAGCGCAGACAAAGTGGTTTTAGTCCCTCGTCAACAGTTTGGTGGCTTGTCGTTATTTGTTTTGCATTTACGGGGGAGGTTTGCGCATCTGTGACACGGGCCGTCATAAAACAAAAAAACGTAATTGCCGGACGTTTCGAGCAATGGCCCTTAATTCATGGCACTTACTAAACGGCGTCTAGATTTTATCGGGATTCAAAGAATAACGAGAACAGACTGAGATCAGCAGCCATGTTCGGAGACAATGACGTCGTGTGACTCAATGACGCCATGCTGCAATCCAATTCCTTAGACGTCATGTGGCTTCCTTTTAACAACGAAAAAAAAGAGACTGCTACATTTCGATTTAAAGCGTTCGTAACTGCAGGGATTCATATCCTTGGTTCTTTCGGTAAAGTCACGTAGAAGGGAAATTATAAAATAATACAAAATAAAGACTCTGCTCCCCAAGCCTGTCCCGGTCGTCCTGCGTGGCGCACCTTTGCTGGGCTAGTTCGTGCAGGGCTGGCTGCACGCAGTGGTCCTCTGCTATAGCTGGCTGCTCTTGCCGAGAGCAAATGCAGCCCGGTTGCCGGCGGTCGAGAGGTTCCATCGACTTACACGAGATGTGTGTTTTAGTTTTAACCATTTTTAGGCCACGCGGTGTGATTTTTTTGACGGGAGTGTTGAGGTTTTGTTATTTTTTGCCACGTCGCCAACGCAGGTGGCATCAAAAACATGCATTGACAGACCGATGTCTTAAGTGTTACAGGAAAATGAAAGAGGCACCTTCTTCCTACGCGCGTCCACCTTGGAATCGAATCTTGCTTGCCGACAAACATGGAACGTTGGGGTCGACGTAGGCTCAACGGTTCCAACCACACGCCAACGTTCGTCCAACGTTGCATGCTCACTGGGTTCCTGTCCTCAAGCCAGGAAGTGGGCTTGACCTCATTGTGTCTTTAAGGAAACCCAAAATGTTAGCGAGCACCTATATTAAGATCTGCACGGAGCTCGAGGGGATGGCGTGGTCACCGGCATGTCACCGCCACGCCTGGCCACCTTTGTCTCCCCCAGTGCCGAGTTTACACAAAATACCGCACCAGGTACTCATTTCAGGCTGAGTCAATCTGGACGGGGTTGGGGGCTTCAGCAGTGATTGGTCATCACCTGGCCATCCCCTTCCTCCTGACAGCCATCGGGATCTCTCTCGTGGCTCTGAATACGTGGGGAGTTTGTTCCGCAATTATACGGCATTTTCAGCTGCAACGTTAGCGCAAAGGTAATAGTTGCTGTAACTATGGGGTGTTCACTCACCTAATGGCAATGTGTCCCCAGGCAGGGCAAAAGGCTACTCCGCCCGCCTTTCCGCCGGTGACTCACGAGTGACTGTTTAGTCACAAGTGTGGGTGGCGCTATGGGCATCTGCGCCTTATGAATGGTTTATCTGGGACCCAAGAAGCTCAAGGGGATGCCGATTCATAAGAAATAGGAGTGAGCCAAAAATCTGTTCAAATTCAAATCCTAATAAACCATTAAAAAGCGAATCAGCATAAAAAGATGTATCTTTGTCATCCCGATCTCGACTGTCTCTGTTCCCTCATCTCACTACATGTGTCTCTTCGTATACATCTCAACTCACTCATCTCCCTACAGCTCTCGTACCATCTATTTTGCCACCTCACTTAGGTAAATTATTATTAGATTGCGCGACCGTGAGAAATGGCAATGGTGTAGGTAGTTTTTTTTAATCCAGTAGTGGATAGATCATGACTGGTCACCCTTGCAAACGGACATCTCAATGAATTTTTTAAGTGGAATACTTCAATAAAGGAAAACAAACTAAGATGTAATGCTATTGCAGCATGATTGGGTGCGCCCAGGCCTAAGGAAATTTACAGTCTAGAAATTGGAGATACAGTCTATGAGTTCATGGGCCAAAGCAGTAATCGGTACCGACCAAGGAAGCACAACTCAATTCATACCGATGGATTTACATGGCGCATTAAAGTTAATAATTTGATAACCCACTCATTTGAAATATTTATCACACAAGTCACTTTTCTTGGCCACATAAATTAATTGGAACCGCTAAAGTTGTGCCACCTCAGGTGGTGCCGACCAGACAAGTAATCTGATCTGGGTTCTTGGATTACTGTCGTGGATTTAGCGGCCTCTGGTGGCAATCATAATTGCACAGAATTTCACGCGTGCACCTATCAATACTGAGTGCAATTTTCGGCTTTGGGTGAATTACATTCGTCAACATTACATGTGTAACATCCATGTTTCATATCCATAATGATACATTTGTAACCAGTGTACATATTACCTACGATGACATATACAACATATCCGAGCCTGGGGTGCGTCTTATAATCCGGGAAGTACGCTGTAAACAAATAGAATTGATATGTAGAATGAATATGGATAAATTGATGATTCATCGTTGCATTCATAATGCCGCGTGTGCCACAGTGAGCTACCTTAATTAAATCATAGATCTTTCATCAAACATCCAGGTGAGTGTGATCATGTCGAGCAGCTTCAACGCAAAATCACAATAGGCACGACGCGCTCAATTGATTCATTAATTGATTCACAAATTACTTAATTTCGTGGCTGGCACGAAACTGGATTGCCCGCCTTTAAATAAGAAGGCATGGGTGGGTGGGAACGGAGCGGATTTTTTTTGTATTTCCCCATCTTTCTCCACCAGACAGTGAGGACCGCCTCCGTCCCCGAGTGACCGCGTGTGACCGCGTGTGACCGCGTGTGACCGCGTGTGACCGCGTGTGACCGCGTGTGACCTCGTGTGACCTCGTGTGACCTCGTGTGACCTCGTGTGACCTCGTGTGACCTCGTGTGACCTCGTGTGACCCCGGGTAGAGCGGGTCCCCGATGGCCGAGACGGCGAGGCGGGCCTCCGCGACCCTGGAGGTGGTGCTGGGAGTCACTGCGGGCCCTGCAGCCTTCGGGTGCAATCCCACATCGGGGATCGTGGCCTACGCAGCTGGGTGAGGCCCTCGGCCCCAAAATATTCCCCTCCCCATGCACTGTCGTTATTATCAGCAGCAGCCGTGATGTATCCACTGCTGGATGAAGGCCTCAAGCCGTTGCCATTTCTCAGGGTCTTGCGAAGTAACAAGTTGCCAAGCTCCTCCGCCAGGCCGTTGGCCATGTCTCTGATATGAATGAAAAATGTAAGGCCACATAGTGGTGCGATTGTGGCCATGCAACCTAAATGATGGTCTGTATTGTAAACCACCGTAGTCTGTGCCCCTTCAACGAGGAACGGCAACACTACACGAACCCTCTCCCGAAGCCCTCTCGTGGCCGGCAGACCTCGACATTGGTATTTAGCTCCTACAACATATTGCCATAACCAAACTATGGAAAAATCGAACTTGGCTGCTGTACACGAGTTGATTTCGCCACTCCATCTCCGCGGCGAACGTTATCAATCTTTGGCGCGTTCCCTCCTTTTGGCCGCTACTTCGTCGTGAGTCTCGGTCACCGGCCTGCATCCCTTCTAGCCAAGTGTCCTGTCCCAAGTCCACTTTTTTTTGCTTCGGTCGCATTAATGTTTCCATTTTAACCTGTCTAATGCATGTGATTGTCTCGGTGTAATTCCAAAAATATGCCTCTCCACACTGCTTTGCGCAATTATAAAATTATCGAATCCGAATTGGTTAATTTTTCAGTCTCAAATGTTCAGCAACTAACGTTGACACTTTGAGGCCGAGGGCGACTGGGAATTGAACTTCTGGTCATTGACTCCCTTATCCTGAGTGTTAGCCCCACCATAAATGCTCGCTACAATACTCACTCTTATAACATTAGCCCGAACCCCCGTGTCGCCTTGTAAAAAGGTACAGCCTTGCATGATGGGAATGATTAACCGGGACTCGTAATTATGTCAATAAACCAGGGTGTGCACGACTGCTTGGATAAGAGAGCTGCGAGGCATGGTACAGAACAATACACGTTTACGTGGAGGAAAGTCATCCACAATTAATACATACACAAGAAGTCGTCACAGCCTATAGACTGCGGTTTACAGAAAGCAAACAGCTGTGTGAATGCACAGGAAGCGGGGAATACAGCGCATCAAACTACCGCGGTGCAGAAGAGATGCTTTAATGGCCAGGCTCCTCATCCCAACCCCTACAAAATGGCAGCCTTTGCCTCTATCCCAGAATAGGGCAGTGGCAAGGAGCCTGCTTGCTTCCCCTTGCTGCCCCGCGTTTGCCGTCCCTGCAGGTGCGTGGTGGTGCTGCTTGACCCCAGCACTGGCGAGCAGAGGCACATCATCAACCCGGCCAGGTGTGACGACTTACTACCCCCAGGATTGGCGGTAACTGTGGCCGTTTGGAGCCCAGCAGTCGTTTGGGGCCCAGCGGCCCTGAGGGGCCCGCGCGACTCGATGTAGGGCTCTGTTTTCGTCGACCAGTGTTTCTCAACTCCAGTCCTTCAGAACTCCAGTCCATGCGGGAGACCCCTGCCACTGGTTTTCGTTTTCGTAAATTACCATTTTCTTTAATTACTCGTACGCAAATTAAGCCACTGCACACAATGTCGCGTGATGGTTGGTGATCGTGGAAGGTTGTACCGTGCAGGGTCGTGAGGACTGCAGTTGAGAAACACCGGTGTAGACTGTTTGCCGGTTTGTACCGATTGGCTGATGTCGCTCAAGTGGCATTGCAGACCTACAGACGTCTGCTATCAGCTGTTCCTTTGGTTCCCGGTCGAGAGGTCATCATGGCCAGTGACAATTTATGCCACAACACCGCCATTGTTTCCTTCCGTTTGGTCCGGTAATTGCAAAGATGACGCACGTCCTTCAAAAACAGCTCTTGCAGTATCTGACCATCTGGCTTCAGGTTTTCATCTTGGTCACTGCCGTCCGAGTGACACTCTAATGCCTGTCTCTAATCTGGCCTCCACATGGAAAACCCCCTTCTACTAATAAAATCTAGCCATGTATGGTTATGACCGTCCAAGTTGCTTACCCAATGATTCCATGAAATTATTAGCATCATCTGCATGCACCTATTTTCAGAGGATGAGGTTGAGAGGGCAGCTTGCCTTGTTGCTCTTGGAAGGCTGTGGTAGCCAAGCTGTGTAAAGAGCATCACTGCTGTGCCCCATCTCCTTTGGACCCTCAGGAAGCCCATCACTGCCTTGGCATTCTCTCTGGACGGTGCACACCTGGCCACGGGAGAGGTGAGCTCGGGTGGAGGACCGCCGAAATGTTTTTAGAAGCCCCCGTGGGAAAATGCCCAGATGACCATCTGATACCCAGGGAAAACTGTCCCCACCTGCCCTCGCTACCCCTTGTCTGTGGCCCTGGCTCGGTGACTGATCAGTGTGACGCTGTTGAAGTGGATACCCCTCATGAGTCACCATGGGCACGCCCAGCCTTATCGTGCCTTGCATGTCACCTGACCTCCGCATACTGCGTGTATAATGCACCAAGCGTTCTTTAAGGTAATACTTTTTTCATGAAGCAGTGGCCGAATGACAACGAGACAAAGGCATACTGGTGTCATCCTTGTTAGCTATCAATGCAGTCTAATCGTCGTGTTCACAATTTAGAATATTTTTGGTCTGAAACGAGATGGTGTGCATTCCTGTATGCCCCGGACACCCCAAACTTGTGGCCAGTGTCAATAAAGTTGTACAAAATATGGTCATACACACAGCTACCGGATTATAAAATTCACACCAAACTTTTGTATTAAAATACGGGGGAGAAAGTGTCACCATTTGGAGATTACGGTACCTATGCAGTAATAATAATTAATGTCATAATTTAATACATTTGGTAATTGCACCATTCGTGTAGCGCAAGGCGCTGCGTTTAACACAGTCTGCCTTCGTTTCACAGTCGGGTGCGATACAGTATTGGTATGCGTAATCCAAATTTAGTAATTTGCAGGTCATTTTTCGAATTTTGGCAAATTTGGACCATAACTTAAGCATCCAATGGCCTGCTTATTTATAATTACGTCTGGGGATCTTTAACGTCCACTTTTAAAACAAACGGTGGATAATATTTTATGGCTAATATGCCCGCAGTAATAACCAGGGCGGCCAGCAGGAATGGAATCAGAAACCTTGCGCAACGATCAGAGAACGCACTATTTGCTGGACCCAGTCACGGTCCCGACCAAACAAGGCCTGATGCGGCGATCGAGTCTAAGCTGCAGCGGCGCAGCTCCAAGGTTGCCTGCAGATGCCGTGAGCGGCGGACTTGACCTGCCCTCGGCTGTGCTTGCAGGCCGGTGCGGCCCCCTGCATCTGCGTGTGGAGGCTGCTGCAGGGCGAGTGGAGCAGTGTCGCGGTGCTGGGAGTCGGCCACCAGCACGGTGTGGCCTGCACCGCCTTCTCGCCCGACGGCCGCCTGCTTGTCTCCGTGGGCCGGCGCCACGACCAGGCCGTGAACCTATGGGACTGGAAGGTGAGGCAGGAACCACTCCAATGAGCGGAAAAATAATTACCTTTCGATTTAAAGCTTTCGTGACTGCAGGGATTCATCTTCTTGGTTCTTTTGCTAAAGTCACGTAGAATGGGGAGACGCTGTCTCCCCGACAGACCTGGTCTTCACCTGAGGACGGCTGCTTGCGTTGTGGCCGAAACGTCGTGAGAATTATTTTATTATGTTTTATTATTTATTATTTTATTATTTCCATTCTACGTGACTTTACCGAAAGAACCAAGAAGAGAAATAATTACCTCTCCGGCGGTCCCAACATAAGTTTTAACGAATAACTGGGAAAGTCTTTTTAATTACATACATATGTTCTGGAAATTCGAGGTGAGTCTAAAGGAGTTTTTATCAAGAGGGCCCTGCTTTGAGATGTTTGGCCTTTTTCATGAATAACTTTTGCGTCTGGGAGGATACTTGTAGTACCTGGAGGGAATCCAATGACGCTCAAAGTTCTACACAGACGGATTCAAGGATCCATTTGTAGTTCCGTCATCTTCTGGCCATATTGCAGCCTTGAATTCAGGAGTTCCACAAACCGCAACATCATCCACGGACCCTTGCCTCCAAAGCGCTGGATACCAGGCATGTGCCTCCATGCCCGGCGTTCCCCACCAATCTTGCTTCTCCATATTTTCCAGAAGACTTGGGAGGTGGTTTGTTGACCTAAATGGTAACTTTATTTTCCTTTATCCACGAGCCACCACGATGGTGCCAAATTGTACACAATCTATCGTGGTTTTGTTGAAGTTAATCCTATTATTAAATCATCAAATCGTTATTTATTCGTCACCCAACAGTCTATAAGGCTACACGGGGCATCTGTCTTGCGTGCATGTCCTGTATCTGTGAAGAGCGGCCACCTGGTGGCCACCAACAAGGTGTCGAGTCACGTGCTGGCTCTGGCATTCTCCTCGTGTGGCTCCCGCCTCGTCACGGCCGGCGTGCGCCACGTCAGGTTCTGGTACTTACCCCCCCGCCGCCTCACCCACCATTAACTCTCCAGGCCCACAGTCCCGACTGCTCGCACTTGTAAGAGGGGATGAGAACCTAAGGCTTATGCACCATGTATGGCACACCACCACCCCCACGTTCCATTCCCTGGTTACCACATTCAGATAACCCCCTCCCCCCTTAACTTGTATTTAAGAGCTGGTCTTTTGGAATTTTCCTCACTTGATGCAGTAATTTTAGCTGTGACGGTCCCACCTGATGACGGAGTCTTGTGTTGCCTCCGAAACGTCGTAATTTATTATTTTATTTTATTTCCATTATTACTTTGATTAACTTTTAATTGAATTTTTTACCTACGTGACTTTACCGAAAAAACCTAAGAGTATGTGGCACACTGCTTCATTTTATACGGCTCGCGGTGACGTGAGGCCGGTAACTTGAAAACGGGTCACGAACATTATTATTGTTTACATCTGTGCAAGGTTCTTGGCTGCGCTAATTCATTGTAGCACTGCGTGGGTTAAACATGTGGCTCGCCAAGCGTATTTGAAAGTCCTATTCGGCCCTGCGTTATAACGGTGTAATGTTAGCATGTGCTTTAATATAGCTTGTATGGGGGTGTTTTTTAATTTAATGTATTCGTTGAGGCCGTGTGTGGGTGACACTTCCAAACACGCAGCTAAGGAGTGATTTTTATATGAATCAAATATTTTTTGTGTTGCTCCACATTTGAATCCAATCGTGCTATCGGTGACGTGTGCTAGGAGACGATTTGACCTGTTGGAATTCTCAGAGTGCAGTGCATCACCATGTCGTAGAAATCGGCCATGAGAAGGTAAATATTGATGGTTCATCCTTAAGCTCGCAATGCTTCAGTCGAACAGGCAAATGAACAAGACCTTGAAAAAAAATTTTAGTGGCACCCTACCATACAGCACTTTGGTCAATCCACTGTTGGATGAGGGCCTTCCCATGCTCTGGATCATGATGGGGCTTATTTGAACAGACTTCACCACGCTTTTATGTGACACTTGGCGAAGGCAACCCACGCAGACGTTGAAGCGTAGTACAGGATAACATTGGATTTTCCTGCACTGCCCCCTGCTGACAACGTGTGCAATGGATTAAAAGATTGTTCCGCGTTCATTTAGTGCTACCCCCCACCCCCACCCTGCGCTCTTGTTGTTCGCGAGGGAGGTTGCCCCCCAAAGGGGATCAGGCGGCCATCAACGGGGCCCCCCTGCCGGGCCGTGCGGCGCTGCTGGGCCTGCAGCGGGAGGCTGTGTTTTGTGCGGTGGCCTGTGGGCAGGGGCCGGCCTGCCAGAACCTCACCTACTGCCTCACTCTCTCTGGCTGCCTGTGCGTCTTTGACGAGCAGAGGGTTTTGTGCCACTGCGTCGACTTGCAGGTCTGGGGAATTACCTCTCCTCCTTAGTCTTTTTGTTTGGCCTTTAGGGTTGCGTTGCGGGCTGACCATTGCCTCTACCAGTGTCGTCTTACAGTGCGCTCTCTTCCCTTCCCTTGTGTCACTGCGTCTTTCAATAGAGACAGCGTCTGTCCCGGCCAGTGTTGGACATCTGGTCTGATCCGTGGTCTTCACTCAACGCACCTTTGAATGTTCCCGTTCACCCCAGTCAACTTTCCCAGATATTTCAGTTTCTTGCACTTGACCTGACCCTTTGTCCATGTCCATTCTTTCTAGAACTTCCTTGCTGGTTGCTTGCTCTTTACAAAGCGTTTTACAAATTCTCGAGAAGGCTTTCTCATTCGAAGGCATTGATTGCCCTTTCTTCTTCTTCGTCCGTCTTAAGAGTCACACCCAGACATCGCCTTACAATGCACCAAGGAGCTCAAAAGTTTATTCTTCTGATGTTGCCAAAAATTTCCCCCTGCGTGTCTGCCGGCCGGGAGTCATCGGCGGGGCTGTACGCACTCCGCACTTCTCCGTCGGATGACCTTTGTTGTTTGTTGCTCTGTGGCATGCTCAGGTATCCGTGGCCAAGTGCTTGTGCGTGGACGAAGAGCTGGTGTTCTGTGGTGGCGCCAATGGGCTGGTGGTGGGGCTGTGTGCCCGCAGCCTGCGGCCCGTATGCACCCTGCCCCGTCCGAGCCACCTGGATGGCCTGAAAAGGCCGTGGTAAACGCCGATTGCCATGGTACCACGCGTCTTGCCGTCTCAGAATCCCAGGGGGAAGGTGTACCCGTTGGCTGAGGTCCCACGGAAGTCTGGCAGAGTGATTAATTTGGTGGTGATAATTGAAGAGCAACGCGTGGACAGAGTGTTCGTCTGGCTGCGAGTCAACTTGAGATCTCCAAATCTACATGAGTGTGGTCTTGAGTATGGAGCGTGCGTGTCGCTGTGCATGTTGTGGGGAGTGGTGGTTTGCACATTGCGCTACAAACCCGCTGACCAGAGCCAATCATGAGTCTCCCGTAGGTTGACTCGACCTGCAAATAAGTTCTTGGTGCAATTATATACACATCTGCACTGGGGAGACAAAGGTGGCTTACCGATTCTGACCACACCACCCCTTTGAGCGCCATGCCGCATTTAGAGTACTCGCCAACATCGCTTGCTGCAAGATGCAGATAAAGGCTATAGGCAGGATCCTCGCTTGGTTTGTTCTGTCTGTGCATGCGTGTCTCTTCCGTGCGTGTGTACATGCATGTGTGTGCAGGCAAAGTGGGGAGCAGCAGCAGGACGAGCCGGTGCCGTGCGCCGTCACTGTAGCCGTGTGCCGGGACGCTAGGCGCGGCTGGCTGGGCTGCTTGTACGGGGACCACAGCGTGTACGTGTGGGCCGATGCGTCGCCGGGGCAGCCTGCACGGCCCCTGCACGCCGCTCACTACCACGCCGGCGGAGTGCGAGGCATCGAGGTGACGCCCGCGGGGATCAGCGTCGCTAGGCCCGCAGCTATAACGATCGTTGGCGCACTGTTGCAGATGCTCGGGGCTCGTGTCGTGAATGCGTCCATCCTGTTCGTGGGGCTCATTTGATGAAGGACCCCCACCCCCCCATCCCCCCTCGGCCCCCCCCCCCCTCCCACCTATGGATGCTCTTGAGCTCATTGGTGAATGGGCCCTGGAGGAATTTCCTTGAAATGTGGAGCCAAGCTCCCAGAAGTCACCTGTGGCACCCTACAGGGACCACCATCCTCAACGCACGCGTTTTTGAAACTTGTTTTGAGATTTTATTGTTTTCACCCCACAGTGTATTTACACTCGTTCCTTATGGCACCTGTGGTGGGGACCCAGGTGAACCCGGAGCTGTGGGATCTTGTGGGCCCTGGCTGCCCACCACAGAGCTCGTTCCTCACCTGCTCATCCGATAGCACCGTGCGCATGTGGGGCCCCGGACATTCCAGCTACCCGGTAAGCCTCCGGGGAGCTGTGCTCGTGATGGGCCTTTTAGGTGTGATGGTGGTGGCGGTGGCTGTCGGGGCGACGGTGATGTCGGGTGACAGCGCTGTGGATTAAAGGTGTGGTCGAGCGACAATGTTTGGTTCGTGTTGGTTGGGCCAATGGTGGCTGTTGGGCGACTGTGGCCGTCATCGCGACAGGAGCTGCTCTGGGTGTTCTGCTCCGACGGCCTCCGTCCAGAACAGCGTGGGACCTCCCAGGACCGAGGCCGCGCGGGTGCTCGGTCGTTGGGGGGGGTGCCCCAGGGCCCCAAGCGGGGGACTGACGTGGCAGGAGGTGGCGTGCGCTGCATGCGCTTGCTGCCGGGGGGGCACAGCCTGGCCCTGGGCGACCACGCCGGCAACATCAGGTGCGTGCAGTGTGCGGCGGAGTTTGTCGGCTTGCGTGCGTGCTGTGCTGTGCCGTGGGTCTGCGGTGCACGTGTCCGGTCACGGTGAGTGGTGCGGTGCTCGAGGTGGCGACGGCGAGTCTTAAGGCGTGTGCAGTGCGCATGTACGACGGCGAGCGGTGTTGCGGTGGGCGAGTGGTGGGCGGCGACGTGCTCGCGGTGGTGATGGAGTTTGTCGCTCAGCATCGTGGACCTGAAGAGCTGGGAGGAGACACTGATTCCCGGAGCTCACACGGCCGAGGTTCTGTGTCTCGACTACACCCGGTGCAAAGGAGGTGAGCAAGGGCACTATCATCATGAACGTTACCTAGATCAGCACCAGTGGTCATAATCCCCATAATCATCACACCCATCAATCATGACAAAAACAAGCATCTTGGCTAATATCAGACAGTCACTGTTATAATCCCCACCATCGTCACTACCCACGCCTCCCATCTACAGGAATCCTTTGTATTTATAAAGACACTGTCTCCTCGACAGACCTGTTCTCCACCTGAGGACGGCTGCTTGCGTTGTGGCCGAAACGTCGTGAGAATTATTTTATTATGTTTTATTTTTATTATTTTATTATTTCCCTTCTACGTGACTTTACCGAAAGAACCAAGATGATGAATCCCTGCAGTCACGAAAGCTTTACATCGAAATTTATAAATCACTGTTCACAAACTAGGGAACACGAAGGCAGTGGCGTCTATCACGGGGTGGGTGCGGTGGGGGGGTCTGTGCAGGAGAGGGCTTGCTGGTGTCCGCCGGGAGGGACCGTGTTGTGCGCGTGTTCCGACTGGCGGAGCGGTGTGGAGGAGGAGGAGCAGGAGGCGCCGGGAGTCCGCGCGTCGTGGCCGTCCTGGAGGAGCATTCCTCGCCCGTGACGGCCGCGCGATTCGCAGGTTCGGCCACGAGGGGGAGCGCCTCCACCTCGCGGGGAGGCCGGTGTCCTAGCCGGGGTTTCACCTCCTGGTGGATGGGGTTTATCCTGCCCGGGGTTGACTTTTCGAGGTGTCATCATCGGCATTGGTGTTACTGGCATATGGACGTGTTCATCATTATTGGCATTCGGCAGCACCGTTAGCATCGGCGTTATCAGCATCGCCAGAATCGTTGGCAAATCAATGGTGGTCGTGTGGTTGGCCGTGGCCGGTCGCCTGGCATGGTGCGTGTGGTCACAGGGAGCGGTGACGCACTGCGCTTGGTGAGCTGCGGCCCGGACCGGTCGCTCTACTTCCGATCGGTGCACACAGTGAGCCACGCTCGCGAATCGGTGCCGCCCGGCGGTGCGCGGAGCACGGAGGTGTGTGCGGTGCACGGTGTTGGCAGGGCGAGGATGGGCACGGTGCGTGGTGTTGGACGTAGAGCGGCAGCGGAAGTCAACGGCTGTACTGAAGATGACTCCTAATGAAGAGGAAACCGGTCTATAATGATCTTTGTTTCGCTGCTGTTTTTTGGGATGGCCTCAATTCTGTGAGTTGGTGGTCCAAACGACAAATTGGCTACACATTCAGTTCTTTTGAGCTGGTGGTCTGGATAAGGCTGGGCTTCTTTACACACAAGTACATCTTTGCGTATTGGTTAAATGTTTTTGTGGGGCAGTACGATGTATTATGGTGGGGATGCGCACTGCGCTATGAACCCGCCAACCTGCAACGCATTTCGTGGGTAAACATCAGCACTGGGGAGAGAAAAATGTGGCCGGGCATGGTGCTGGCCACCCACGTGTGCTGTGCTGGCCTTAATTGGTACTCGCCAGGACAGCACTTGCCCCCACAATCTGCTAAAGGTTCTACGTGGGTGGGGGGGGGGAAGATCTTGTGATTGATGTACAAGGTGCGTGGCGTGGCGCGTGTGTGGGATTTTTGTGCGGCGCCGGCAGTGCGAGGACGGCCTGCGGTGTGCGGTGACGCGCCACGTGGTGGTGAAGGAGACTCCGGCTGACATGGACGTGGACTCGGTGGGGCGTGTCGCCGTGCTGGGCTGCCTGGACCGCATGCTGCGGTGGGGACACGTGACGACGGGGGGCCCCCTCCACCCCACCCCAGCCCGGGGAGGCCTGGTGCAGTTGCACCGCCTGCACACTTGAGAGCTACGCCACCGGTCGGGCTCCTCTCCCCCAGCGCTCGATGACGATCGCTCGTCCGGTTCCCCGTGAGCAGTTGACTCGTCAACGAGAGCCTGCTGGGTCGTGCGCCAATTAATCAGGTGGCTAATTTGGCGCGTGACGAGTAGTATCCACGTCCATAGCGATGGATGATGTGGTGTGCCAGGTGCAGAAATATTTCTCCAGATCGCCAACGCCGACTGAACCGGCTGACATGTAACCCCGGATGCGCTCGTATTGTGCGCTTGAGGAGGAATTCTAGCGATCGGTGTTTGATTGCACCCGCACTGGGCCCGACTTTGTGGTCGTTTCATTTGTTGCTCTTGCGTGTCGGCTTTAGTGTGGGGGGGGGGGGGGGCGGCAGCGCTCGTCTCGTTGCGGTCGAGTGGGCGGCGGGGGTCGGGGGGGGGGGGCTCGTGTCGGCGATGGTGAGGTTAAAGCCCTGCATGTCCGTGCGCTGCAGGGTGTTCAGCCCCGTCGACGGCCGGCAAGCGTCACTGCGTGAAGGGCTCCAGCGCGGACGAGGGGACGGTGCTCAAGGTGCTCGGCCGCCGGCGTCGCCCGGCCGTGATGTTACGCTTCCTGCGCCCGCAGTCGCCATCGCCCGAAGGCGGCCGGGTGGCACGCGCAGATGGTCTTGCGGTCACTCCATCCGTTTGAATCACGGGGATTGCTTTCTAAAGTCCAGATTGCGGTCCTGAGATTGTGGGGTCGGGGAGGAGGGGTCGCGATTGTACGGCAGCTGCAGTGTAAGGTCCGGTTGGCTGTTGCCGCCAGCATTAGCTGCTAGACGTGTTGGCGCCCGAGTCAAGGTTCCATCCTCGTTGCGGCACCTCCCCCCGCTGCTGTGGTGCCAGCACCGCCCCACCACGATTTTGAACCACGAGCGCCCATTGCTTGCTTCGTTTCCAACAGTTTAGCAACACGTGGGGCAAAGCCACCTTCAGGAGGGGCACCCCCCCCCCCACCTACCCCCCCCCCCCCATGCTATGGCACTGGTTGCCGATAAGAAGCTGTCGTTTGAGAATGGGGCGACTAGTTTTATAAGGGGGGCCGGCCACTTTTGAAAACGGGGCGCCTGTAGTTTTAAAAGGTCTAGCTGTAGCTTGAATAGAATGGCTGTTGCCACGTGCGGGTATGGGTGGTGCGTGTGTGGGGAGCGGTAGTGCAACGGTTAGCGCGCTGCGCTACGAATCGAGCATACCAAGTTCCATTCTTGGTGACGGCCAACACCAGTGACGATTATCTGAATCTGTCCTTGGCCTCCAGTACCTGGTGCGGTGTGTAAACATTGCTATTGGGGAGACGAAGCCGGCCGGGCGTGATGCTGGTCACCCACTCCCTCGTGTACCATGCTGGCCCTCATAGAACCTCGCTAACAGCACTTGCTCCAACAGTCTGTTAATGCTACATGGGGGGTCTTTGTCTTTGTTTGTGTGCGCAGGTACACGTGGCCCCGTCGGGCACACTGGCAGCGAGCAGCTGCTCTGACAAATCGACGTCCATTGTGGATCTCGCTAGCGGCGCCTGCTTGGCCACCTTCCACGGCCACTCTGGTGAGCGGCGTTCTGGCCAGCGAGATGGGTTGGTTCTAGATTTGAAGCTTTCGTGACTGCAAGGATTCATATTCTTAGGTTTTTTCAGTTAAGTCACGTAGGTAATTTTTTTTTTTTTACCTACAAGGTTTACCGAAAAAAAATTATTAGGTTTTTTCGGTAAAGTCACACAGGTAAAGTCACGTAGGTAAAATTTTATAATTTTTTACCTACGTGACTTTACCGAAAAAACCTAAGAATTTTTTTTCGGTAAAGTCATGTAGGTAAAAAAAAAAATTTACCTACGTGACTTTACCGAAAAAACCTAAGAATATGAATCCTGCGAGAGATCCAAATAAATGTTTTTTCGGTAAAGTCACGTAGGTAAAAAATTATAAAATTTTGCTTACGTGACTTTACCAAAAAAACCTAAGAATTTTTACCTACGTGACTTTACTGATAAAACCTAAGGATATGAGATGGGTTGAGGGGGGGGGGTGTGAGATGGGGGTGTCATCCCGACCGTGCAGCGAAAACACTCGCTGCCTCGATCACATATGCCCTGCACCAATGATTGGGTAGTCATTTATTGAACACCTGCATGATATTTTTTACCCCCCCCCCCACCTCACCACTGTCGTGATACAAACATTTATTTGGATCTCTCGCAGAGCAGTGCAACCCTTCATGTCTTCATGTTTGTGAACGGCTTCGGGAAAGGGAATTACCACAGAGCTACTTAAGAGAGCCCTTCAACGTACCTCTGGTTCCCACAGTAGAGGGCAGCAACTTTCCCCACCCACACTGCTTCCTCAGCTGAAATGTAGGCAATTTATTTGCATAATTACATTTACTGAGTTGTTTTGTGTGTGTGTGTGGATCATGGTGGCTGGCGTGAGCCCATCAGCACAAAAACACTTGAGAACCCAGATTAATCGCAGACCTCTACCTGGATTTGACGTCAGCAGTGCCGGCTCAGTGCTCTGACCTCCGAGACACCCGGCCACCTCTGGAAATGTGTTGTGTTCATATTAAATCAATGCTTACGTTTACTCACTGTGGTGGAGTTGGAAGGGCATCCTAGACTGTGACCCGGTGCGTTTTTTGATGATGGAAATCTGGTACAACTTGAACGTTGCATGCCTCCACCACCACCACCACCATGGTAAACAGATACCGCTGGCACCCTGCCAGACCGCCGCATGTTTACAAATAATCACTACTCTAATAATGGCATCTTGGTTTCGCAAGCGTCGAGAGCGGCGTGGTTACTGCTGGCGTGTGCTGCAGAGGTGGTGACCAGCATGAAGTTCAGCAGCGATTGCCAGCGCCTGATGACAGCAGCTGGAGACAGGTGTGTAATGAGCACCGCCGGTTTTGCAGTGGCACCACCAGCGCCATTGGCAGTTGCCGATTCGATAAAAAAAAATGTTGGTTGTTCGCCGCAGCTGTGTGTTCGTCTGGCGCCTGGGCCCTGAGCTGGTGATGCGGCTGGGTCAGAGATCATCACCCGGTGTGCAGGACGAGCAGACGTCCGGCCCGGTTCCACCCGCCTTGCCTGCTGGGTACCATTTCGCGCGCACTGAAAAGTTGCCAAATAAATCAATGGGTTGTGAAATAAATGATTAACGTTATTTTTTTACGTAGGGAGTTGTCTATAAATGAGACTTATCAGCTTATCTATCTTCTCATCAACACAAATCCTCGAGAGTGTTTATGTTCAATAATGTGATGAGCACAGGTATAGAATAAAAGTGGCCAAAAACTAAATGGAGGTCGTGCAATGAATCGCACACAGGCTTTGCTACCAACAATTTTACAAACCAATTTGATTTCAGAATCCTCTTCTGTTATGTTATCCTTTCTGCTGGTGACTGCAGCAATTATAGTGAACCTATCCCATATGCAAATAAAAAAAATCCCCTTACGGAATTTGATGTGTGCATCATGAACTTGAGAATAGATATTTGATGAATCTGTTACTTCTAACGAAGTACCCATGTAATGGTTCGGAAAATAAGAACCAAACTCTGCTTTTGGATTAAGCAAGGTGACAGGAACTCTACAGTTGAGCAGCCAGACAAATATTGTGACCTACGGATTACGGTGGTTGAGAAGCGGTATGGATCGGAGGAAACGATCAATCTGGTACAGCGGGTCCTTGACGGTGGCGGAGGTATCGAGTGGTGAAGTTCATGAACAACGACCGCTAGTGGAAATGCATGCTGCGGTGAGGAGCTCCTGCAATTTTGCTTCTATCGCGAGGCAGAATCGATTCACTGCGTCGGTCATTAGTCAACGACGAGGTTTTGCAACGCGCATTTCCGTCTGTAACAGAACCCCGTCTGTTGCAGCATCGCTTGCAGCCGGAGGAAGCGTGGCTCCGTCACCGTCTCAGGGCCGTTCAGCTCTCCGGAGGACACCCCCACCTGCACGGGGCCTGTCGGCCTAGGACCGGCTCGCCAGGGTCTGTTTCACCGCGTGCGCCTCTACCATGCTCAATGCTGTGTCTCTGCCCTCGCCGCATCTCTCCACCCTTGCTGCATTCATCCTCGCTGTGCCTCCACCCCTCACCAAACCCCAACTCCTCACCATGCCCACACCCCTCACTGCACCTTCACCCCTCGCCGCTCCCTCACCATTCACTTCCATCCCTACTGCACTCCCATCCCTCACCTCCACTCTCACTGCTCCCCTGCGCAGAGGAGCCTGCTGCTGATGCTGCACACTGCGCTCTCAGATCCCCGTGCATTCCAATCGGCTGAACTGACAGTGGAATGGGAACGACATATCTTCCAACATAAATAAGATGCCAGCTCGTGTTATCAACCAGAATTCCTCCGGTTGGTGCTGGAGAATTTCCTGGAATGGAAAAACCGAAAGGACGTTTTTTGAGCTGGATGATGTGATCTGCCAAATGCAGGCGAGGAATGTGTGCAAACGATTTGCGTCTTCACTGTGGTATCCCCTGAAGACACACGACCGCCGAGTTTGAACCCCCTCTGCGCTCCGCCGTGCACAGCAACGCAAGGGGCGGGGGGGGGGGGGGCGATCCCTGCGGCATCTTCACGGGGAGGGTGCTGCTTTTCCAGCCTTCTGTCTGAAACGTTTTCGTGAGACGGGGCGTACGGGCACGTGCATGCATGCGATTGTCTGCAGTCGGCGCCCATCGTTGCTTGTACACAGCACGTGCCCTAAAAGTCTGCTAAGTATATACAGGGCATCTTTGTTTTTGGTGTAGGCTCCACGAGGCTTGGTGAGAGTGATGCGAGCCTGCCCAGCCACGTCGATACGTCCGTCGCCTGGTGAGTGACCCATCCACTCGGACATTAGGCGGCACCGCTGGGTCTTGGGATCAGTTGCAGAGATTAGGACATTTTGTGTCCTGTAATTTAGCACTTCAGAGGCAAGGGTTGATGGATCGGACAAATTACAAATGTTGCCAAACTCCCTTCCCGTGGGCATTGAGGTGCCATACTCTGGCTTGTCAGAAGAAATACAGTACAGCAGAGTGTGCGGACTAATATTATCTGCCCCTTCTGAGTGGGATAGAGTGTTGCACTCTCGCATGCGTGGGTTTTCTAGAAGGTGCTCCGGTTTATTCCCACATGTATAAACACTCCATAATTGGCTGAAAACATCTTAATATATAGAGAACTGCAGAGCAATTAATTGTTGGAGCCAGCTCACTGTCTGGCAGCCTTCAAACTTGTCTATGGTTCCTCACCGATTGTGAGATGCAATTTGATGAATTATTTATTTTTAATAAGGACATTTAAGTTCTATTCAAACCTCAAGTCACCTGAAGTGTGACTAGCGGGACGTTACCCAGGGTGCCGTGACAGTAGCGCGGTGTGCGAGGAGGTGTTGACCTGTGAGTGAGCATGCGCAGCACCCTTGTCAATCCACTGCTGGATGAGAGCCTCGCCGCGCCATGCAGGTCGTGGGTGATATTTGACCTTGCAGCGCCAGGTTGATCGGCGTGGGTTTGAATGTCGGGAATATCAATGTGGGGGGGAGCATGGAGGTACAGTGCAACAACGGATTTTGCTTCACTCTACAATGTAGCCCTGCAGCATACAACATATGTCTTGCCTCGTGGGCACCCATCCAAGGACTATCCAGGCTTCTCGAATAATATTTCGGAATGGGCACCTACCAGGTCATTTGGTCATAGGCCTTTTTGTTAGAACTCTCGTTTAATTCTGATGTCCTTGTCCATGTGAGGAGGACGCTGGAGACGACGACGGGGACCACCCAGGTGTCCACCCGGAGGGTCGCCGCGGCACTCCCACCGTGCAACCTGAGTGTGGCTCACGTACGTCTGAACCACCTCGACATTGTCACCGCCGCGGCTGCCGCTGCTGCTGTTCGAGCTACTCCTTGTGCGCTGGGGTTGTAAGCTGTGCCACACACTGTGGTGCGGTTGCCTCCGTGCGAGTGCAGGTCCGCCGGTCGTGTGGTGGCCTGCAAACGGAAATGTCTCGCGATCACCTGAAGTCGGCTTCCTTGAACGATCTCCACGCGAGAGGTGGGGTTTTGGATCTTGATGGTATTATGCCGCCAGGGCCTGTAATGGGGCATAGCGGCCCGCGTCGCCCCTTATGCATGTGGCCTTCGTCAGTTATGGCTGTTTAAATTACTTATTGTGTTTCCTTGTAATTGTGAGTAATTTTCACAATCAAAACAGTAGTTCCAATGGTTTACACTTAAAACTGTTATAACACCGTGTATGCAAATTAGCTTCAAAGGCGAAATCTGAAATTTTGCTAAACTAACAATAGTACTTCATGTTCTTGGCACAAGTCATCTTTTCTGAACAGCAGTTTTATAGAATATAAAAAAAATACAGACTGGTGGCGAGGTGGTATCATTGTATATCTTTGGCAGGTGAGTCCCATCAGCGGAAGAGCTTTGTGTCTGGAACTAAAGGCAGGAGGGACAGCGACCTTATTGTCAGAAGCCAGTCCGAGCTGACCCTGGACAGCAGTGCAGAGGAACGGGTGCACAGACGGCAATCCTACATGGTGCCCACAGCCAGCTCGCAAGCCAAGGCGATGGACAAGACCTACAGCATCGACAGAGGGCATGCGGCTACTGTCCTTGAGAGGAGCCTGGCCGGTACAGAATATCTCACGAGAGACGGGGAGGGTGGCCAAAAAGCTGAGGGGCAGGCGAGCCACGCAGCTGCACACGAAGGCTTCTGGAATGATGGTGCAGGAGGCCAGTATGACGTCCCTAAAGGTAAACAAGGCACTTGCTGACAGGGCTTTGGGTTCTTCAACCCCATGCCTCTCCCATGCAGTAGATTTTTTTTACCCCCTTAATTTTCATGTTTTTATTTAGTATTTTCCCCCCCATTTTTATCCCGATTTGTGATATCGGTGTTATGTCGTGAGGCTAAGTACCTACTCGTATTTCTCGCAGAGCAGTGCAACCCTTCATGTTCGAAAACAGCCCCATGTAAACCATGCCACAGTTGCCATTGAGATCCCCTCAAGTATCCTGTGTTCCACACGTCAGGGGGCAGTACTTTCCCACTCGCGCTGCCACAGTAATGTTTGTCAAGTATCAGTACGCAACTATAATGAGTCATTCTTATAGCTGGAATTTAGCCAAATTAAGTGATGGGTTTTTTGTACAGTAATTAATGGCCAGACTGAGACTACTCAACTGACTTTAGCTGTGGCAACGACCTGGATTCTAACTCAATCTGAGTTGTGCTAGTTCAGCACTCTGACCTCTGAACCACTAGAGACCACCTCTGAAAAATGCCAGGTTTCTTCATAAATAACTTTTACTTGACCTGTCCCCTAATCAGCGTCAAGCACACCGATGGTGGCTGCTCGCAGAAAGCCGTGTGGCGGTTTCAAGCCTCTGGGACCTGAGAACCTCAGCCATCTTGACGAGTGCAGGCAACTAACTGAGGAGCTGGCTTCCAAGACACACGCTGCTGTGCGCCTGTACCAGCAAGTGCGTGTGTGTGTGCACGTGCGCGCGTGGCGTCTCTTGCTCGCTGCATTATTTACACGCGTGCGACACGGTAATTTTCAACGCTTCATAAATTGTGCCTATTACATGCTGGCATGAAAAGATGTGTGTGTGTGTGTGTGCGTGGCGCTTGCACAGCACGGCCAATTAAAACATAAACGCCTAATGTTGATGTATTGTTTGAGTGGGCTGATGACCTATATTTCCAGTAGACATGCTATTCATGTCAAACCTAGCCGAGCGCTGCTGTTATTCTCGTACAATTTAGCTTGTGTGCCGGTCAAACAAAATGTAAAAAAAAAACCTCCCCGCAGACGCTGTTGCTGGGAAACGTGACAGAGGAGCGCCGCTGCTTGTCCACACTGCTCCGTGAGGGCCTGCGTGAGGTGGCCGCCGACCTCCGCACAACTGGGTTCGCTCCCCAACCGCAGGGGACCTTGGACCAGGACATTCTGGCTCAGTCGCAGCCCGATGCTGGGACGAGCGGTGCCCTTTCGGCCCGCGACCCTGACATCGCTGCCATTGTCCAGCAGCACTTTAAGCTCCTCCTGCAGCTGACACAAGAGAAGCTTCATTGGAAGCACAGCTTGTAGGCCTCGAGATGTGAGTGCACACTTGCAAACCCTACCGATTTTAGTGGTAGGCTGCCAATTGTTTTTGCACTTTTACTGCATGTGGATTTTTCACGACAAGACTTACATCCAAATTTTTGTTTCTCTGAATATGATATTTCGTGATAAGTTTAGCTTTGAAAATCTGTATGCAGTAAATAAAGGGTTTGGACACCGGAAGCCCACTGCTTACATCGGTAGGATTGGTAAGTGTGTTTAATGTAGGCCATGTAATTGAATCCATATCTCGTCTCCCAGACAATGCCAGTGACAACGGTGACATTACACAGCTGCACAATTTAAACAATAAAAATGTTTTTATGTGGATAATTAGCTGACTGCAGAACAAGGGCCATTCATGTCTCCTGCAGTCTTGTGAAAGTGATCGCTCCACTCCTCTAATTGAGTGCATCAGCGCTTCCTCTCTGGAGGTGGTGGCCTTCAGTTGATAGTGGAAATTCCGAATTTATCAAGTGAGAGGGCCAGTTTTTTCATGGAACTGTTGCCCTTATCACAAAGTGTTATTCATTTGATCAAACCCCAAGGAAAGATGAGTTAAGTAAAACCGCGCCTCTCCAAGGTTTGAACTTGAGATCTTTCCATATTTTGTCGGTCCTGCCTGTAGATCCCAAGCCACGTTTTGCCTGTGCGGGCCACGGGCTGGTCTGTGTAGGTGGCATGGGCCGAGATATGACCCCTGTTGTCCTGGGTGGGGTTTGTGTTTGTGGAGTGGTGGTTGGGGTAACGTAGACTTTGTACACGGTGTCTCGCCTGTGATTTACTGCACTGCTTTTGTAAATGGTGAAAACAAACATGAATTTAAGCTGTGAATGGGATAGCATTCATTTACATTTCCTTTTCGTGTGTACACTGGGGTCCTTGCCGGTAATGTGAATCCTCGGTGTGTGTACATGTCAGTGTGAAGTTAAGTACAATTTTCTCAGTGCATTGAAAAGGCTACAATTGCTACGCATTTTAGTTATGATGGGAAGGCCTCACTGAGTCTCTTAAGACTCCTTTGCGGGAGGCTCTTAAATTGTTGGACAATTCCATATACTGTATTGGTGTTTGGTTTATGGGTACCAAAATAAAACCCAAGCATACGAGGGGGATTCACACTCGAAGCGCCGCACAGATAGATTCATTCCAATTAGTATGCTGCCATCTGATCACAAGTGGGTGCCACCACAGCCACCAGTCTAATCGACATTTCCATATAGGAATCCGTGATGGATTTGTGGAATTCTAATTAATCATTGAACAAATTTACTGTTTAGCGGTGCATATAGGTCCATTACTATTTGTTTGGCATGCATATTGGTTGCTTACGGTTAAACAGGGTTGAGCCTGGATTGTACTTGGATCAGCGATCACCGTGCAGTTTGCAGTCTTGTGGCAGGGCTATGTTTTGAGCAGCATAATCCATTGTTGTACTGTATCTTGCTTCAAAATCTATGCTCTCCTACCTTTCAACTCTGATCAGACTGCAGTATGGTCAATAATCTTTCACGACCTGCACAGTGCAGGGAGGCCCTCATCCAGCAGTAGATTGACAACTATGAAGAAGGGCCATTACCCATATTTTTCCTGTTAACGTCACGGTGTTATTCATGTGATGTTTTGACATTGATTCGGTCATCCAGCAGGGAGGGGATAGCCCATTCTGCGTTGGCAGTGGTGGTGCACAAATAGGCGACGTTGAAGGGTCATTACCCGACACATCCATTATACTTCGTAAGGCCACAGTGCTGTTGACGAAAGTGAGTTGAGCATTATACCGCACGAGTTTCAACGTGAGCGTGAGAATCGATGTCATGTTAATTAAACTGGAATCGACGGATCGTTAATCCATGCAGCACGGGCTGAGGGGCGGATAAAGGGGGTGGGGGAAGGGAGTGGGGGGGGGGGAATAGGTAGGGGGAAGGGATGGGGCAGCGGGGGATGGGGTTGGGGGGGATAAGGGAGTGTGGCAATGGGAGATGATGGGAGGGAGCGGGGGATAAGGTGGGGGTGGGGTGTGGGGGGATGGGGGATGGACGGAGTGGGGGATAGGGTGGGGGAGGGGGAGAAGGGGTGGGGGAGCGGGGGGTGGGGCTACGGGGGATCTGGAGGGGGGATCAGGGGGTGGGGCTATGGGGGATGTGGAGGGGGGGATCAGGGGGTGGGGCTATGGGGGATGTGGAGGGGGGGATCAGGGGGTGGGGCTATGGGGGATGTGGAGGGGGGGATCAGGGGGTGGGGCTATGGGGGATGTGGAGGGGGGATCAGGGGGTGGGGCTATGGGGGATGGACGGAGGGGGGAATAGGGTGGGGGAGGGGGAGAAGGGGTGGGTGGGGCTACGGGGGATGAGGGGGAGGGGTAGGTTGGGGGATGGACGGAGGGGGGAATAGGGTGGGGGAGGGGGAGAAGGGGTGGGTGGGGCTACGGGGGATGAGGGGGAGGGGTAGGTTGGGGGAGGGGGTGATGGGAAGAGGAGGAGGGGCGTAGGAGATAGGGGCGTGGCTCCGCAGCCCGGACGTGACGTACCGGGCGAGGCCCCGGATGGTGGTGGTGGTGGAGGAGGCTCCGCGTGAGATGTCGCCGGAGTGAGAGCTGCGCGGTGAGTGACGACGCCGCCGCCGCCTTCTGCTCCTCGCCGCTCGCCCCGTCAACCTCGCCGCCAACATCGGCACTCCTCATCCACACCACCTCTTCTTTCTCCGCATCGGCATCGCCACCACCCATCTCCCTCTCCCTGGTTGCCCCGGTGACGGGAGAGCACTGGGTTGGTCGCTGCTGCTACTACTGCTGCTGCTGCTGCCACATGATGATGGTGCTGGTGACGAGGGCAGTGGCGGTGGTGTTCATGGTACTGTTGTTGATGGTAGTGCTGGTGAATGATTATGATGATGGTGGTGGTGGTTGCTAATGTTGGTGATGGGGGAGCGATGGTGATAATGGTAGCGATGATTATAATAATGGTTGTGATTGCGGTCTGGATTGATGGTGGCGGTAGTGTGGATGGCTGTCATCGTGTCTACGTCTCTGGTCCTTCACCTCGACTCTCAGCCTCTGTCTCCGTGTGTCTCAGTGTGTCTCCGTGTGTCTCAGCGTGTGTCTCAGCGTGTGTCTCAGCGTGTGTCTCAGCGTGTGTCTCAGCGTGTGTCTCAGCGTGTGTCTCTGGGTGTCTGGGTGTCTCTCTCTGCGGTGATCCGGGACCATTGCTCGGTCGCCCTAGCAACAGACAGCTTCTACCTGCAGCCCCCACCTCCTGCCCCCTCCACTTCCCCCACCCCCTTCTCTCCCTGCCCCTGCCTTCACTGCACATTCGCTGCATTCTCTTATCATCCGCTGCCCTTGCATGGCCCTCGCTGCCCTGTCTGCCCTCCGCTCTCTCCCCCTTCCCTCCCTCTGCCTTTGTCCTCCTTGCCGTGGCCGCGCTGCCCACACTCTGCCCAGCTCTGTCATGTCGTTCTCCCTGCCCTCCTGCCCCCTCTATCTCCCTGCCCGGCTCCTCTATCTCCCTGCCCTCTACTCGCCTTCGTCACAGTCATCACCATGCTGCCCTTCGCTGTCCCGCCCGTAGCCCTTAACCTGCTCTGCCCTCGCTGTCTTTGCCTGCCCCGTCTCTCGCTGCCCTCTCTGGGGATGTTGCATATGCCCTCCTACCCCCCTCCCTCCCCAATATCCCGTAGTCTTCCAACATTTATTTCTGTGAATTGACATTCATTTTACGTCGCCGTGTCACTCGGCAGCAAATCTACAGCGGCGCTCTGCTGCTTGTGCTGTCACCGACAGCTGAGAGATCCATCGGCGAGTGTCGAGATTGACGCTAGACATTCGCTTTACGACGGCGAGTGACGCGGGCGGAGCGGGATTAAGAGCAAATCGAGTGACAAGTTTCGTGTTTTTTTATGTCGGTTCATGGCCAATTAAATACGGTAATGGCTCTTGGTTCATGTCCATTGCGCGGTTGATTTATAGCGTTGACTGTTGGAATAAGTTGTGTTGCCCCGGCAGTGTGGCTCATAGCATTGCATGGCGATTAGCATTTTCCCTTTTGCAGCATTTATTTCTGCGTGTCTCCGTGTACCGTGTCCCGTAGCTTTGTATGTCGAGCGTTCCTAAATTTTAGTGGTCTCATGGCTTTTTCACAGCTTTGTATTTCTTTCCCATCTCATGCAACGTGTCCTATAGAATGGTGTGTGTGTGTGTGACATAACATTTGCATACGTCTCATTCCCTGTGTCTGCGTTAAAGCTTTCCATGTGTCTCATATAATTGTCCGATAGAATTCTATATTTTTCATAGGGTTGTATGCCAATACGCATTGTGTGTCTATGTCATTATCATTCCATGTTTCTCTCCTTTCGTTTCCTCTGTGTCTCATATCATTCCGTGTGTCTCTGTGTCACGGGATTGCCGTGCATGTGTGTGTCATGACGTTCCCTGCATGCCTCGTGACGAGATCGAGAAGTGCCCCCTTGTGCCTTGCTTCTTTGCTAACTTGGCCCTGCGTGGTGCCCGACAGGGACAGTTGCTGATTAATTGCTGCTCTTTGTTAATTGCGTAATTGCTGATGAACATCTTGGCTGCTGCAAGTGGACGCACTTTTGGGAGCAGAAATATTCATTAAGCACTTGGCCTAACATCCCTCCCCGGCAGGAGCCTCCTGAGAGATGGTTTTGAGACTCGGCGAGGTTTTCGTAGCATAAGCAAAGGGCGGTTTTTATTGTAATGAAAATGAGCGTTCCTAAATGTTAGTGGCAACCCCTCGGCACTCCCAGGGTAATTAGGACGTTTCGTCTCGCGTGTGCGCTGGTGAGATTCTCTCAAGGCGGGTGAATCAAGGCGCTTTCTCCCATTAAAACGTTCAGGGTGCGTGAAGCAAATCGCTTAGAAACCCATTATGAGACAAACATCCACACGCATCGCTACTCCTGGAGGGAAAGTGCCTGCTCCGCTCTTCCTGCTGCGTGGCGCTTAATAGTTCTAATGAGTCAAGAGTGAAGGAAATTCGGAACGTGATTTATTTCACATAATATAGCGGGGCCCGCGTTGTTATTAGGCCGCGCCAATACTGCCGGCGGAGGTTTCTGGGTTTTTTTAGAAGGACCGTTCCATCCATTCAGTCTTATAATTCCAACTCGCGTCGTCCCACAGGAATTTTCGGCACGAGTGTCTTCTCTTTACTGCCAGAGCTTTGTTTTGCTCCCTTTTCTCTTTTACGGGAGAATCATTTGCTCGATGTGGACGGGGCCCCGAGCTGTTTACTGAAATATAGATTTGCTATAAAGGGGATCCCACGGGTGTTTTAAACCTCCTGTACAGCGCCGGCGTGGAAGGCGTGTGTGCGTTTCGCGGTTAACAGGGCCGAGCCGCACCTCTGTGGCTGAGCGGAGATGGCAGGGGTGAGGGGCAAGTGCTCCCCCGTGGCCCCGCCACACACCCACCGTCAGGGCTGGGCAGAGGGCCGCTCCTCACAATGACTCAAAGTTTTATTTTAATTCTTAAACTTCTTAAAAAAACAACACCGCTTCAGGAGGTAGCATTCGTACGTCAGATGCGGCTATACTCGCAGCTGGCCGGAGCTTGTTTCTCTGAGAAAAGGTTTCGGGAGAATTTGGTTTTGTGGAAGTTGGTTCACCAGGAATTTTATGAGCTAAACCTATGACACCTGGTTGTCGAAGCTGGTTCTGTGGGAACTGATTGTGTGGAAGCTGGTTCTCAATGACACCTGGTTGTCGAAGCTGGTTCTATGGGAACTGATTGTGTGGAAGCTCGTTCTCAATGAGCTGGTTCTGTGGGAGTAAGACACGTTTTTGAGATTCTTCTGGGTTATGGTTTTCATGTAGAATCCACTTATTGTAGGGGAGCAGCAAGTTTTTTATGAGCTGATCCGGTGAGATTTGGCTATGTGGCAGGTGGTATTGAAAGATATGGTTGTGCGAGAGTTGGTTTTGTACTGCCTGCTCAGCAAAGCCAAATTAGCATTTTAAGCGTTAAGCTTTGCTTCCAACCTGGATGTCTCTCTCTACTCGCTCAGTAAATCCTTGATGATACAAAGTCCCATTCCAGTCCACATTTTTTTTTCGTGAGGCCAAGTCGTCAGGGTTGTGGCGGCCCAGATTATCAGGGTAGAGGCCCGAGCAAGAGTGAGGGTGGGGGGGGGCTTGCTTGTGGGAGCTGGCGTTGGAGTGACTCGTATATCGTCCGTGTCGTGCAGTGGGCTCCCCTGGCTGGCGTAGGGGGCGGGTAAGCCGTCCGGGGCCATTGCCACCACCCCTTCGCTGCCGTCACCATGTTCGGCAAGAAGAAGAAGCGGCTGGAGATCTCGGCGCCGTCCAACTTCGAGCACCGCTTCCACACGGACTTCGACAAGGAGGAGAGGAAGTTCACGGGGCTCCCGCCGCAATGGCAGAGCCTGCTGGCCGACACGGCCAACCGGCCCAAGCCAGTGGTGGACCCCTCCTACATCACGCCCATCCAGCTGGCACCAATGAAGGCAAGCCCGTGCTGTATATGTAAAGCAACCACCATAACACTCACCACAACACTCACACAGTGAAGGCAACCCAAAGCCCTATGTACACAACAACCACCACAACAGTCACACCCACAAATGCAATCCAGGCCTGTACATACAGCAACAATAAGCTATTAAAATGTCCAGGAGGCTCAACCACAACATATGGCGAGCTGGCACCCCCCGTTCCTATGTCGCCCCTACTAATTTTTCTTTTTAAACCGCACCACACTTGTATGACGAGCCCTGCTCACGTAGTGAGAGGCCTCCCGCTTCCTGACAGCCCTGCTTGCTCCTCGTATGCCCCGCAAATTGCCCGTATCATCAGCTGTTATGTTGCCGGGACAAAATATTGATTCCGCGAATGTATCGGGACACTGAAACCGCGACTGACCCGGCCAAACCCAGGAAGGTAAGTGGCTTACAACACCAACCCCTACAATAACAATTACGCTTGTGAAGGCAAGCTTAGCCCGTGCACACACAACACCAGCATGAAGGCGCGTGTGCATCACGCAAGGCGATCCCGTGTGCACAACAACAAACGAAACAAACAAAAAACACTCCAATGCAAGTAATTGCAGCTGCTCAATTTGATTCGATCTCTCTTGCGGTGCTGGTGTCTTATATGAGCAGGTAAATGACATCAGTTGCAGGTTATGCAGCTGCCAGAAGTATTCGTCCTCAGAGCCTTCGGTAATATATGCTAATAGACTACCGCGGAGCAGTAATGAATGGGCTGCCACCCTTATTCAACGTGGCGCCATTGTGACACCGCGATGTCTTTTTCCCCTTCCCCCCCCCCCCCGACTGTGCCATCCACAGAAGGTCATGGGGGGCAAACGCTTTGTTTAGTAAATATTACGTGTTCTGAGGGGCTTGCGTGTTGAACTCACTGTTACGTGCAGCTGTACACAACCTGCCGTGTTTATCAAGAGTTTGAGATCGGGCCCCACTCTTAGGCTTGTCTCTGCTCGCTGGCCCGACTGTCGCAGCAGCGTTGGGCCTCGGAGACTGCTTCGCAAATTCGCCTCGCTTCAGTTTTTCGGACAATCCGTGCGCCCGGTGCTCGCGCCGCTGCCTATCCATGGCCGTTGTTATTTACGTATTGATTAACGAGCAAGTAATCATGTTTTTAAAGAATTCATTAGTGCCCTGGCAGGGTGCCCAGACGCAACGCCTCCCACCGGGCGGCGTGGGGAAGTTGTCGTTGAGTGGTGGCACGCGTGCCGGAATGCGGGCGCGCGCAACACCTGTTGGCACGCGGTGGGAGGTGGGGCGGGTGGGCTGGCGACCAAGCAGCAGCATCACGCGGTAGCGCTTGGGGGGGGGGCCTGCTTGGGACCGGCGCGCAGACAGCTGCGCCCGTCCCCCTTGGGGGAGTTTGGGGGGGGGAGGTGGTAGACGCTTGTGCTCCCAAGCCGTGAGTCCGATTGGCACCGAGGGCTTCGAGTTACACGGGTAATTGAGCGCCCTTCCTGGAATTATAGAACAGCAGCTGCCGAGGCGTGATTTGGACAATTTTGTCTCCTATCAGAATTGAACAATGTGGATTTTTAGTATGGAACACGGCGTGATTTTTCAAGTGTTTGTGCTGTGCGAGCGTGCTTTTAAGTGCATCGTTTGTGCCGTCGATGCTGCGTCCGCGTTGCGCACGACGATGTGTTTTCTTGGTTGCCGGCTGTGTTACGCTCGGCGATTTAATCTCTCTTTCAAGCTCGCGCCGTGCCAGTTTGAAACTCGTATGCAGACACAATGGTCCAGCGTGCTTAACAACGGCAGAGAAAGAGAAAAGAAAAAAAGCCTGCTCTCATTCTGTCTCCCGCGCTGCCTCAAGTCGCCGCTCCCAAACAACAGTGGGGCTCTTGTGTGAGGGTGCCCGTGATGGAGGCGCCTCTCACGCCCACCAGTGTCCTTCCTCTCCTCTTCCGAGCTCCCTCCCACGTTTTCACAAGGAGCCTAAACTTGGCATAAATAATGGGCGACAGGGCCACGGCCCCTGAGCGAACATCAAAGGGACCTTTTGAACCGTTTACTCTGCAACGCTGCAGTGGGGCTCTTTGTGTGCCCAGCGAGGCGCGGCGCCGTCTTGAGACCTTCGCAAGGGGCCACGCGAGGCGCTGGTTACCGCGCTTGTTACCTCCCGGCACGGCAGTGGTGCCTCTTGCCCCTTCCCCCCCTCTGAGGCTTCGTACATTTGTGCCGTCTTCAGAGATCTCATTCAATATGCATCTTGACAACGCAGTGTTTGCAAAATTAAATACGCACCATCGGCGTGTGTTTCGCGTGCGAGTGATGCGTCCAGCACCTTGGCTGCTTTGTCCATTTTTAGAATTGCTTGGCAATGATTTATTTGTGGCTTCCAGAATTGTAGGGTAAGGATTTTATTTGCAGAGTGTGCACAGCGGCCTCGGCACGAGTAGTGCGTACGGCCCGCCCCTTGGCACCCGAGAGGGGCCTGGCCTCTACTCTACTGAGGCTTCTCGTCGTTCGTGAAGACGGGGGATGCGCAATCGGTCAGTCTTCCTGACGTGGCTTAACTGCGAGCGCGGATGCCACGGAGACGTGCTTGCCTCCTGGAATGTCGTCGTGATTGATTTATCTTTTTTGTGCAAAGTAATTGTCAGCACTTATCGATTTGCGTGCCAGCACGTCCGGTGCGTGTGGAGGAGCTCTTGAAGCTCGGCGAACTGCCCTTCAAATGTCCGCAGCCTCGATCGTGGAATTTCCAACCCTCGTGTGGCTGAGGGGCGTGCACTTGTCAGAGCTGCGGTGTTTATAAGCGTAATTAAAATGTACTTATTTTTGCATTGCGCTGAGCGCCGGTAATCTCCCTAACTATGTTAGTGTTAAAGTTTTTTTTCTAAAGTAAACAGCCTTTGGGTAAGGAGCTGCTGTAGTGGCTGTTGAGCTGAGTGAGTCGTGCGTGCACGCTTGGGTAGGCAGTGTTTGTGCCCTTTGCCCATGTCTGCTGGCAGCAGTGGATGTGGTCTTGCACTGTTGCCAAGCAGTTAGATAAATGCAGAGATCTCTGTGATGCGCTTTTGCCCGCAAGTCAACTGCTTGCTTGTATCTCTCACTCCATGCCCTGCACTGCTACAAAGCTAAGCTAGTTTTTTTGGTCTTACGGGACTCGGCCATGGACTCAACAACGTAACCATGTGTAAGGAAATAAGGGAATGGACAGGGTTAGGTTTGAGATAAGGTTAGGACTAGTGGTTGGCTGGAACACCTTTTACTGCCACCCTGAAAAATAGTTCAGCGCTGTGTTGGCCTCAAACATGCGCTCCTCATAGTGGCCAGACCTCATGGAACGTGTGTGTACATTGCTCGGTCTGAGCAGAGAATTGCTCAACGGGGTCCTTGTGCCCGGTGCCATAAAACAGTTTGAGGGAAAGTTACCCCTAATCCACTCTGGCGCTGACAAAAGTCCATTGGCAGCGTTTTTTTCCTGTGCAATTGAGCATGGGGCGGCACTCAACTCCCGTTTACAGCCCTGAACCAGTGTTGGAAATTCCACGTTCCTATGATGGGAGGGTGAATATTTCTGAAGGAGAACCAACTGACTTTCCCACAATGTGGTGACGAGTGTCCCTCTGATCAGTTTCGATTGTAAATTGTCTTATGCAACGGAGCACCGTACTCCATGGCAACGGTGCTAATGCTGGTCCCCCCATGTCGCTGGCTGCGCATGAATAGTTCTTATTTCACGCAAGCCGTTATTTCTCGTGCACGCTGTCGCTGCTTTACTGCCGCGACGGTGCGGTCCATTCCTCGCCGTCCCCCTCGTAACGACCCGTTTCGTTGTAAGTTTGAGACACAGCCCCAGCCGCCCTGCCTCGGTTTGTCCGTGTTACCAGCGACAGGCGATTTAAGAAAAGGAGTCTTTTCGAGCTATTCTCTCTTAAGTGACCCATTTTATATATATATATAAACCAGCGAGGCATAGGCAGGGAGGACGGCTACAGTGCCATGATATACAGTGAGGCGGTACGCTGGAATGTGTGAGATTTTCCCGGCAGCCACAGCTCAGGCATGTGGCGCTGACCCCCCTCAGCTGTGGGCGCAGCGCAGATGACCCAGAGGTGGCCCTCGTATTGCGAGGCCCGAGGAAGACGTCCCCCGCTCATCGGGGCGCCTGTGCCTCCGCTTGCTCCGCAGCGTGAGGCGACGTGGGCGGGCGGCAATGAGTTTAACAAGAGCCCATTACGTTGGCAGAGGGAGGGTAATAACAGCTTACGACTTTTCAGCATAATTTAACACTGATGCCAGCGGGCTGCACACACGAGCATTACAGTAACACGTGTGTGTGTGTAGTAATGCAGAAGGGTCGCACATGAGAAAGGTTTAGAGGTTACGTGTTTGGAATGTAAGCCTCCTGATAGTGATTATCAGCTGTCCTGTGAAATGCACGTGTGCGTAGTTTCCCCTCCTTTGAGTCATGGTTTTGTGGGGAGAACACAACGCAGCGTCAAGCCAGGCCTTTCTCCACCCGGTATTGAGTTTTTTTTTTGTTCTGCTCCGTTCTCCCTTTGACAACACAAAGGGAAAGTGACTGTGGCTGAAGGACCCACACGCACTCCCGTCTGCCAGGGCTGCAGTTATTGGGAAACCACAGCGTATAGCATTCACACACTATCACTGCCCCCGCTGCACACCCCCCTTCACCCAAGATGAGACGCATGCAGCAGAGGGGAGGCTGAAGGGGGCAGGAGGGGGGGAAAAACCCAGAGCGTTTTCCCAGAACTGCGAATACTGGGGAAGCAGTTTGCGATGTAACATTTATGTTGCCATCCGATGCGGCGAGATGATGGCGCTGCAACGGGACTGGCACAGGACGGGCTTCGCGGGCCCCACGGATCTCGCTGGCGCCGTGCTCGCGTCCCTCTGTCTCCCGTCATTGCCTGTCATCGCCGCGCGCAGTCACGAGCAAGCGTGTCCCCCTTGCGCGTGATGGCACTCGACGGCGTGCCATTCTAAATACCAGCTTTCGATTGACTTGATCAGATCACTTCGGCAGGTATCCCTTGCGGATAGTGATTCGTCGCCGTCGGCCCTCACGTGGTTCTAATAACGGTCGCTGATTAACTGGCCATCCACCATGCACTGCAAAAGACCGTTACTCGATCAAACGGTTACATTGTTTGTAGAGCAGGGATCTAGTGAGATCTTTGCTCTTAAAGGAAGATGAAATACAAAGGGTAAACTCTTGTTTCACAGATTATGAACCATTGGCTGTGTCCTGAGCTGTCCAGCACAAATCTGGATATTGACTAAAAAAATACTTTAAATTGACTTCAGGAGCGCACTGTAGCACATCTGCGCAGCTCGACTGCTGTACCTTTTAATGCATCACTGCAGTAATATCACGAGGTCTAGCTACAGCACTCACCTGATGTTAACTTTAAAGTATTTTATTCTCATGCATGAAGCTTGTAATTCATGATTGGAAAATCATACCTACAAGATAAGAGCCGCAATGCGTCCTCAAAACAGCAACAACTGTGGTGGATGTACCACATCTTCCGATTAACACGGTTGGCTATGTACAGTGCAAAAGAAGTTCAACAGACGTACATAATGGAGTTTTTTTGAGGGGGATCCTTTAAATTTTTTATCAGTTGGGAGGGGTGCGGTGGGGAAAGAGATTTAAAAATCATGCTCCCAAGACTCGGACTGGTCGGTGCATAAAGCAGTGCTGCATCTCTACTCTGCGCCGAAATGTCCCTCGCTGCAGTGTCCCAGTTTTGTTTCGGGTTGTACAGCGACTCCTCAGGGTATTTGCTTGTGCCTTCCAGAAAGGGCCTTGCGATGTGTGGTGCTTTCAGTGTTGATTTTGTACTTTAATTTTACATTGCTTTTAGAATGCAAATACATCCAGAATATACATTTTATATGCCACATAAATAATATTACGTGTGGTGTGAATTGGCTCGAATGCTTGTTCTTGGAAGTAATGAGGCTTTTTGTTTTGAAGGAATTATTATTCTGGGGCACTTCCGCCCCCCCCTCTCCCATGCCTGATAGCCCAGTATTTGAAGGAGGACACAGTGTATCTTCCTTTTAAGAGAATCGCCATCTGCCAAACGAACGCGTAATAACGCCCAGTGGATATAGAACACATGCGGGCACCGGCAGGCAGGGCGCATGTCAGCCGATGGTGGGGCTGGGCTGAGCGCCGGCTAAACGGGGGTTGGTGCCACGTCGGTCTGATTGTCTGGGCGATTGCCAGCCCGGAGAGGTTCACCACGGTGCCATCTGTCAGCGCGGCAAGCGGCAGAAGCGTGCGCCGGGCACCGTAACGATGGTCTCACCAGTGGCAGCTTGAATTATCGCTTGCGGCTCAGTGGTTTGTCATAACACCCTGCGGGTTTGGTCTGCTTCCAGTTGGAAATTGCTTTTGTGCGCCGTGTTAACAGGAAGATGCAAGATTAAGAACGGTGAAAGCAGAGTCGTTTATCCGGGGAAGGCTCAGAGTCTTAGAAGTCTGTCAGAAAGGTGCTGCTTTGGAATGTTTTGCCAGTGTCATTTTAAAGAGTGTCTTGCATGTGGCAAGAAATGGTATTCTGAGGAAACTCCACATGTCGGAGGAATAACATTCAAATATCCACACAGATGAAATCAGGAATATATTCTCTGCAGCCAACTGCGTGCCACCTGGCAGCCCATTGGCTTTCTGAGTTTCACAGATCTGTGCGATCCACCAACCCTTGTCTCCAAAGTGCTGGATCATAGGGTTGAGTCACCGCTGTGTAGATACATGCCGAGGCATTGTGTTCAGAGTTGTTCGAATACCAAGCTATAATAATGAGAAAAATAGCACTAATGTGATGTTTAGGTGTCCTCATGTCACTGCAGTGACGTTTTAAAAAGTATGGCAGGTGCGCCACAATGACATCACCAAAGCTCATCTTTAAGTTTCTGTAAAGCTATTTTCTCATGAATGAAGCTTCAAACTTGTGTCAGACAGTCGAGGACCCAAAGCATGAATGTGTAACTACAAGATAAAAGCTGCTTGTTTTATTGCATTGCAGCTTTCTTTAAGTGGATGTTCCAAATACCTGTCTTCACTGCCTTGTCTTGCGTGGTACCGTACTAATGGGTGTCTTGAACTTTGCGATTAGTAATGTCAGGATGACGTTCACCAGAGTTAACGTCGCGCAGCCTCAAATGCCTCCGTCTCTGCTCCTTCCCTGCAGCCCATCGTGAGGGGCAGCAGCAAACCCAGGGCAGAGAGCGCCATCAACGGGCTGCTCTCGGAGTTCCGCAACATCTCGGTGTCGCGCTCAAACTCGCTGCGCAAGGAGAGCCCTCCGTACGCGCGCCGCGATTCGGGGAAGCAGCGTCCGAGCGTCATCGAGGAGGACGGACAGGCCGACCAGCCTGACGGTGACGAGGAGGCCGGGGGGCGGCACCTCACGCCGGCGCGCGAGCCTCACCGTGCCGACTACGAGTACAGGGAGTGGCCCGGTGGCGGCAAGTCCTACCAGCACGGCTACGACGACCGCGACCACAACAGCAACCGGCACCCGCCCCCCTCTCGCCAAGCCCCTCCACTCCAGCAGCAGCACCGCCAGAATGGGCAAGAGCAGCAACAGCAGGAGCCGTACAAGTGGCACTTTAATCAGGCGGAGCAGGGCCGGCCGCCACCCCCCGAGTACGGCGCATATGCCGATGGCAGGAAGGTGTCGTACCGCCCGGCGGAGCTGCCCGGCAAACACGCGGCGTACCGGGACCGGGACCATGGCGACACGGCCGACAGGAGGCCCAAGTCGTCCTTCGTGAGCCCGACGACGCTGGCTGAGCGTAAGGAACGGCCCAAGTCCGGGCCCAGCCTGCGTGAGGGGGACAGCCCCAGCACGGGCAGCCGCTCTGACGCCCCGGCACCCTCACCGCCCCAGTACAAGTCCAACAGCTACCCGAGGCAGGGCCCTGTGGCAGCTGCGGGAAAGGTAGGGGTTGTCCCCTCTTGCGCCTGCACCTCCCCGGTCGTGATCCCACCAGTCCCTCTACTGACGGGGTCACTCCAGCGGCATGGATATCTGTGGTTCCACCGCGAGGAAGCTTGCTCATGCATCCGTGGCGGTTTGTAGGCAAATCCTTAATCTTTTTTCGTGTCTGTTTTTATCGACACTTATCTGCAAGAGGAGCTCTTAGGTTACATGTGAGTCTAAAAGCAATTCTTTTAATCGTATAAAGTGTTTAGTTTTATGTGATGTCGTCATTCAAGCAAGATTCATCTCGCAATCTGAGGAACCACAGACATGCTGGAGAGCAGCAGCCAGGAAGTGAGCTGGCAGTATTAACAATTGCCCAAGCTCTGGGGTCCTATGTATGTTAAGATGTTTCCATTTAACTAATGAGTGTCTGTATATGCCTTTGTACAAAATAATTAACTGCGTGTAATATGCATGCATTTTATGGTTATTAATGCCTTGCGACTTAAGTTGAAAGCATGTATACTTTAGTGATGTCCATCCATCTGTTTATAACAGAGGGGAGGGCACGATAACTCTTGGCCAGATGATCCAATATAAACCAGCCTGCAGTATGAAGTTGTGTTGACTTGCTGTTTTGAAAACCAGCCAATTTGATCAAGAGGGTTTTTCAAAACTTGGACCACAAACCAGAGCAAATGTTACAGATTGGAAATGTGTTTTACCCTGACAGCTGCACATCTGCTACCATCCTGATAATTAAATACTTGGCAACTATGGCAGAGCTACGATTTTCAGGTTGGGGGGGCCACCCCTCCAGCAATAAAAAATGATAGACGAGATGTTAGTAAGGACCTGTCCCTTGCTTTTTATTCGACGCATGTGCGGCGATGGCGTCGCCATCGATCGAGGGTCGAATTTGAAATGTGTGTGATCGGCATCGTGCTCGCTGAAGGTATGATGCCTTCAGGGAAGTCGTGTACTGTATACACAACTGCGCACAATTTTGTGAGTCACTTATAACTGCTTTGCCGTTACTTATTCAATTATGGACTCGGACTATTGTCCTATCATCACATAGAGTTCCTGGCACGTAATAATATGCTACACAGTGGCAGTGGGGGTCGCAAAATGCCGATTTATTACTAATAAACCCCAATGATCCGATAGAAATTAGGGATTTCGATCGGATCATTGGGGGGGCACGTGCCCCCCCACCCCCCACTGGCTCCACCAGTGCTTGCCAAGATTGTTGCGGAATCCATTCGTACACGTATTATTACCAAACTTGTTTTTCTATAGGTTTGGCAAAAAGAGGAATTGGGGGTCATGTGAGAATGTGTTCCCACAGGCCCGACCAGGGGACATGGGTCCCGGTAAGTACTCGCCGGGTCCACCCAGCCATCCGCCGGCGCCCTACCCAAAACCGGCAACGTCGCGTCCGCCGCCCCCCCAGCACCCAGTCCCCCACGCGACCCCGCGGTCTCAACACCAGCAACACCAGCAGCACCAGCAGCAGCACCAGCAGCAGCACCAGCAGCAGCACCAGCAGCAGGCTCCCATCGCCGGCTACGGGCAGCACGTGAGCCCACGCACGCAGGCCTCCGTGGAGCTGCCCCATCAGCGGCCGCCGCAGCCGCCCTACCTCCAGCAGCCCACGGCCTCCCCGGGCCAGCACGCTCGAGCCGGTGCCCTGCCGCAACCGTACAAGCCGCCGCCGCTACCGCCACAACCGCCGCAGCACGGCGGCCCCCCTCCGTATTACGGAGCCCCACCACCACCGCCGCACCAGCACCAGCAGCAGCAGCATACCTACACTGCGGCAGGCGCACAGCTTGTGGGGCCTGCGGCGCAGCACGCCCTGCCACATCCGCAACACGGCGCTCACCCTTCCCCTCACTACACGGGGCCTCCCCCTGGGGGTAAACCGGCTCCACCTGTGGTGCACTAAGACGACCCCCAGCCACCAACTGGCCCAGCAGCAACAGCAACCTCCGCATCACCATCATCATCACCACCAGCAGCAGCAGCAACAGCAGCAGCGCGAGCCCCCGCGCATCTCGCACGAGCAGTTCCGCGCGGCGCTGCAACAGGTGGTGGACCCCGGCGACCCGAGCGAGTACCTGGAGAACTTCATCAAGATCGGAGAGGGCTCCACGGGCGTCGTGTGCCTCGCCGTGGACCAGCGCTCGGGCCGCCAGGTGGCCGTCAAGAAGATGCACCTGCGCAAGCAGCAGCGCAGGGAGCTGCTCTTCAACGAGGTGAGGCGCACGGCACCGGCGTTCACGGTGCGGGTCTCATTCTATTCTCTCAGTCTTCCAAAGAGCGTGAAGTGGCAAGGTGGACGGGTTGGACTTCTTCAGGGATGAATACACTCGTGTTGCCGTGACATACATTTTCACGATATGAAGATCTTGATTTAAAGCTTTCGTGACTGCAGGGATTCATATTCTTGGTTCTTTCGGTAAAGTCACGTAGAAGGGAAATAATAACAAATATAAAACAATAAAATGGTCACGACGTTTCGACTGCAACACAAGCAATCATCATCAGGCGTGAAATCCACAGCAAGAAAATTTGAAAAAAACGCCGCTTTTTTTTAAACTAGATAAGTGACGCTAGTCACAATGATATTTAGCCAAATAGGACAACATTACTATCAAAGGCCTTGTATTGTACACATATCACAGTGTGGCCATATCCACGGCACCCCGAGTGTGGCCATGGAGGAGGCTGAATGTAACGTGAGTCTGCGCGTGTACATCAGGTGGTGATCATGCGCGAGTACCACCACGAGAACGTCGTGGACATGTACAACAGCTACCTCGTCGCCGACGAGCTCTGGGTTGTCATGGAGTTCCTGGAGGGCGGCGCGCTCACCGACATCGTCACACACACCAGGTGCGTGGCCCCACGCGCACACGCCGGGCGAGAGGAGGCTGTCCGTTTAAACCCTCGTCCCGTCGTGCACACCCTGACCCCGCGGTACGTCGTGCGATGATGCCAGGATGAACGAGGAGCAGATCGCGACGGTGTGCGTGTCAGTGCTGCGGGCGCTGGCCTACCTGCACGGCCAGGGCGTCATCCACCGCGACATCAAGAGCGACTCCATCTTGCTCACGGCCGACGGAAGGGTACGCGCTCTCCTCCCTACGTGCACCCGCTCTGTTGCACGGGATCATTGGGGGCCGCGACTTAACGCCTCTGTTGGCTGGGTGGACCCGGCGAGTCTCTAACCACAGGCTACCGCTCTCGACCAAGATGAGGCGTGGTACCTGCATGGTACGGGAACACCAACTGGTGTACTTTGGGCACGTCGTTCCTCGCTTCCCCTTGCTTGACCGTGCCCACTGGGTTCTCTGAGCTAGAGGACCACGTTGGTGGAGGAGGCGGCCCACCGCCTCCTGGCTGCATCAGGTCGACCGTTTCTGTCGAAAACTTGGGAACAGGAAGGGGGGCTCGTTTTGGTGGCTTTGCTAGGAGGGGGGGGGAGTCTTAGAGGCTGGCGCCACAGGGTGAACACTGCGTCACCCTGTCACGGCGTGCGATACCACACTTGACTGTTGCGCACATCTCGTGATTTTACTGCTTTTCCTACGTTGATACCGTGCTCCTTGTGCAGCTGGTGTTGGAGGCAACTGTAGAGAAATGCGTGCCCCGTAGTGTTTGGGGGCCAACCCCCTGCCAGCTCCGTGAGTGCAGTCGAGTGCCACCACCTCTCTTCTGCTCCCCAGATCAAGCTCTCAGACTTCGGGTTCTGCGCTCAAGTTTCCAAGGAGGTGACGCGGCGGAAGTCACTGGTGGGGACCCCGTACTGGATGGCGCCAGAGGTCATCTCCCGGTTGCCCTACGGACCCGAGGTGACCAACCCCCCCACACCCCTACGAAGCGACGTGCTTTAGTCTGATAGACTCTGTGTGCATATGGTCTTGACGAAGTCTGCAGACTTGACAAGCATCCGCGGAGTGTGTTGGTTGGTGGCAGCGGTTGTATTTGTGGATGGCAGGGGGTTCAAAGCAGTGAATGACGGGAGTTCAAATCAGTGTTTTTGTAATGCGTGGCGTGTGACCGGGCGGTGCGACGGGATAGGTGGATGTGTGGTCGCTGGGCATCATGGTGATCGAGATGGTTGACGGGGAGCCACCGTACTTCAACGAGCCGCCACTGCAGGCCATGCGCAGGATCCGCGACAACGTCCCTCCCAAGATGAAGAACATCCAGAAGGTGGGAAGATGCGCCACCAAACCAGCTGCACGGATGACTTTAGTGCTCGCAAACCACCGGCAACGTTCTCTGCCGTTTTGCTACTATGCCTGTTCAGCACTGTCCCAATCCATTTCGAACTGGATTATGATGTAATGAAAGTTGTTAGGCCTATACCGTTGGCGTGAACGACCGTCGGTGTTGTTATGCGAGTGTCGATTCGTGTTTAAAGGAACGTGGATATGCCTTGCCTCCATTAAAGTTATTCTGAGAATTTACTCTAAACAATTTTTTCAAAAATAGAACTTACACCAGCTGATATATAACATTGAAAGTTGCACTACGAACGATGTGAAGGAGTGGTGGCTAACGGTGGGGGCGTGTGTGTCGACCAGGCATCGCCGCTGCTCAGGGGCTTCCTGGACCAAATGCTGGTGCGGGACCCGGCGCTCAGGGCCACGGCGCTGGAGCTGCTGCAGCACCCGTTCCTGCAGAACGCAGGGCCGCCCGCCTGCATCGTACCGCTCATGCGGCAGCACCGCGGCCGATAGCCGGCCCCTCGCCCGTCCGATTGCCGCAGCCAACCCGCTCCGCCACAAGGTGCCACGACGAGGGGTTGACATGAGACGCACTCTCGCCCCGAGCACCGACGCGACCCTCGACCCTAACCGCACCGCCCCGCGATTCCTCCCGCGGCACGGGAATGTTCGTCGCGGTATAGCCATGGCGGAACGGCCGAGCGAAGCGCTGGCGGCTGCCCCATGCCGGCGACTGGCCCTGCCATAGGCGGCCTGTGGCGCTGCGGCGCCGGAGTCATTCCCTGCCGCGTGTGATACTTGAAAGCCTGAGGTGTCGGGGGACCCGGCTCTCGCACGGAGCAAGCTAAACTCTGCAGAGTTTAAAATCACACCTGAAACGGACGTCTTGGTGGTCGCTGGAGCGTGGTCAGCGCTTGGCAAGTGAAGAAAGATGATTAGCAGTGCTCGACATTTCTACACGTCTTATCACGATGCCAGCCTTGGTCTTCTCCGATCATTTTTTTATTGTCATCTCATACTTTACATATCATGTGCTAAAAATACTGTATGGTGCACACTGGGAAAGATAGGTCTTATTCATTTTATACATATCCGCACATTTCTCAAGACACTAATGTTTGTTTTTGTAAAGTGAATCACTACGCTGGCAGTGCCGTGCCTGGGCGAGCGATGCGGCGGGGGGAGGAAGCGCGGGCAAATTATCCGGAGCCGATGGCGGCTGTCGCGGTCGGCTCCGTCCGAGGCCGTGGATCGTGATGGAACGCCGTGCGTCGTCATCGTCGTCACCTCTCCGCTGGCCGGGGGGTTGGAACTTGCCGAGCCCAGGTGTTTGCATCCACTCTCTGTTTCCCCCTTGAGGATTCTTCTTATAGTATTACCCGTCAAGTTTTTTTAGTTTGTTATTTTTTTGTATTTATCAAGTATTGTAGGTGGAAAGGCCCTAGGCATTGTAATTTATAGTGGAGTGGGAGCAGGTGGTAGGGTTGGCTGCTGCCTGCGCACCCACTCTCCTCGTCGAGAGTCCGGTTCTGTCCTTGGTTTCCCCAGTCCTAACGGGCAGCGGTGCCCACACCTGGCACTCATCTCGGGGTAGCCCCAGCCCGCTGCTCAACCAAATGGGCACGGACGTGTCTGTCTGCGGCACAGAGCCGCGGGTCATCGCGAGTGGCCCAACGCAAGCAGGACCAGCAGGGCCTCTCCCACGCAAAGTCGTGGCCCGGCTTGGAGGAGCATGCTTTGCTGAGAAGGGGGGGTCTGGCCAGTGTTTTAGGGGCCGGTGGCTAAAATTGTACATTGGCATCGATACCCCCAGTGTTCCACGCCATGCACGTGTCCCACATTGCCGGCTGCTCGGCGCGATGTTCGTACGCGGCGGATGGCCCCGCTGGCGTCGGCCACGATGGGGTCGGCCCCGCTGGCGCCAGTCAGCTGGTGCCTCCCTGCCGCAGGGTGGCCCGTCGCTCACCTCGACGTCGTCCAACGACCAGGCCCGCACACTGCGAATGCAACTACTGAGCTGTGAGCGGAGAATAATAAAAACACTGAAGTCTTGTTTTGCAGCTAATAATAGATGTAAAAAAATGTTTAAAAATATGCTTGTATATTGTAGATTTTCCAAATATATATACTTGTATATTGTAGATTTTTGTAAGGAGGCTCGGTTTTGTTTCTCCGCTGTATGAAGGGTCTCGTTAGCCCGCGAGGGGTCGTCATGGTTACACGACGACCTGCTGTGTAGTTTATTCGCGGCGCTGTGTAAGCGAGAACCTGGAAGCGTTGCACGGTTTTCTCCGCGTTCATGATTCGCAGAGTGAGGCCTGATCCCAGCAGAGGACACAGTGCTGTGTGGTGGCGCAGCGGTCCCTGCGCTGCACCACCAACCCAGCCACTCAAGTTGAATTCCCGGCCAAGGTCAACATTAGTCATCGGTCACGTGTATTATGAATAGATCCTGTACGTTGTCAGCCTTAAACGAATACCTGGCGTGGTGTTTAATCACACGGCCCCTTTACCGTCATCGCCACGATAAAGCCACATCCGAGCTTTAGCAGATGGCACTGTGTCCATTGCCGTGCCCATGCCTCATCCGTACTCTGTGTTTAGATAGAACTCGTGCACTGGGTACGACTTACTTGCAGTTCGGGGCACGCGTCTTCGGGTAATGGAGTGATGGTTATGAAGTTCATGATGACGGTGATAACGTGAAGCATCCTGTTAAGGGGTGGGCAGTGTCCCATGTTTACCCCAGCAACTCTCTCTGCCCTTACATCGTAAATTCTAACGGTTTTCTCGGGCGCCAACTACACCTGCCATGGCTGTTGTCAACCTGGATTGGCCCGAGCACCCACAGACGGGGTTGCCTTTTGTCCAGGCACCTGCAGACGAAGGTCATCTGCTTGGCTGTCTAGAAAGCTCTGTCATCTCTTGCATTGGCTCGCACGTGGGACTTTAAAAATGGGACTTACCGTTAAAACTTTTTAAGTTTTTCTAAAGTAAAAAAAATCCTGTGTCCTCAAACAACCTGTGGGAGTTCTTTGTCTTTGGAGTCACCACAGGCCATGTGAAAGTGTCTGACCCCGGGCGTTCTGTCAATTCTTCAACGAACGGACGCCTTGTCTATGATGCAAACAAGCCAGGCAGCAGGTTCACTTGCTGCCGTTGCAGTGTCCCGCCACCATGCCACGCGCAGCTCGTGGGACTCCAGCTCATCTTAGAGTTGGTTGCACGAGAAGCGAGGCTGCCCAGCGCTCCAGCAGGCGATGGAGACCACTGCCCATGCCTGGCACAGGTAACAGATGGCGACGGCCAGGCCGCACCGACATCTCTCGTCACTGATGTGACCCCCCCCCCACCCTTCCGCTCGCCCTCACGACCCCATGTGATGGAGAATGACCCCAGTGGTGACTCCCTACTTAGCAGGAGGTTGCAGCACCACGTTCAACTTGCAATGCGCTGTCGCACAATATTCACTTGAGAAAACGACTCGGCATTGAAGAACCAGAGAAGCGGGAACACGCGGTGACCCAGTGCCAACAATTGCCAAAGTTCTACAGCCCTCAAGGTATTACTGGCTATTTAATGGCGGTTTGCCATCCAGACTGGGGGGCCGTCTGGCGAACCAGGGTATGACACCTCGATGCCCACGGGAACGGAGTTTAACAAAGTGTGTGCGATCCACAAACCCTCCACAGTGCGAGATTACTGTTGTGTAAGTGAACGGAAAACCCCTTGTGTGTGTGAGTTCGCCGAAGGGTGTGCATGGCTATTAACCACACCACTGTTTAGAAGGTTTTAAAATTACGAACAAGCTTGCATTGTTTGACAAGCGGAAGAACAAATGTTCTCATGCCATGCGCTAAAGTAAAACTATGCCAGAGAATATACATTACCTAATGTTGGAACTATTTGGTGATGTCTCCAGACAAAATTAGAGAAGTTAGTTTGGTTTCATACGAATGGAAACGATTGCTAATGTGCTAAATATTTTAAACATTTAAAACTTTTATAATTTTATACCTACCTAGAACAAACACGACAACTTAGTTTTTTTTTACCAAAAATGGGCTTTGTTCCCTTTTTGTTTTACCCTCAACACATGAATATAACCTAAACCAGACACCACCCGTTTTGGCCAAAACGTAACATTTTATAGAACAAATAACCTTAATACCAATTTCAGATTATTTTAATTTTACATTATGATTATTCCACTTGTTTGCCGAGGTAAGCCTCACCGAGTCTCAAGACTCTTTTGCAGGAGGGGCCTGCCAAGGCTTTCGCAGGAGGAGGGTGATGGTGGTGGTGGTGCTGCTACAGTTTGAGGTCCCCTAAGTTGCCGCAGTCTCGTGGATTCCTGTCAGGGCTCAAGGATCCTGGATCTTACGATGGCGCTACCATAGCCCCACAAGACACGCACGTCTCCTGAGAAACGGCTGGAGGCAGCGTGGCGTGCAGTCCGTGCATTTATTCAACTTTGTACAAACGCGCGTACGGAACGCACACACGACGTGCAGAACCCTCGCGCAGATGGAGCCTCAGTGCAGCCACGTCTCGCATGGCTCACGGGAGACGGCAGCAGCGACTGTGATCATCACGAATCCGTGGACGACCACAGGGGAGAGGTGGGGTGGGGGGGAGGCGCGCCAGCAGCGGCGGTGGCTACGTCCACCCAGGAGGAACCAGCAGCAAGCGACAAACCGCGAACGCTGCCACGGGGAAAGTGGCAGCACAGGAGCTCCGTGACACCAACAACGTTAGGGAGAGGCGTTCGCAAACCAGGCGGGGAGTAAGGGCTGCGGTTTTGCCCCCACAGTTCCCCTGCCACAGCAGCAAAGGCAGCAACACAACTCTCACGGGAACCCCTCCCAAAGCAGACAACGTTCAACAGAGACGGGGAAAATACAAAACGGTGATACAAAAAGTTCCCAAAGAAAACCCTTTTTGGAGAAGTTGTACAAAATGATTAAGAAATAAATAAAGTAAAAAAGGATAGCTGGTGATGTGGAATGGGCAAGAGGTGGTGTGGGAGAGAGGTCTTGCTGTGGTGTTCTCAGTGTGCCCATCGTGGGGGGGGGGGCATGCACGTCACGGCCGTGCCATCTGCTCCTGGCGGCCGCTCTCTGCCCCCTCCGACTGGCACTGGAGCCACTCCTCAAATGCACGCTCAACCTCCCTGCGGCACTGAGATCACACACACACACACAATTAGCACGCAAACATCAGCACGTGTCTACCACACACCAAGTACTCCTTTAAGGCTGAGTTGACCTTCGTTGGGGCACAGGACCAGTTTGGATATCACTCCCGCTAATATTGGGCATTGTCATAAAATTTTATTCTGGTCAGTAGCGTAGTTTGCTTAACCACTGCGCCACCACTCCCGAAACACGTCAATGTGCTCGTGAACACGGCCTGGCCTGCAGGCCATGCTGCTCACCAGTTGCTCCTCCTGCTTCACAGCAGCCACCACCTGCTGGTGCTTCTCCTCGATGCGCTCCTGACGCTTCTTCTGGGACTCCAGCAGCTGCTCGTCCACACCGCAACATTACCGCACCGTGCCATTCAAACATTACGACGATCACCACAACGCCATGGCATGATTAACATTACCGCATCGCACCGAAGGAAACACCATGCTATTATCTACTGCAATATGCACTACTCCGTTACCACGGTCTCAACAGCACACTACCAACAATATGGTGACCACCATTACATCGCACTGCAATCGCCGTGTCAGAGTGAGCGTCTCACCGTCTTGAGCTTCACCACGCCCTCCTGGATATGGGCGTTGGTGATTTGCTCCTTGTGCCTGCACGGCCACGCACACATGCGGTGCCACACACGGACAAACGCAGATGGTGGTGGTGTGGAGGATCCTCTGACGGTGTGGAATTCTTGGTGTGACAGGGTGGTGGTGTCTTCTTGGTTCTTTCGGTAAAGTCACGTAGAATTGAAATAATAAAATAATAAAAATAAAACATAATAAAATAATTCTCACGACGTTTCGGCCACAACGCAAGTAGCTGTCCTCAGGTGGAGAACAGGTCTGTCGAGGAGACAGTCTGAATGACTGTTCTCCACCTGAGGACGGCTACTTGCGTTGTGGCCGAAACGTCGTGAGAATTATTTTATTATGTTATATTTTTATTATTTCAATTCTATGTGACTTTACCGAAAGAACCAAGAAGATGAATCCCTGCAGTCACGAAAGCTTTAAATCGAAATTTAGGGTGGTGGTGGTGAGGATTTCATGGCCTTGCTCACCTCTCCAACTCCTGCTTGTCCTTGACCTCCTTGCAGGCGGCCTCCACCTTGCCGAGCCGCAGGACATCCATCTGCTTCTTGAGCTCCCTCTTTTCCCTGCACATGACACGGGGTCTGTCATCAGCGCGGCTCGCGACAAAACCGCTGCCTGCCGTGGCTGCCCTGCGGCTTGCCAGCACAGGAGACGGCCTGAGACCAGCGGTCAAAATCCCCGTGACTCTCCGGCCATGGTGGCAAGATGTTAGCTACCTGGCCTCGTATACAGCAGATAATGGATTCGATCCCGACCCTGACGATGCCTGTTTATTTGGAGTTTGTACATTCTCCCCGTGGTTATGTGGATTTTTCTCCGGGTCCCCTCTACATTTAGAAACACGCGTTGGCTGTTATAAATTTTCACGTACGCCACTTCGCCAAGTTATCATTTGTGGCCAGGTTGTTTCTGAAAAATACCTATATAGCACAGTGGGCCTTACCTGGTAAAATAAAAATAGTAATACAATATAGTAACTCATTCTCCTCTACTGCTGCCCTCTCAATCTAGAACTTCCTTTTCTCAACTATCCATGCTGCTGACCCCCTGCCCCAGTTAAAGTCCAGGCTCAGGACATTCATCTCTCTCCCCTGCCTATGGGCAATCCCCCTCTCTCTCTGAACAGTCTGTGCAGCAGCTCAAGATGCAGTTGCATTCAGATCCATCACAATTCATAATTTGTTTTGGTAAATTGAGCAAGTATAATGTCAATTTTCTTGGTTCTTTCCCTTCTACGTGACTTTACCGAAAGAACCAAGAATATGAATCCCTGCAGTCACAAAAGCTTTAAATCGAAATATGCGAATTGTCAACTATGACTGTCCACCACCCGACAGTCAATCCAATCAAGTTGTCACGTGGGAAAATATACACCCATTGATTTGGTTTTGCATCAAAACCAGAGGAGCAATTTTTAAAAGCACAACCAAAATTAAGATGCCAAATAAATCCACATTGTATTTTGTACACTCGCACAGAGCCCAGATACCTCCTGCCTCTCTCGAGACTACATGTGCACTGTGTAGTGCGTCTTGCGTTGCAAGCTTCCCGGCTTCGGGGTTGGCGGTGGTGCGCGCTCATACTTCTCGCTCGTCTCCGTCAGCTTCTTGAGCAGCGTCGCCTGGCTGTCCTGCGCCGCCACCAGCAGCCGCTCATAGAACTACGGAGGGCAGCGGGGGGGGGGGGTGGTCACGGGGTCACACGGGGGTCACACGACACGGGGACGGACGACGCGAGACACTCGAGCCAACAGGTGAGATAACGTTCGGCGGAAACTGCCAGGATTTCGTCACACTGCAGGCTTCGGGGTGGGGGGTGCCCACCACGGTCAATCCGTGTTCACCCATTTATGTCCAATCGCACGTGCGCTTTGAGTGAGTGCGGCTCGCGGGGCGTGGCAGCACCTGCGCAGTGTACTGCAGGGAGCGATCCCTCTCGACCGTGCGCTGCTCCAAGCGGAGGGTCCGCAGCTCCTCGCGCTGCCGGCGCCGCAGCTCGGCCACCTCGAGCGCCTTCTGCCCCACGGCCGCCGTTGCTCGCGCCTCCGCGGACGCTCCGCCCCCCAGCAGGCTGTGCACAAGAGGGAGGCGTTGAGGGACCGTGGTGCCAACCGCGTGGGGGCCCGAAGGGAAGGAGGGCGGGGAGGGAGGGAGGGGGGTACCTGCGGGCGTAGAAGGTCTTGCGCTCGGCGAAGGTGCGGCGGCGCTGCTGTTGGTCGGCGTGCGCTGCAAGCTGCGCCGCGTGCTCCTTGGCCGTCTCGGCGGCGCGCTTCACATTCCTGCGCGCCAGCTCCTGCAGATCCTTGTGCTGCTTGCTCCGCAGCTTCACCAGCGCCCGGCTTTGCTTCAGCTCCTCCAGCGACGCTGGCCGCAGCTCTGTGTGGCCGAACATCGCACCGTGCAGGGGTGGGGGGGGGGGAACGGTGAGCATGGTGCCCGCTAGTGCCCGCCAAAACATGCCCCCCATGACCGTCGACCTATCAGCGGTGATCGCGCAGGGCAGGGAGGCCCATTCCCGATAATCGTGGCGTGCTGCCGCTAACCATAAACACCACTCTGCCTGCGCCCTCCCTGGAGGCGGCGCAGGCTGCGGCGGGAAAGCTCAAGAGTCTGAGGGCACGGGGGGGGGGGGGGGGGGAACTTACCTCGAAGGACACCGATGATGTTCTCCTTCCTCGGAGATGAAGGGTAAAACCCTGCGGACAAGAGAACGCACGCAGCTCTAGCGTACAGGCAGCGGCGAGCAGGGACAACTGACACGACGCGTGATGTGTAGTGCTGACGTGCGGTATGACGTGCCGTATGACGTGCGGTATGATGTGCCGTAAAGTCATACCCAGGGCTTCCTGCAGCAGGGCCGAGCCGAACGGCGTCAGGCTGCTCGTCCTCCAGGAGGCCCCGATCCGCGGCGCCGCGCCGTTGGCGTTCCTCCGCTCCTCCTTGCCGCCCGGCCGCGCCGTCGTGGTCAGCTCGTCCCCCCTCCCCGCCGACGCTCGCCGGTCCGACACCAGCGGTTCCGCCGCCAGCCCCGTGCCCGGCCACGTCCCACCGGCGCCGTCTGCAGGCGCGGGCCTCTTCTCCTCCAGCTGCTCGCGATCGTGCCCGGAAACGGCGCCCGTTAGCGTCGATTAGCGGTGACCGCAGCCGCGGCCTTCGCGCACCGCGGGGTGGCTTTCTAGCACTAACAGGGGCGGCCTTGCGACAACCAGCGTGGACGTGCGCGCACACGTGTATGGGGGTTGAGGGATTTGTGCGTGCTTGCGCGTGTGTAGGTGTGGCGCGAGACCTCGTCCATGTAAAGCATCTGCAGCTGTCGCGCTCGTTTCTCGATGAGGCTCTGGTAGCGGATGGGGTTGGAGAGCCCGCTGATGATGTCTGCAGACAAAACACACACCAGGCACAACACCAAACACAACGACACCGGACACATTCAGGCGGTTTGCGGTGATACACGGCATGTGTGGTGCTGTGTGCATGTGCGGTAGTGCAGCAGTGGTTAGGGCGCTGCGCTACGAACCCGGCGACCCAGTTCGATTCCCGCTCACGGCCAACACCAATGACGATTATTTGAACCGGTCCTGGGCCTCCCTCCCGCTAAGTCGACTCCCACTCAAATGAGTACCTGGTGCGGTGTGTAAACATCGCCACAGAGGAGACAAAGGCGACCACGGAACGGGGGTGGGTGGCATGGCCAACCATCCCCTCGTGTGCCGTGCCGGCCTTCATAGGTCCTCGCTAACAGCACTTGCTCCTAGAGTCTGATAAAGGCTATACGATGGATCTTTGGTGCGTGTGGTGCAGCGTGTGGGGAGCGGTAGTTTAGCGATTAGCGCACTGCGCTACGAATCTGGCGACCCGGGCTCGATTCTCGTTCAAGGTCAACCATCAGTGACGATTATGTGAACCGGTCCTTGGTCCTCCCTGAGGTCGACTGAGTCTCAAATGAGTACCTGGTGCGATGTGTGAGCATCGCCACTCGGGAGACAAAGACGGCCGGGCATGGTGTTGGCCACCCGACCCCCTCGTATGCTGTGCCGGCTTTCATAGGTGCTCGCTTACAGCACTTGCCCCAACAGGTTATACGGGGGATCTTTGTCTTTGGTGGTGCGTGTGGTGGTGCGTGTGGTGGTGCGCGTCTCCACACCCTCAAAGGCATCGGGGACGTAGTCCTTGACCTGGATGAACACAAAGATGGTCGGCATGGTGAGGGGCTGGTTGCTCTCGTTGCGCAGGCAGATGTGGTGGTATCCTGGCGGCGTTGCACACGCAAAACGAGGAAGGAAAATCACGCATACGCATGGACTCCTTACAGCTGCCCCACATGCGGATAATAGGGCGAGCGCTGGTTTTTGTCGCCAAGTTTTGATCAACTTCACCGGTTTTCCATTGGTTAACCCCTTAATAGCAATACGACTCGATACTCGAGTTTCGTTATTTGGTTCTTTCGGTTAAGTCACGTTTAAAGATAAAATAATAAATTAATAAATAAAAGCGATAAATTTAATAAATTAAATAAATAAAATAATAAATTGCATAATTCATTAATTATTTTATCTTTAGACGTGACTTAACCGAAAGAACCAAATAATAATTCCTGCAGTCACGAAAGTTCTAAAATTAACTCGAGTTTCGCTTATATTGGATAATATTTACAAGCGTTACAAAGGATTGCCGACGCCTGAACGCGCTCAGCCTTCGCTGGAAAGCCAAGACGCAAACGAAGAGGCGGCGTGGGGCACAAGCGGCGTGCGGCGCGTTGTGCCGTCCCGTTTGCGTCGCCGCGTGTCTATGCGGTGGAGGGGAGACCTGGACGCATGGCGGAGACTGGGAGGATGCGGTGGCCGATGAACTTGCCGCTGTCCTCGAACACCGCGATGCGCAGCGAGGCGAGCGCCGGCAGCACCACCTGCGGCGACAGCCACAGCCGGTGGGATGGTGGCACACGGCGGAGCCGACGCCGACGGCCCCCGTGGCACGAGCCGCTCGTTCGAGCAAGGACGCTTTTTCGATTCGTTATTTTTTGATATTTTATTTTTAAAAATTCACCTGGGGGAAAAAAAAATTCGGGACGGGAGGTCTCTCTCTCTCTTTCGCAGGTCGCCCGGGTGATGGCGCTCGTTTGGGCGCAGCACCCACGGGGGGTGGGGGGGGGGGTGCTCGTTAGGGCCAAGTGACGGCACCCATCGTGGCAGCAGCACCGTGATTGCTCGTTAGAGCGGGGATGAGCAAGAGGGCCTAATTAGGCTGGTACCATGGTACCAGGTCCGCAACGCTGCTCGTTAGCCGTGCGCCGGGGCTGTTGACGACGGAACAATGGGGACCATTACGAGCGGTGGCCGTAGCGTGCTCGTTACCTTCTTGAAGACGAAAGGCTCTTCGTTCCACACGGGGTTGATGGGGTTGTTGTCGCGGCTGGTGCGCGTGCGGTACATCTTGCGCTTGGTGTCCACGGGAAGCCCGAACATGTCCACCTCCACGTAGGTGCCCACGCGGCGGTCCACCAGGAACTGCCCCGAGATCACCTGCACGCGCGAATCACACGGATCACACAAATGGAGTGGATGGCACGGACGGCACGTGTGGTGCAGATAACACGAATCATCATATGCAGCAGCAGCATCATCACGCGTGTGTCACAGCGTGCGGTGACGCGTGCCTGTGATCCGCTGGGCTGGGGAAGGTGGCCAGCAGCCGGTACTAAAGCAAGGTGGCTAGTCAACCAGCTTTGCTTTAATGAATGACGTCATGTAAAAAAATTAAACTTGTAACGCGTCGTCACATGGTATTTGTTCTTGAAGAGAGAGGACTTCGTGGCGCGAGGAACCACAGGCACATGGGACGGCAACCATGCGAGGAGCCAGTGCCATCAATTGCTCAAGCTCTGCAGTCCTCTGTATATTAAGGCGTTATCGGCCAATTAATGATTGTTTACATGTGCAAGGGAGACCGAAGAAGCTGGAGAAAGCCCACGCATGTAGGGGGAAACAATCCCATACCGCCTTCTCCTGGCGAGCCAGGGTACGACTCTCCTCCTTGACCCCCAAGGGAAGGAAGTTTCACAACATTGGTGTGGTGACCAACCCTTACTGCTGCTGCCAGTGCTGGATTCCAGGCAGCCATGCGCATAGCCACCACTGCCTGACTAATGGTTTATTTGGGACAACCCGAGTCCCGATACTCCTTTCCAAGAGGTCCAGCTTAAGATGTTTGGCCAATGAGCAATGCTTAATTTCAGCTGTGTCAACCCGGGGCAGGGCTAGGAAAATATTTCAGTACCCGGCACACCACATTCACTGTAACCCCCTCCCTCTATCTGTGGCTGTGGCTACGAGTCACGTGCCACCTAATCTCGGAACAAAAATATTCCGTGAGAAATGACGCCCCATTTTCATCTGAGAATGGGGCCGGGCCAGCGTTTTGCAGTGAGGTCAGGGTTTGAGCAAGAAATGGGGTTACAGCCGGGGCAGGGTTGAGGTCAGGTCGGGTCGTGTTGGGGGCGGTCGGGCGGCGCGACCTTGATGGATACGGTGTTGGCGATGACGCCGTCGATGGTACTGCCAGTGAACGGGTCGAAGTGCTTGTCAGAGCGCCGCATGAACTCGGGCTTGAGCAGGTAGCCGCTGCGCCCGTTGTAGCCGAACATGCCCATGTTGAGCTGCATGGCGAGGTCTGTGGGGTGTGGGGGGCACGGGGGGGGGGGGTAGTGGGGGAAGAGGAGCATGTAGATCGGCGAACATACGCAAGTCGGCGACATCTTACGGACAAAGGGATAGTCAGAGAGCTTTGGCAGGACGCGTCGCGGGAAGAAACGGTGACGGCCAGTGGTCGAGACTAACGTCGGAATCGCAGCCAAAGAAAGAGAACACTACTGACAGGACGATAAAATCAGCTGATGTGCAAGGGCTATCGATTAATTGCAGCATCGCAACAGCTGTAGGGGTGTGGGGGAGGTCTCCAACCAGTTCTGAATTGATCATGGATTATGACGACGATGATTACGATCATTTTTGGTGATCAGGAGGTGGCCAGGTGGCCCCTGGAGGGCACGGGGGCCAGCGACAGGCTCGCACTCACCCAGACTCTGGAAGTTGAGGGCCACCATCTGGCAGCCGGCGTTCCAGAAGAGCTGCGGTGTGTAGTTGGAGGAGTCGACGCGCGTGCCCTTGGGGTAGATGCGGCTCAGGTGCGTCTTGTTGTACCTGATGCGGGGTCAAGGTTTAAGCGCCACGACCTGCTAAACCGAGGGTGCGTCGGACTCCTCCACCCTCGCTATCGGCGTCGCCAACTTGGTCATTTCATCACCAGATTTGGCGACAATTTGGGTTTCCCTCACGACAACATTTCGTCCAAGCAACAAATCTAATAAACATCCGGGATGAGGGCACGATGCAGATTTAAGAGCTATTCCAGGCCTTTGTTAAGGACCCTGTACCAACTTACCACGCGTAATACCTGGTGAAGTCTACAAGTGATATTTTGGACGATCGAGTGACTGGTTGAGGCTCGTTCAGCAAATCTCCGCTTCGAGGAGCTGGCAACGTCGCCTCTCCCGCTCTCTCGGAAAAAAATACTCGCGATCCAGTCGGGGAGGATACTCGACGAACTCCACAGGAGACTTGGTGAGCTGCTCGGCCCCCTTCGTCTCCACAAACGACGACATCTCGAAGTTCCGGTTCCTCCCTGGGGGCGACAGCGGCCGAGTGAGGCAATGCCGGCAGAGAGGACCCGCCGCTCCGGGCACAGGCATCTTCTCTTCCACCTCCAGCCGACTCCCGCCTCGCCCCCGCCCCCCCAGTGAACGTGCCAATGTTGGCAAGGTGGTCGAAACCGTTGGACCAATATTGGCCCAACGTTCCATGTTTACCGGATCTTCTCTAGAGTATGGAATCAAAGCAGGAGGACATTCGACTGATGCGCAGGGGCTATCGCGTGGGTGCCGTTAAACAGACGGGTACATACTCTTTGGTTCTTTCGGTAAAGTCACGTAGCATAGTCTGCTGCTGAGGCAGACTGCTTCCCCACCTGATGACGGACGCTTGTGTTGCGCCCGAAACGTCGTGATTTATTTTATTTTATACCTACGTGACTTTACCGAAAGAACCAAAGAGTATGGATCCCTGCAGTCACGAAAGCCTCAAATCAAGACGGGTACAGTTTAACGGATGGGTACAGTTTAACGGACAGGTGCCGTTTAATAGAAGGCTACAGTTTAACAACATTAAAACGGGACGATGGATCTCATTAGAACGGGACAACGAAAGTGCATTACAGCGGTGCCACATTCTCGGCGAGTGGAGTGGCTGATTTCTTGTCGGGCGGGCTGAACTCCGAAGCCCCGGCTCCTACCGCGCTTGTTTTTCCTGCCGGGGGCGGCTGGAGGAGGGAGACTCACGCTTGGCGTCGGCAAAGGAGTCGAACTTGATGGGCTGCACGTAGCTCACGAGGTTCGACATCTCCTGCGTGGCGCTCACTTCGATGCTGGCCGTGCCCTGCACACGGCATGACACACACACCGCGTCGCGCACACCATGTCACACACACACACACACCGTGTCAAACACGCCATGTCACACACACACACACCGTGTCACACACGCCATGTCACACACACACACACACCGTGTCACACACACCATGTCACACACATACACACACACCATGTCACACACACCATGTCACACACACACACACCATGTCACACACCATGTCACACACACACACACCATGTCACACACACATACACACACACCGTGTCACACACACCATGTCACACACACACACACACACCATGTCACACACACCATGTCACACACACACACACACCGTGTCACACACACACACCATGTCACACACACACACACACACCGTGTCACACACACACACCATGTCACACACACACACACCGTGTCACACACGCCATGTCACACACACACACACACTGCGTCGCGCACACCATGTCACACACACACCACGTCACACACGCTGCGTCACGCACGCCACGTCACAAACACGACATCACAATTGCTTTTCTTTAATTGATTTTGCTTTGCTTGTTAACTTGGTGACCCATGTCACTGTGGCGAAGGAGGCTCTATCCTCCCGGCCTCGGGGTTCCCACCACCTGGTTACACAACTTGAACACGCCGCGACGCAAGCCGTGGCGACGCCACGCTCACCACACCCTCGCTGCCGCCAGTCTCACAGTGCAACAATGGATTTAGCTGCACTGCCCCCTGCTGCCTGTGTTTGCAACAATGCCGCCTGTGACCAAATCACCCGCAATGTGCCCCCCCCATCGGGTCAGATCCCGTCAGCTAAGCAGGATGGGGCCTGGACAGTCCTTGGATGGGCAACCAGCGTGAATGAAACAGGTGTTTTCAGCCACTCACCAGACACTCACCACTTACCGCCAGACACTGCCCGGTGAAGGTATAGAGAGGAGGGGGGAGGGGGGTACTGGGGTGCGGAGCGAATGGAGCCGGGGAAGAGGATGGAGCGAGGGGAGTGGCGGGGGAAGGATGGCCCCACCTCGTCGGTCGTGGCCTTCTTGAGCTCCTCCTCAGTGTAGTCATCCTCGTCACTGCCGCCCTCGAGCACCTCTGCTGCACCGACGGCGAGGAGCGCGGGGGGAGGGGGGGGGGCGCGGAGCGCACGCGCTGAGCTTACGCTGGTGATCGTAGGTCCCGTGCAAGCGCACGCGCCGTAACGTAGTGTCGATGATAGTCGTGAGAAGGTTGTGTGCATTGCGTAGACTTGTGTAGGTGTGTGGGCGTATGCGTGTGGTGCGTGTAGGTGCATGTGGTTTATGCGCGTGTGTGCGTGTGTTTTTTGTACCAATGGAGCGGCTGAAGGAGCCGGACTTGTGCCAGTCGGAGCTGCGCCCAGAGCCGTCGGGGCTGCCGGGCGCCAGGGGCGACTGGGGGATGTCGGGCAGCTCGGAGCCTTGAGCACACACGCACAACAAAGACAAAGATCCCACCCCACAGCAGCGCTTAACAGGCTGTTGGGGCAAGTGCTGTACGCAAACACCTATGAAGGCCGGCACATCACACGAGGAGGCGGAGAGGCGAGCGCCACGCCCAGCCACCTGTGCTGATGTCTACTAAAACCAGGAACTCATTTAAGGCTGAGTAGACCAAGGGGAGTCCCAAGGTCTCGTCGAGCCGAGCTCGCGTCTGATTTAGTCTCCATGTGCCGTGCCATGGTGCGGAGAGGGAGGCAGGCAGGCAGGGAGGCAGGGAGGCAGGGAGGGAGGTAGGAAGGCAGGGAGGGGAGGCAAGGGGGGGGGGGGAGGGAGCTGACCAGTGGCTCCCGGGAGCTCCCCGAGGCTCGACTCGCTGGGCGAGTTGGAGGGAACCCCCTCGAGGCGGCGCCGTGCGTCGCCCGCGCGCACCAGCAGCTTCTTCTTGTTCTTGACGAGGACGCGGCCACGCAGCTCCCCGGGGCTCGGCAGCGGCACGCCCGGCTCCAGCTGCAACGGCAGTAGCCGGGGACACGGGCAATGTGGTGAGGCGCGGTGGTGGGGCACTGGCTGCGGTGGTGGTGGTTGTGGTGGTTGAGGCACGGGTTGTGGCTGGGCACCACACGGAAGTGCGTTGCGACACCGTGTGGGGCTGGCACATCGGTCGGCATGCGGCGTGATGGTGTGGGTGTGATAGCGCGGCGTGATGGTGTGGCATGACGCAGTGTGATGGTGTGGCATGACGCGGTGTGATGGTGTGGCATGACGCAGTGTGATGGTGTGGCATGACGTGGTGTGATGCAGCTCACCGGGAATTTTTCTAGAGGCTCCGTGACCAGGGCCTCCCCGAACGCTTGTCGGCAGTACTCCGCCATCTTAGCCTGCTGCTTGGGCCTGAGGCATCCATGGTGGGAGGGGGGGGGGTTGGTGGTGGTAGTGTTGTAGTGTTGGTGGTGTTGTGTTGGTGGTGTTGTGTTGGTGGTTGAGGGGCAGGAGAGACCAAAACAAAATTCCGAGATCTCCGCTGAGGGAGTGGACCTCCACGTCCACACTGCAGGCAGTGTTCTAAATCTACAGCGTCTGGCACGGACACGAGACACGGGGCGGACGTGGACGATTGACGAGGGTGGAAAACGGATGGACAAGAACGCGACAAATACAAACTGGGATGTGGACAGAGCATGGAGGGACACGGCGTGAGGCGGGGGGAGGAGGTGGGACACGGAGGGGCACGGAGGGGCACGGAGGGGCACGGAGGAACACCGTGGGACGCGTACGAGTCGACGTGGTTCTCGAAGGACAGGATGACCGGGTAGGACGACGTCTTGAAGGCGCTCTCCGCAATCGCCTCGATCGCCTCCTGGGAACACAACGCGACAACAACAACAACAATAAATAATTAATAACAGCAGCTGTGTTCACCCCGGAGAGCCTCGTTTAGGCTCCAGACTTGTTTTGAGATGTTTCATCAATTATTTTTCTAATGAGTTTGGCTATGGGGGGCAGGGGGGAGGGTTAACACTCAAATCTCCGCACGGATAGATTAAAGTATCCATTGCTGTACCACTTAGCCACTTCTGGCCGTCGTGTTGCCTTCAGTGCAGGAGCCTTGGAAAACAATCCCCTTTCCCTGACCGAGCAGCGTCGTTTAACAGGATCTACGCACGCCGTGCCCTTGCCCTGCCACGCGGATTCTCGACCCCGGCCACTCCCCCACCTGAGGTCCCCCTCCCCCGCTTGCGTCACGTGCAAGGCCGTAAGGGGGGGGGAGCGGCCTGCGAAGCCGTTGCCGGTGGCTGCCAATTATTTTCACAAAAACACGTGGAGTTTTTTTGAGCTACACAGCGGCGCGTCCGCACGTGGGCCTCCCCTTGAGCGTTGGCCGCGACGGTCGGTCCCGCACGTTAGAGGCCGACCGAAATTTGGTTTCGGTTTCGGCGCCGAAAGTTGGCAAATGGCCTCTTTCGGCATTCTTTCGGTTTCGGCCGAAAGTCAATTTTTTACTTTCGGTCTGGTTTCGGTTTCGGCGGAAACTGATATTGACTTTTGGTCGTCATTCGTTAACCGAAGATACACACACGTCAGCAGCAGCAGCTTGGGAGCGAGGTTACAGCCGCAACCATGGTCTGCTAATGTATATTCGACCGGTCAACAGACGGCAGCCTGTCTGGCTGAGTGCGGAAAAACTGTTGTTTCTCTTAACTACAACATTGGTTTGTTTAGATATAATTACTAAGTAAGTAACACCTAAAGATTTGATATTTAGCGACTCTTATTGCAGGCTCTGAATGATTAGTTCTAGATTTATTTTTTATTAAAGTAGCATTGCATCATGACATATTTCATAAATCTTGTGTTCGGTAACTTCAGTTATATACCTTTCTGTTTCGGTCTCGGTCGAAAGTGTAATTAAACTTTCGGTTTCGGCGGAAACCAGAAATTCAGTTTCAGTCGGCCTCTACCGCACGTCCTCCGCACCTTGAAGAGGATCTCGGTGGTCATGGTGAAGCCGTGCGTGATGATCGGCTCCTCGTCCGCCGTGCGCCCCTTCCAGCAGTCGAGCTCCACGCAGCGGCAGCCCGACAGCAGCACCTGGCGGTACATCTCCGCCGTGGAGCAGCCCTTCAGCTGCCCCGCTGAGGCACGGTGGGGGACACCGGGGGGGGGGGGGGGGACACCGAGGGGGGGGGGGGGACACGGGGAGGGGGACACGGGGAGGGGGATACGGGGGGAGGGGGACACGGGGAGGGGGATACGGGGGGAGGGGGACACGGGGGGGGACACGGGGAGGGGGACACGGGGAGGGGAACACGGGAAGGGGGAGACGGGGGGGGAGGGCGGGGACACCGGGGAGGGGGACACGGGGGGACACACAGGGAGGGGGACATGGAGGCGGGACACGGGGGGGGGGGGGGACACACGGAGGGATGGACACGGGGGAGGGACACGGGGCAGGACACGGGGGGGGTGGGGGGTGGGTGACACACGGAGGGGGGGCACGGTGGGGACACGGGGGTGGAGATGTCAGAGGAAACAGAGCGGACAGTCGTTAAGTCGGTGTTAGGTGTAGTGAGAATCTGGTGGGCGTTGTGGGTTAGTGGTGGTTGTGGTGGGTTAGTGGTGGTGATGATGGTGGTGGTACCGGTCAGGTAGGTGTTGTGGGACGAGTTGATGAAGTAGTGCGACAGGGGGCAGCTCATGTCCTCGTTGACGTCCAGCTTCTCGGGCGGAATGACACTGTTCTCATCACCGTGCAGGTAGAGCTTGAACCCCGATACCGAGATCTGCCCTGCACGCACAAAGACAAAAATCCCCCGTATAGGTTTAACAGACTGTTGGGGCAACTGCTGTTAGCGAGCACCTATGAAGGCCGGAACGGCACACGAGAGGGTGGGTGGCCAGCACCACGCCCAACTGCCTTTGTCTCCCCAGTGGCGATGTTTACACATCGTACCAGGTACTCATTCCAGGCTGAGTCGACCTAGGGAAGGCCCAGGATTGGTTCAGATAATCGTCACTGGTGTTGGCCGTGAGCGGGAATCGAACCCGGGTTGGCAGGTTCATAGCGCAGCGCGCTAACCGCTACAGTACCGCTCCCCACATGCACATATACACACGCACACGCATGCACGCACACACACACAACAGAATATACATGCACACAACAGAATATACATACACACAAAAGAATATGACAGAGGTGCCTGCATAGGCAAACCAACTGTTGATGCAATCGCTGTCCTCGAGCACCTATTAAAGCCGAACAGTGTAAAGGGCGCGGAGTGACACGCATCACGCCTGGCCACCTTTGTCTCCCCAGAGCTGATGTTTACACACACCACACCAGGTACCCATTTAAGGCTGAGTCGACCTTGGTGGGGGGGAACCCCAGGACTGGTTCAGATATCACTCCCGCTAATGTTGGCCATTGTCAGAAATCAAACTCTAGTCAGCAGGTCTGTAAGCGCAGTTTGCTCAACCACTGCGCCACTGCTCCCCATACACGTGCAGAAGCGTGCACACATGGACGCGTGCGCACGCGCACGCACGCACGCACGCACCCACGGCGCTCACCCTTGCGAGCGAGGTTGCTGTTGGGCTCGTATTTGTCGATCATGAGCTGCACCTGCGCCGGCCGCAGCGGTGGGAAGAGCAGCTCGTTGAGCCGCGGGTCGCGCTGCCGCGAGTTCACGAAGTCCGTGAACTGATCCAGCGTCAGGTACGGCTTGTTCTTGGCTCCACTAGACAGGCGGGGTTCACGACGGGAGTGGGAGGAGGGGGGAGGATGGGGAGGATGGGGTGCAGGGGTGGGGTGGGCCACAGAAAAACCAAAGACTTCAGTAAAAAAAAACGTACGACCTCTACACAAATGAAGGTTGCTCCTTCCCCTCTGTTGCCCTCGGGGTCTGGAACTGCCTCCCGCTCAAAACAGTCTTCCTCTTCTCCTCCGCCTCTCCTGTCAGTGAAGCTTCTTCTCTCCCTCTCTACTCTGTAGCCCCGTACTCCGCTCTGAAATGACGTCCATTGCTGCTTGTGGAGTGTCTTATGATGCGGTCACATTCAGACACGTTATGAATCCGCGTCGTAACGTGGTTCGAAATAAACCTGAACTCAACAAGACGAGGCCTGTCGTGACATCCACAAAGCGACAGCCTTTGGATTCCAGGCCGAGTCCGAGGCCAGGGGCCTTGAAGGTTGAGGCCAATACCGAGGCCAGACAAGGCCACATCTGCTAGGCCCGACGCCAAGGCCGAGGTCTCTAAGCCACGAGGCCAAGGTCAAGGACCGCAGCTGAGACAACGTTTGTGCAAGCCGGCCTCGAAACCCCCCCCCACCACACCCCCACCACACCCCCATCACCACCCCCCACCAGACTCCCCACCACACCCCCCACCACACCTCTCAGCGAAGATGCTGTCGATGTCGGTGCGCTGACACAGCTGGTTGACAAAGTCCCAGAAAACGGACGGTGAGAAGTCTACGGGGTTTATGACGTCGTTCTGACGGAGGCACAGACACAGAGCGGTCGATCAGTACCCGAAGCGATGATTACTGCGAAGTGAGGATCAGTGTTAGGATCAGCATTAGCATCAACGCTAGCATCAGGGGCTAACATCAGGATCAATATCATAGTAATAAGTCTAGTGTTGGGGCAGGGTTAGGGCTAAGCCTAGAGCTGGGTTGACGGATCAAAGTTAGGTCTAGGGTTATGGTCAGGGTCAGAGTTAAAGTTTGGGTTAGTATTAGGGTTAGGTTATGGTTCGGGTCAGGGTGAGTATGAGCGTTCGGGCCAAGCTTAGGTCGAGGCCTCGGGCCAGGGTTAGTATTAGTGCCAGTGTTAGGGGTAGCTCTCCGACACTTAAAGATGAGGGCCTGCATCTCCACGTGCATGGGGTCGGGGGTCAGGGGTCAGGGGTGTGAGAAGGCACCGTTGGCCGCAACCCACCCGGCCGGACGGGAGGCCGCAGTGCGCCAGCGCCTTCTCCACGCGCCGCTTGTCCGCGGGGAACGTGCGGAGAATACTTCAACACAAGCACAGGAGAGGGCGGGGTGAGCATGGGGTGAGCACGGGGATGGGTCGGGTGAGTCAGGGGAGGGGTCGTTAGGGAGGTATTAACGAGCGACGCGAGCCGGCCGCTCCTGGCCTCACGCTTACCTGCGCACGGGAATCTTCTCCTCCTGGTTGAGCCTTATCATCAGCCTCGTGTACCTGCAACAGGACACCATGTCAGCCGGATTCACCCACAACAGGACACCCTGCGTCAGCTACATTCACTCGCAACAGGACACTCTAACACCCATGCATAATGCGCAATCAGAACGGGTGAACGGCCACAGCGTCCCACGAGTGGCTGACCTCGTGTGGAGCGGCTGGAAAGCACCGGCTCTCGCCTGTGACTGACAAATGGCCGCCGTCACCGCTGCTCGGCAAAACGCCGCTTCCAGAGCCTCTCCGCGATGGAGAAATATTAATGTCCCATCGTATCTCAAAGAAAACTGAGAGAAAGACATCAGCACCCTCATTCAGCTCCCCCCCTCCCCACCCCTAAGCCTAGAGGGGCAGGGAGAGCTGCTGCGCCGACAGCAACACTCACACTTTGTCGAGAAAGGTCCTTCGGGAGGCGCTCTGCGCCAGTAGGTTCGTTGCCAAGTTAAAGAGCTCCTCCACCCACACCTGGACAACACGGGCAGGAACACATGAGGTAAATGGAGGGTCATGGCGGGGTCATGGCGGGGTCATGGCGGGGTCATGGCAGGGTCATGGCGGGGTCATGGGAGTGGACGTGGAAGAGGTCAGAGGGAAACCATGTATAGTGTGTGGGTATGCAAGTGCACAATTAATTCATGCTCGACGTGGGTCGTAGGTCAAGCGCGCTGTTGTTCTGCAGCCTCTGGCGGAGGATCTTGTGGGGGGGGGGGGGGGGGATCGAGGCGTGCACCTGGGCCACGCCCTCGGTGAAGCTGGTGAAGTTGAGGAAGGCCGTGTTGACGAGGTCGGGCCCGGACACCACCGTGAGCGTCTGCGTCTCCATCTGCGGCCCCGTGAACGACTCCACCGACTCGCGGAAGCGAGGTTCCTGCACAGCCACGGCCGCACACGCAAAGGGGTGGCCCATCCATACAGGGGAACTCGGTGGTCACCTCGGGCACCAAGTTAAGTGGGGCGCAAAATTCGTGGAAGAAAAAACTACAAAATAACAAATAACGAAGTTGTCATCATTTCAATTCCCACGCGCATACAGAGGTAATATGAATTATCGTTCATTTCTCAATGAACGATAATTATTCAACACACAACAACAACCGCCATTCAACAACTGCCATTCGCCACTAAGTGGCGGTGACGTCACCACGACGCTTGTGCCAGGCCATGTGCACCTTGAGGCCACGTGAAGTGTCGAACGCCTGCTGGCAGGTCACGGGGCAGACCGAGGTGCCACAGGTCGACTGACTGAAATGACTGAGATGACTGGCTGATGCACCACCTGTGCCCCTTACTGTGCCAACTTGCTGTGCTTTAGCCACCCGGCGCTCCGCTCGTTGTTGTGAGCGTCACTCCTCCGCCCTCCGTTGTTTTTGGAGGGTGACTGCCTCCAACTGCCCAGTAGCGTCCTTCACGAGCCTCCTCCACTGAGGCCGATCTTGACACCGCTGGTACCGGTCATCGGCAAGTCCACTTAGCTCCACGTCCTCCTGTACCACATCACTCCATCTCTTCTCTAGCCCGTGCCGTGCCTGTTTAGCCCCCTCTATCCGGCCGAACAAAAGCTGTTCAGGCATGCGGTGGCGGGGCATGCGGGCTACATGACCCAGCCAACGCAGCACACCGATGGGACTTTGCCCATCAACACACACACCCACATGCACACACACAAACAAGCAGGCATGCACACAGATGATCGCACACATCCACGCGGATGCTGCTTTTAGTGTTTAGTTTGTTGTCCTTCTGCCACACCTCCGATTAGCGCGGTTGGCTATATACGGTGCGAAATAAGTTCAACATTACACACATACACGCATACATACAAGCGTGGACGCGCACACGTGATCGACAAACAAAAAGAAGCTCCCGCGAGGTGGAAGCATTTGGCTTGGGGAACCGAAACTCCCAGCCCAATGATCCCACAATCGTCGCTCGTTCCACCCCCACCCTGGCAGAGTGAGCTCCGGCACGCTCCGTTTGGCTATTGGAGGCCCCGGCGGCCGCGTGCCCAACGGGAGCGGGAGAGCACCGCACCGCGGGCAGTGCGCGCCGCGCACGTTTGACGTGCCCCCCCCACGGCCGAACGTAAAAAGCCGGCCGGGCTTCAGACGGTGCAGTCGCTTCAGAGGCGGCCGCACCGTGTCTGTGGGGGGGGCGGGGGGGGGGTCTGGGTGCCGGGGGGGGGGCTCCGCCCATCAAAGGGTGAGCGTCGCTCGGCCGCCGCTGCGGGCCAAAAAAAACGAGGCCACGGCTTCAAAGGGTGGAACCCGCGGGGGTGCGGTGGGGTGGAGGGGGGGGGGCGCTTTCAAGTGACCCCTACGCCCGACCACCACCAACACAAGTGTGGTGTGGTGGAGGTGCCAGGTGTGTGGTGAGAGCTTGCCCAAGCTTGGGAATCGGTGTCCCGTACTTATGCAATTTGAACTTATATACTTTATCTATACTATGCATTTATTTATTTTTTATAATCATTCTAATGTATAAAGCGCCCTTAAATAAACGTTCTCATAGAAAGCTGTGATTGGCTTACCTTTCCTACCCTTTGCACTCCAATTGTTGTTGTAACTTTCTGACACGCCCTTAACTGGAGATCTGTGATTCTGTGTGTAGTGAGAATATCGTAAGTATGGCGAGAGGTACGGGGTATGTGATGAGAGGTGCCGGGTGTTCATTGTGGTGAGAGGTATGGGGTGGGCGGAGTGTGGGAGTCATCTGGCCGTCAGACAGTGCCCGTGACCTTTAAACAGATGACCCCTGACCTCAGCCCCTGCCGTGACCCACGTGTGCCCTGTTTATCCGGAGCTCCTGATCTTTTGGCTCCAAATCAATACCGCGTGGCCTTGTGTGCGAGTGAGCTCCACTGTGTCCTTTGCAGGAATATCGCTATATTTACAAACACAAAGATAAACATCCCCCGTGTAGCCTTTAACAGACTGTTGGGGCAAGTGCTGTGAGTACCTATGAAGGCTGGAACGGCACGCAGACGGGCTGGTTGGCCATGCAGCATCACACCAGACCGTCTTTGTCTCCACAGTGCTGCTGATTTACACAATTCAGATACTCATTTAAGGCTGAGTCAACCTAGGACCGGGTCGAGATATTTACCAGTGTTATGGTCTTGAGCGGAAATCGAATTTGGGTCGCCGGGTTTGTAGTGCAATGTGTTAATCACTGCTCCACCGCTCCGCATACTTACCAACATACATACACGTGCATACGTACACAACACACAAACGTGCATACACATGGCCTCGTCCATGTGACCTCAAAATACCACGAGCTTGGGTTTATCAAGGCCTGCGCCGTGCAAAGCGACGTCACAAGTGAAGCGCGGTCATTACGATGGTAGCTACGCTAAAGGATTAGTCAAATTCTCAACTGTCTCAAGAAATGCACGCGCCGCTTACGCACCACGTGTCCACATCTGGCAAGTGGGTGAGCGGGCAAGTGGATGAGTGGGCGACTGGGCGAGCAATCTGGCGAACTGGAGGGCGGGCAAGCAGGTGCAAAAACATGCGGGGGAGTGAATGTGTAAGCGGGTGAGCGAGCGGGTGGGCGAGCGGGTGAATGAGTGGGCAGGTGAATGAGCGGGCGGGTGAATGGGGCATGTAGGCAAGCGGGTGAGTGGGCGTAGGAGTAAGCGAGTGAACGAGCGAGCGAGCTGCTGGAATGGGTGAGCCTTTCAATGAGCTGTCGGGCGACAGAGCGAGTGAATGAGCGAGTCAGCGAGCGAACGAGCGGGCAGGCACGTGAATTCTCCAGGAGCTCCGCGCGCTGCCTGCTAGTTCACACCGAGCTGCTGAGTGCTAAACTCGGCGCTTCACAGTTGGCTCCGAGCAGGGAGAAGCCACGCACGCACGCACAAGGCACACAGCTCGATGAAGACCAAAACAAAAGATGCCCCCCCTGTTTCGCCTTTAACAGACTGTTGGGGCGAGTCCTGTTCGCGAGAAGCACTTATTAAGGCCTGCACGGCACGAGGGGTTGGGTGACGAGCACCACGCCTGGCCGCACGAGGTCACGGTACAGACCCGGGCATTACAGATTCACTGATCGAGATGACTGGCAGATTGCTGCCCACTGTGTCAACTATCACACACTCTCTTAACACACACATACTACTACTCACTCTCAAATCGCACGCTCACACTCTCTGTATCATGCCCCCAGAGGCGCTGGTGCACCTGCGACCGCTCTCTACCACCAAGCGGTCCATGCCAGGACGCGCGGTGCCGGCCGGCCCCCCCGCCCGGCCTCCACCCAGCCAGCGGCGCTGCCTTACCCGGGGCACCTTGGCGTAGCGTCCGGTCCGCGTGTCCCTGATGCTCGTTATCTCCAGGCATTCTGTCTCCTGCCGACAAGATACGCGGGGGGGGGGGGGGGGGGGGGGGGGATTGAGGGTTTTACCGGGGCCTCCGAAGGTCGCCGGGGGCAACTGGCAGACACGTGCGTGTGGGGGGCGTGGGGCGGTCAAAGTGGGGGGGCGGGATTGGGTCACCGTCCCCCCTGACACGTGTCAGAGTTGGCGGACGCGCGCGGGGCAGAATTGGCGATTGCGCAACCGCTTCCCGAAAAAGCCATGGCCGTGAGCCGAGGAGGAAGCAACTAATTACGTAATTGTGTCGAGGTATTTGCTGGGCAAGAATGAGAGCCGCGTGCTGGAGGCCAAGTGCTGTGCTGCGTGCGGTGCCCCTTGCCCACGTTCCCCCATAATTCCACCGCGCCAGATGTCTCTCGCCAGCCCTGGCACTTCTCCATCTCGCACGGATTCAGCTGCGCAGCGAGAGACTGGCAGACGCAGCAATCGCACCAACTCGCTCGCTCGGCAAACAAACGCGCGCATGCATGGCGCGGAGACAAAGACGCCGGTTCAGCGTCGGACTGCTGGGGCCAGTGGTGCGGTCTGAGAGCACCTATTAAGGCGGTGTGGCCAACACCAAGCCCGGCCACCATCTACACTCCCCAGGACCGGTTCAGATATTCGTCATTGGTGTTGGCCGTGAGCGGGAATGAAACTCGGGTCACTGGGTTCATAGCGCAATGTGCTAATCTCACTTCACAGACTCACACGCAAGCACAAACAAAGACAAAGATCCCCCGTGTAGCCTAAACAGACTGTTGGGGCAAGTGCTTTTAGGGAGCACATATGCGCGCACACACTCAAATGCTTGTACACAGGCGTGCGCAAAACACAAAAATGCACACCCAAGCAGACACACACACACACCCCCCCAAGCACGCGCGCACACACACACACGCACACACACACACGCACACACACACACGCACACACACACACGCACACACACACACGCACACACACACACGCACACACACACACGCACACACACACACGCACACACACACACGCACACACACACACGCACACACACACACGCACACACACACACGCACACACACACACGCACACACACACACGCACACACACACACGCACACACACACACGCACACACACACACGCACGCACACACACGCACGCACACACACACACGCACACACACAAGAACCTCAACGACACCGTGAGGAACGAGCGGAGCTGCGGCGTGGAGGGGACGCGGTACGGACGGCTCGGGGCAGGAACGCGGAGAATAAATTAAACGTGAAACTAACCGTTCTGCCAAAGACGCCGGTCATGAAGGAAGTCGTAAAGCTCATCAAGCACCGGCTGTTGTTTTCGCGGAGCGCCGCGGCAACCGTCAATAACGCACGCAGCCCACACGCGCCGTGATCGCATTCAACACAAATCGTCGCGTTTCCACATTTGTACACAAATTAGCATCGCTTCCACGCCGCGCCGCCGCCAGGGACGTGATATACGTGACAGCCAGATGCCCCGAATTATGTTTCGATCGCGTCTGGGAGCTACTGAAATCTCAACGGGCTGCTTTCTGGCCACCTCTCGGCCACCCAGAGGCCCGTTACCACTTGCTACGGACGGCGGCCGGACGGCACTTGTGCCCCGGGTTAGTCGTGGTGACGCGGCCCTCTGGGGAGACCTGGAAACCCTGTCACCTGCTGGGAGAACTGGGACCCCATCGCTTGTGAGAAGACCTGGGATTCCGTCACCTCTACAGGGAGACTTGGGACACCCTTCACATCCAGAGAGACCTGGATCTCCTGCACTTGAGACTGGGATCGGGGCACCCACGGCAGAGTGCCGCCCATTTGGAGGCCTGCGAGCACTGCCCGCGTACAAAACTGCCACCTGCACGGAGACCTGGTACCGGCTCCGTCGCGGCCCCTACATCAGCTGCATCGCAGCACCGCTGCCCAAATAAGGGTGGACGTTGGTAGCCGGTGGCGTGGGCCGATCAGGGCCATTGATGGAGGCTGGCGTGAACCGTTTAAGAGTAAATAGAGACTGCGGGCGTGCACGTGCCCTAAATCTCCAGCGCGGCCTGTTTGTAAAAACCTGCCAGCTTTAATGCCCCCCGCCCCCCCCATCCCGCCCCTCCCCCCATGGCCGCTGTGGGATATTTACGATGCCAGCAATTGGGGGCCTCGTGGCGTGGTGGAGAGCGGCCCCCCTGGCAGGCCAGGCTGCCGGTCACGTCGCCGTGGAGAAGGGGAGATAAGATCTCCTCCGCGCACGCACGCAAAAAGTGGGGAGGCTGGGGTGAAGCAGCAGCATCAGCAGCAGTGTCATCAGCAGCATCAGCAGCAGACACTTTTGTTGTAGGATTGGGGCAGCTCTGGTCGTCAGCGGCAGCAGCGGCGCCCGTGAATTGGAGAGCGCACGATCCTTGAGTGCGAAGAGAGGGGCCCAATTAGAAAGAACCCGGAGGCCTTAATTACGGCCAATCAGCGACCAGGAATTGATCCGAATCAATTAGTGTGCTAGGGCACCACCGGGTCAGGGAGAACTCATTAACCCTGATCATTCGCATATGGCGGCATTGTAGCAGCACATCAAAGGCGTCTCACCTGGATAAATAATAATTGTTGCTGAATTATAATAATAATGATGATGGTACTCATGCTGGTGAACCACATGAGAATGCTGAGATGGATGTTGGGAATATCTTAAGAGGCTTAGCGGAGGTTGCTGTGATTCTCACAGTGGACAGGGGGGCGAGACTTTGATCGTTTGGGTCTGTGTTGAGAGGGGACAAAAAAGGCGCTGTTAGAACGATTGTGGCGATTAGATACATATATATTTTTATTTAAAGCTTTCATGACTGCAGGGATTCATATTCTTGGTTCTTTCAGTAAAGTCACGTAGAAGGAAAATAATAAAAAGTATAAAACAATAACATTCTCACGGCGTTTCGACTGCAACCAACACAAGCAATCATCATCAGGTGTGAAATCCACAGCAAGAAAATGTGGATTTCACACCTGATGATGATTGCTTGTATTGCAGTCGAAACGTCGTAAGACTTTTATTGTTTAATATTTTTATTATTTTATTATTTCACTTTACCGAAAGAACCAAGAATATAGACACATAGAGTCACAAAAAGACCCATATAGTCACAAAGAGACCCACGCTCACACAGATTCTCGTAAACTCACACAGAGACCCATATAGTCGCAGATACCCACAGACTCACATAGATATCTATAGATTCACACAGAGACCATGACTCACACAAAGACCCATAGACCCACACAGATACCTATAGAATTAGAGACCCACAGACTCACACAGAGACCCGTAGACTTACACATCGATGAGAAGGGCGATGGAGTTGCTGCCGGTGCAGGGCACGGGGAGAGGGAGACCGAAGTGAGGCCAGTGGAATGTGACCAGAGAAGTTGCACACAGCAGAGGTGCACGGGGAAAGAGGATCGGAGGAGCCGAGCCTGTGCAACACCGGGGACGTTCGACTCGGCAGAAGACGACGTGACCGCCGGTGACCGCCGATGACAGCCGGTGACCGCCGGCACCACGCGCGCCGTCGCCTCCACATCTCCAGCCCACATAAGGCCGGGTCGTTATAAACGCTCACCAACGTGCGTGTTTGTTTTTCCCTACGCGCGTCGTCACCGGCCCCTCGGCACTCGCCCGCTGAGTCAGCGCCGTGGACGGCCGTGACAGCAGCCCCCGTGGGATTTGGAGATGAACGACAAAACAGCGGCGTCTCTTCCGTCCACGCCGCGCGCTGGGCGGCTTTGTCGGGCGGCGATGGGGGCGGCGATGGGGGCGGCGATGGGGATGGTGGTGAGGATGGGGATGGCGATGGGGGTAGCGATGGGGATGGCGATGGAGATGGGAGTGGCGATGGGGATGGGGGTAACGATGGGGATGGGGGTGGCGATGGGGGCGGCGATGGGGATGGGGGTGGCGATGGGGGCGGCGATGGGGATGGGGGTGGCGATGGGGGCGGCGATGGGGATGGCGATAGGGGCGGCGATAGGGATGGGGGTGGCGATGGGGGTGGCGATGGGGGCGGCGATGGGGATGGCGATGGGGATGGCGATAGGGGCGGCGATAGGGATGGGGGTGGCGATGGGGGTGGCGATGGGGGCGGCGATGGGGATGGCGATGGGGATGGCGATAGGGGCGGCGATAGCGATGGGGATGGCGATGGGGATGGCGATGGGGGCGGCGATGGGGATGGCGATGGGGGCGGCGATAGGGGCAGCCGCGGACGGCAGTTGCTGGAGAGCGTCCAGCCGAGACGAGCGGGAGACGTACGAGGGCGCGCGGGGCCGAGACGCGGCGTGGGAACCGCACGCAACGCTGTGAAGACGAACGATGCGCACCACCGCGTGGGAACCGAGACGCGTGGATTCGCGTCCTTAAGCTCACCGCAACACCGCCCCAACCGCAACGCGGTGACCGCCGCAACACCATCCCAACTACAACACCGCACTCGCCACAACACCGCGACAAATGCAACACGGTGTCCGCCGCAACGCCGAGCCAACCAACCACAACACCGTTCTCACCACAACACTGTGACAACCACATGAGCGCGACTACAACACTGTGACTACAATGTTATTCTTGTAACAACACGGAGCCCACCATGGCACCAATTAGGCCACAACATAAACCTTCTGCGGCCGTCAAACCTTGTCGACCACAACACCACACCTGCCACAGTTCTGACACAACACCGTGCCTGCCGTGGTGGAAATGTTTGCAACACAACACAGAGGCAGCCACAGCACAACTCGGGTCTTGAGAACACGACCTCTCAACACAGCAGCCACAACAAAGCACTCAGTTTCACCATAACACCTTAACCGCCACACCTGTTAGGGTCGTGCTCTCATCTACAACTCATAGATCCTGCCTCAACACACGGTCACTGCCACAACACCTCCACCACCACCACACCACCACCACCAATCCACCACCACCACAACCACAACACCAACACCAACACTGTGCCATCACAGCCACCACATCAATACTGCCACAATATTCTCAACGCCACCACACCATCACCATGACAACACCATCACCACCACCACAACATCACAACTGCCACCACACCATTACCACCACAACACCAACACTATGCCATCACAGCCACCACATCAATACTGCCACAATATTATCTACGCCACCACACCATCACCATGACAACACCATCACCACCACCACATCACCACCGCCACCATTCCAATATCGTTACAACTCTTCTCAATGCCCCAGAGGAGCGGCGGTGCGACGTGGGCGGGCGGTGCAGGCGGGGGGGGGGGGGGGTGCGGGCGGGGGGGTGGGGGGGTGCGGGCGAGGGGGTGGGGGGCCGCTGACCTTGTTCTGGTCGGTCCAGTAGAGGAAGTAACCCTTGGGGTCAACCATGAGGGTCACGGCCGCCAGCGAGTTGGTTTCCTGTTGGGCAGACGCAAACCACAGCAGCGGTCATCAGGGTCGGTCGGGGTGCGTGATCCTGTGCGAAGCGACGATGAAACTAACGAGACACCGCTCGACACGGGGACACACGCTCGTAATCGTCGACCACCACCACCTGCGCAGAGTGACCTCCAACTTCCTCAGCGCGAGTCGGGCGAGTTGCTCGGCTGGGAAACTACCGCACGCCTCGTCTGCGAATCGCAGCGGCGCCTTCCTTGGTGACAGCCGTGCGTCACAAGAACGATCACACTAATACCACGTGTACTTGATTATTACTATGATTATGTTCGTCGATTATAGTCGTCATCGTTGTTGTTGTAATCGTTGTTCCACAACGTGTGTGCCGAACGGCGACGCGGGCCGTGCTATTTTTTTCACATTAAACGCAGGCGCAACTGCCTTCGTCGTCCTTCGCGACCGGATTTCACTCGTGCCTTCGCACACCGGCGCATCGCCCCGTGCAAGTGAACGGCCGACAGAGGCGGATACCGCAGAACTACTTCCGAGGACCATTCAAGTGACCGCCAAATCCGCCCGCACCTGGGGGCGTGCCGCACCTACCCCAGCCACACAACCCGCTCTCGGGATTTTGATCGCCCGGCATCCAAACTGAAATTTGCTAAATCTGGAATTTTCGCCAAAATTCGGCGACATGTATTAACTTTAATGACGAGCTTCTTGTGCGCAGCTGTTGACGACCGGGCTGCGACCATCGACTCGCCGCACATTCAAACCCGGTCCGATCGCGGGGCGACCGAAACCCAGACTCGAACCCGGCATGCGTTTGGTTTGTTGTCCTTCCCCCGCACCTCCGATTAGCATGGTTGGCTACGTACTGTGCGAAAGAAGTTCTACATACATACGTACGTATATATGTGTCGGTGGTGCTGGCTCGGCGCGTTTGACCCTTGAGCCACACGGCCGCCTCCTCGGAGACGCGATTAGAATTACGAATCCATTTAAACTGATAAGCAAATAAATCCGCGCGCATCTCCAGTTTCCAGCCTCCCCCCCACCCCGTCGGTCCCACTCAGATGCCCGCTCACGATGGCGCAGCTTGTGGTGATGTCGCCCACGCGGGTGATGGCGTGCGGGTGAGCTGAGGTCCCGGCGCGGGAGGCGGGCCACACCGGCACACGGTGCCTGACGCTGGCCACACGGCACACGAAACGACGAGCTGCAGCTTGTGGCCGTGCTGAGGTCACAAGTTCAATGTCCGGGCAGTCAATACCTCCGATTCAACCGGGATCTCAAGTGGAGTGAGTTTATGGCCTCAGCTCAAGTCACAAATGACTACACCGCATCAAATTTGATTCGGCGCTGAATTTAACTCCATTTCAGCTCTGAGACTGCCAAGTGAAAAATCTTACGCAGAGTGGGTGACCGGGTGGGAAAGTGCTGCCCTCTGTGTGGACAAATATTGGTTCCAAATGGAAGGGAATATTCGGGGTGGGGAAGAGAAGCCTTTTTTTCTGTGACCCAGGCATGGCCCCGGTAAGGTCGCCGTGGGAATCGGAGCCAAGCCCTCCATTCCCGATCCTCGGACCGCACCAGCTCGCTTCCCAGCGGTCACGGGAACGCGGCAAGACGCACGGAAAACTCACCGCAACTTCCTGTGGCGTGTGAAGTGGTGTCCAGAGCTTGTGATGTATATAACAGCACTTGGGCCCCATCACTCGTGAGTCAGCGAACTACGCATGCTTTGCCTGCGTGCGTGCGCATGTGGGTGGGTGGGTGTGTAAGGGGGGAGGGGTAGCTGTGGGATAATGGTTCGAGCATTGACTGTCCTGTGAACCTAGAGACCAGGGTTCGATTCCCAGCCATGGCCAACTTCTGTCGTGAGAGATGTCAGAACCGGTTCTGGGCCTCTCCGAGATCAACTCAGCCTTAAATTAGTACCTGGCACCATTAGTAAATATCACTGGGGAAGATAATGATGGCTGGAATCGATGAGGTCACACCACCCACTCATAGGTTGCACTGTCCCAGCCTTCATAGGTGCTCGCTAACAGCACTTTTCCCTAAAAGTCTGTTAAAGGCGACACGGGGGATCTTTGTCTTTGTGCACACACTTGTAAGAGATACAGACCTCAAAGGGCTCTAAGCTGTTTATTAGTCATCACTGAACACACGCACACACAGCGTCCATTCATGTGTTGTGAAAGAATGGTCCTTTTTGTCTGATATTTGGTGAAATTAAACCACTTTTTTGCATTACCAACAAATGGGCAAATCGCCAAGGCTGCGAGCATGTGTGTGGGTCTTGTGGCTGTTTCATCAACATGCGAAGTCGGTCCTTAGGGCTTACTGTACTCCATAAAACACAGAGGTGCGTGACTAAAGTGCACATACAACGAACACATGTACAGTGGCATGCGCTAATCACCATCATCAGCCTGAGCCATGGTCTATCTGCTGCTCGACGAAGACCCCCCTCCCCTAAGCCGTAGCCATCCCTCGCGATCTCGCGATGCTACGAGCAATAAAGTCGGCTCCCACGTGAGAGCCGATTTCATCGCTCCATCTCCTGTCGGGTTCGTCCCTCTTTTCGCTGCCACTCTGCCGTCAGTCTCGACCACCGGCCATCATCCATCCCTTAGAGCGACGCGTCCTGCTCCAGCCCAGGTGGCTTTGCTCAACAGTCAACGTGATGTCTCCATCTATAATGTATACATCGTTCCCCTGCCTGTCTCTCTCAGTATAATACCACGAGACAGCTACTCGGTGAAGAGGCAACAGCCGCACGTGTACTGGGTCAAGTGTTTCATTTATCTCGGAAAGCATCGCCGACTCTGAAGACTCTGCTTCAGGCTGGCTCCTGCTCCGTTGGGATATCTTGGCCAATTCCAACGACGGATCGAACCGGGGGCGAGACAAAAAACGACCCGGAGGGCGCGGCCCCACCAAGGCCCCACCGCAGCCCGGTCCATCACCCTCGTCGCCCTGGTTGCGTGTCCAGGCTCGTCGGTGAATTCCGTGCAACGTGCGCGTCTGTCTCGACCGCGAGGGACGCGAGCTCACGTTCCCACCCACCCCCATGGACGCAGTGCAGCGATGATGATGATGATAATAATGGCAATAAAAGCAAGCCCGCAAATCCAGGGTATTAAGGGAGCCTCGATTCAGTCAGGAGAGCAAAACCGCGCAAAGCAGTGAAAACGCGCAATCGCGCGGCACAGGCGGAATGCAAAAGCGCTTCGAGCGAAATGCTTTCACGATAATTCGGGACATCGCTGCCAATCTGGCCCAGAGCTGCGTACATCTGGGCAGTGGCACTGGCGAGCTGCGTGCATACCCTAAACAAACCCCAGCCATGTGAGGGCAACTCGAAAGATTTTATTTCAAATATGAATGGCCAGAGCGTGAATGGTCAGCCGGTGTACACGGATTTCCAGGCGGTCTGCCTCAATGCGGAGTTGTCCTTCAATGGTCCGAAACATTTTGAGTGGTTTGCTAGAAATATTTTTGCGAGCGTGCAAGCTCTGGTGAGTTGAGTCCCAGTGTTGGTGATCTGTGTGGTGAGTTTAGTCCCGGTGTTGGTGAGCTGTGTGGTGAGTTTAGTCCCGGTGTTGGTGAGCTGTGTGGCGAGTTGAGTCCCGGTGTTGGTGAGCTGTGTGGTGAGTTTAGTCCCGGTGTTGGTGAGCTGTGTGGCGAGTTGAGTCCCGGTGTTAGTGAGCTGTGTGGCGAGTTGAGTCCCGGTGTTGGTGAGCTGTGTGGCGAGTTGAGTCCCGGTGTTGGTGAGCTGTGTGGTGAGTTTAGTCCCGGTGTTGGTGATCTGTGTGGTGAGTTTAGTCCCGGTGTTGGTGAGCTGTGTGGCGAGTTTAGTCCCGGTGTTGGTGATCTGTGTGGTGAGTTTAGTCCCGGTGTTGGTGAGCTGTGTGGCGAGTTGAGTCCCGGTGTTGGTGAGCTGTGTGGTGAGTTGAGTCCCGGTGTTGGTGAGCTGTGTGGCGAGTTGAGTCCCGGTGTTGGTGAGCTGTGTGGCGAGTTTAGTCCCGGTGTTGGTGAGCTGTGTGGCGAGTTTAGTCCCGGTGTTGGTGAGCTGTGTGGTGAGTTTAGTCCCGGTGTTGGTGAGCTGTGTGGTGAGTTTAGTCCCGGTGTTGGTGAGCTGTGTGGTGAGTTTAGTCCCGGTGTTGGTGAGCTGTGTGGCGAGTTGAGTCCCGGTGTTGGTGAGCTGTGTGGTGAGTTTAGTAGCGCTACATCGGCACGCTTGGCCGGTCCCAACGCGGCCTCAACCAGCGCCGAGCTGCGCGTTGTGAGGACGCAGACAGCGGTACCCGGAGATACCCCGCTAGGCACACGGTGGGGGGGCGGTGGGGGGGTCCGCCAACGCTCAAGGCTGTCCCCCTTCTTCACAATCAAAGATCCGCAGAGGTGGGTTGCCTGGAATTAAATTAAGCGCGGCCCAAGGCCTAAATCGGAGCACCGAGGCGGGATACAAACTTCAAAGGGCGAAGACAAAGCCAACGTAGGCGGGCGACACGCGGCAGACGCTTTGCAAAGCGGAGCGGGCGGAGAGACCCCCCCCCCCCCGCCCGCACTCCTTGTTTACGAGGGCCCCGTTAGCGTCTGTCGTTCAGCTCTTGGGATTCCTGGCCACGTTCTCACGTCAGTTATTTTAAGATGATGCAGTTGCTGACTATGGGCGGAGGGTGTGGGAGGGGGGGGTCCAAGATGGAAGGAGGGGGCCGAAGAAGAGGGGTGGGGGGGTGGAGGTGGGGGGGGAGGCCTGCAGAAGGGGCTACGGGACACAACAGAGAACCGACAGGGCCACTCCTCGGCTCGTCCCTCCTAATTCAGCCCCTCCCCCGCAGTAAATCAGTGATTCTTTGAATCCGCGTAAAAATCGGTCACGCGAGTGAAGGGTGACTCAGTCTGCGGTGTCACGGCAGAGCTGTGTGACTCGGCGCCCAGCTGTGCCTGCTTGCTCCGAGCTGCAGACGCCACCAGCACCAGTGAACACCACACAACCCTCCCATTCCACTCACCCTGCCCGTCACCCTGCTTCTCACCCTGCTCCTCACCCCGCTCCTCACCCTGCACCTCAACCCTGCACCTCACCCTGCCCGTCACTCTGAACCTCACCTGTTCCCTCACCATGCAACTCAACCTGCACCTCAACACGTCACTCACCTTCCCACTCTCACCCTGCCGCTCACCCCTCCCAGCTGTACGAGCTGATCCCTGCCCTCATGCCTGCCCTCATGCCTGCCCTCCTGCCTGCCCTCATGCCTGCCCTCATGCCTGCCCTCATGCCTGCCCTCATGCCTGCCCTCTGCACTCCCTCCTCCCGGTGCCTTTTCCTGCTCCGAGCTGTGTGCAGGGAAAGGCCCCCAAGTCCTGGGGCGAGGCTGGTGGTGGTGGTGATGGGGGCGGTATTGCGACACCGCCCGCGGGTTCCCACGCCCCCCCCCTCAAGTCCGCGTGGGCAATGCAGCCGCTCTCCAGCGCGACCTTTGAGCCCCGAGGAGGAGGTGGACGAGACGGCGGGGTTGAAGGCAATGCCTCTCAACTCCTGTAACAGCAATAACCTTAAGAGTCGATACATAACAACCCCAGCCACATCCCCTGACCACAGCCATTTCCCAGAACACCAACCATATCCCATAACCCCAACCACATCCGCTAGCCACAGCCACAACAGAAGTCGCAAACGGGTTTTGATTCCTTACCCGTACCCGGCCGGGTACGGGTACCCGTTCCCTACCCGTACCCTACCCGAAATGAGTGACAAACGGTTACTCACCAGTGACTCATGGCCTACCCGTACCCGTACCCGGCCACATCAGGGTCGCAAACGGCTACCCGTACCCCGCCGGGTACGGGTAGCCGGGAATCGGGTAGGGTACGGGTATCGGGTACCCGGTTGCGACCTCTGAGCCACAACCAGGGTCGGAATAACACAGGAGCCAAAGCCCGGCATGTCACATATTGAGGGCCCCCCACACACAACAATACAGCGTTATGGTTGTAACAAAATATGCTGTAACACGGTAGCTCTGTGTTTACTGCCATAGCATCACCGTGTGTATCATACGACCAGCATCACTGTCAACCCCTTATCAGTGCCCTACCTTATTACAGACCAAGTCAGACCGTATTGGACACCCCGTGCCCTTAGAAATCTCAACGTTCATCCGACAGTCCCATCACAAGGGAGAGAAACACAAACAAATAGACAATGTTTTGCCCATATTGAAACGGTTGTACGCCGTATGCACCTGGAAACTCGATTTCCCTGTGTAGTGTAGCTGTCAGAGACATCGTCTTGTCTTCCTGTATATTTATTTATTTATCTCCATATATAAAAGGCTAAGTTGTGAATGTGTGTCTGTTCAAAATGTTTAGCGTACTTCCCGACATGCAACAAACTTGAAATTTGCCATGTGGGTACTTTCCAGACTGTACACCATGCAAAAATTATAAAAACACTTTTTTTTGGGGGGGGGGGGGGGGGGGGAGCTCAATAATGCATTAATTTTTTGCACGGCAAGTGAGCTGTGACGTCACATCTGTCACGTGAGCCGCGCATGTGGAAGCGTAACACATTGTAGTGTAGTGGGTAGCGCGCCGTGCTACGAACCCGGCGACCCGAGTTCCGATTCCCGCTCACGGCCACCACCGGTGACGATTATTTTAAGCGGTCCTGGGCCTCCCCTAGGTCGACTCAGCATCAAACGAGTAACTGGTCTGTTGTGTGAACATCGCCATTGTAGTAAAGCTAAGTTATGAATAAAGTCCGCCGACAACTCAACGAGTAACAGCGAGTGACTCTCTACACTTGGGTAGTTAGACGACTCTATTCTGAGACAACGTAGCTTCTAGTCTCAAGGGGCCGTCCATAAATGACGTCACGCGATTTTGGACGTTTTTTGACCCCCCCCCCCCTGCTCGTCACACGGCGTCACGAAAAGTCAGACCCCCCCCCCCTCAAATATGACGTCACAAAGCTCTGCCCCCCCCCCAATCATATTTCCATTTTGAAAATAAAACATGCTTCAAATCGCTTTAAACTATTGTCATTGTAGTGCGTATTTAATGTGGCGCTGCACTCTGATGTTGTAGGAGTGTTGTTATAACAATTAGTGTTATAACAATTCTATATTTATTTAAAGTTGCGCATTTTGATGTGACGTCACATTTCTCAAACACCCCCCCTCGTCACAAATGTCCGACCGACCCCCCCCCCAGGTGCGTGACGTCATTTATGGACGGGCCCCCAAGACAACTCACAGACGATGGAGACGACGGTTCCCCTACAACCACGCAGCCCCAAGCCCCGGCTCGCGCTGGTTCTTATTATCCTCGCCCGGTCCGACCACGCCCCTATTCCCGAACCTTCTCTCGTCAATCACCGCCCTAATGACACTTTCCCGCTCACGTGACCCTGTCAACGCTTGTCCCATCAAGCATCAGTAGTAACCATGAGAACCATACTGTCCCGCTATGGCTCCGCACTGTCTTTACATCTGTACAAGAATACGTGGTAACCCGTGTGGGTTGATAGTTATTGGACAGTCAGTTGGCCCGGGTGTGCGCCGATATTAGGGCAGTTTTGGTATTCTCAACCGTGACTCGGCCCCACAAATTCGTACATCACAATTCAACTGCTCGAGCTGCAATAACCGAGGTGAATGACGACGGAGCGTTTGGCATTGGGCATGGGGTGATGGTGGTGATAAAAAAAATCAAGGGAAGGCATTTGAGTAAAAACAGATGCCCCCCCACCTAAAATCCCAACATCCTCAGCCCCCCATACTCTAACTTAATCTGGCTCTGGCCACAATCAGCATGACCATATCCACAGTCCAGACCATAATGATAGCCAGGACTTAATTTCCCATTGAATGATTAACCGGCTCGCTGTTAGACTGGAGTGGGGGTACGTGACAAGTAGCCACAGCCGTAGACATGAGTATACTGGATGTGGTGTGCCGGGTTGTAATAATTTTCTGGTCGCTGCTAAATATAGACCCCGTCTGAAATGAATCCCTGGACCATATCCCCATCCATAACCGCTTCCCTAAGAATCGCCATGTCCGTATCTATGTATATCTACAAACCTATCCACGGCCAAATCCCTAACTACAATACTACCATGACCATGGCCACAACCATATCAATCATAGCCATATACACAACCATTTGCCATATCACGGCAATAATGATTTCCTAGTCCTTATTATAGTGATCTCCATACCTATACCTATCACCGCAACCATAACCAAAGACACAATATATAATCATAGCCACAATCACAGCCATATCCCAAACCACAAGCCTATCATAACAACAGCCGGAGCCATATCTCTAACCAATAGCCATAGCCGTAATGAGTCTTCTCTATAAATACAAACCACAGGTATCTCCACAAGCCTAAACACCTAACCCTTGGCCAAGTCTCATCAGTAAACAGATAACGTGCATGAGTCAAGCGAGTTCAAGAGGCAAACAGAGCTGAAGAGTGAATAGAAAGAGGAACTCTATAAAGTGCAGAGACAGAACTTGTGTGTGAATCGGCAGGTATCTCGAGAGAGAACACCAGGCTCATTGCGTTCCCGTGTGGCCAGACCCATGACCCCGGCCGGCACGGGGGTCATGGGTTACATGGGGACAGTGGCACTGGGAAAGGGGGTCCCCCCCGGCCCCCCCCCGGTCACACGGGGCCGGTAACTCAGAACGTCGGTAACGTGGGGAACACGAGATCCCTGTTAACACGGACAGAGTAATAGGTGGCGTGCCAGTCAGAGAGGACACGGAACAAGAGGACCCAACGGCACATGAACAAGAGGACCCTGTCCCGGAGGGCCTGTTTTGGAGGGGGGGCGGAATTAGGACCACGGGGACAACGGGGTAGGCGAGGGGGGACACGTGGCTCCCCCTGCGAAACACGCAGCGCAACGAGGGGGTGGGGGGTCCCCAATAACGCGGTGCCAGGGACCCGCGTACCGCCGGTCTCACGGGGCACGCGTAGAGACGGAGCGAGTTGGTGGTGGGGGGGGCGGACACAGCGCGCTCCAACTCCCAACCAAAACTTTAACACATCGCAGCCACCACCATCGACAGAAGAACCACCACGGGAGCGGGGGGTGTGTGCAGGAGGGCAACAGAGCGAGCAGTAAAGAGGGAGGATGAGGAGAGAGGGAGGATGAGGAGAGAGGGAGGACGAGGAGAGAGGGAGGATGAGGAGAGAGGGAGGACGAGGAGAGAGGGAGGATCAGGAGAGAGGAGGACGAGGAGAGAGGGAGGATCAGGAGAGAGGGAGGACGAGGAGAGAGGAGGCAATAAGGTTTGGGGGCTCTCACCTCCTCCCATTTGAGAAACTTGTTGCCTTTGCGCAGCGGTTCGGCCACGGCGAGCGGGTCGAGGCGTCGGGGAGAGTGCACGCACGCCTCGGCTCCCGCCATGCGGGCGGGCGAGTGCCGCGAGGAGAGACACAGAGACACAGAGAGAGACAGAGAGAGAGACACAGAGAGAGGAGAGACAGACACAGAGAGAGGAGAGACAGAGAGAGAGACACAGAGAGAGGAGAGACAGAGAGGAGAGAGAGACACAGAGAGAGACAGAGAGAGAGGAGAGAGAGAGGAGAGAGAGACAGAGAGAGGGGAGCTGACGACTGCGAGCGCGGCTCCCCTCCTCCTGGCGCGAGCCCCCGGGCTGCTCCCTCAACGGGGCAGCATGGGCTGCTTGCTCCCCCCTGCTTGCCTCCCCCCCCCAGCTCTCTTCTTCACACGGCGGCAGAGGAGGAGGAGGTGGTGGTGGGGGAGTCGAGGTAGGTGCGGAGTAAAGCGCTCCCCCCCCCTCTCTCTCGTCTTGCGTCTCGATGCGCGCCGCCCTCAACTTCGACTTGCGTCCCCAGCGGGATGAGTTCTGCCACGGCCGTCGAACTCCTTCGGCGTGGAAGGGAGAGGGTTGGGGGTTGGGAGTTGGGGGGTTTGGTGCGCGCTGCTCGTTCCGCGGAGCTGACGCCGACTCTTCGTGGTCGTCACTCGTCGCTCGGACGGCAGGGGCGGCTCCCTCGCCGGTTCGAGACACCCCCCCCTCCTCCTCCTCTTCTTCTTCCACCCTCCACCCCTCTTCCACCCCCTGACAAGGGGTGCGCGCACCCTTGGATGGAGGAGGTGAGACCCCAAGTGGGGGCGTCCCGATGTCGCCCCGCCGCCTCGTGGAAGCATCGCGCATTGAAGGGACTCTGTGGCAACGGCTCGCATCTCCATCACCGCCGCCACACCGACAACCATCGTCAAGCCATGCTCAGTCCGCTGCCGGATGAACGATATTTCAAGTCGTTTACGACCGTGCGATGTAAATCATCCACCCGGTATGCACCCCATGTTGTAGTTAGAATAATACAAACTCGCTGAGTCTCAAGACTTTTTTTTTTGCAGGATATTATTGCTACGTCGGAATGTTTGGCCAGTTCTTCACGAATGAGAGTTTGATTTCGCGTGGGAAGAAGCCCAACCCCTCCCCCCCTGAGAAGACTCACACGCGTTCTCCAGCAGTGACGATGCTTCCAGATCGAAACGGGGATTTTGTTTGTTTGTTCTCAATGAGCCATTGCTGCGTTGCCATTAGGGGTCGGCACGGTTTGAACCGACTCAAACTGGTTTCAAATTGAGCAAACCAAACCAAACCAGCGACGACTGAACCAAACCAAACCAAAACCAAACCAAACTAAGCTAAACCAAACCTCTTGAGTTGGCTTGAACCGAAAAGATGCGCGGCAAACAATATTCGCATTCAATACAAATATCAAGTGTATTAATCGCTAATTTCTACGCAGGCTTTCTTCATATTGAGATTCACTAGCAAGTACTGGACGACGATGTCGTCCACAGCCATCTCCTCAAGCTTGGCACGCCCAATGTCCTTGAACGCAGTGTGGTAGTTCAATGGCAGTGAAACCCCAACACTAGGCAACATCCGCGCCCACGAGTGCACACACATCTCGGCCTTGAACGTGCACTTGTGCAGGTTTGGTCGGTCGAGAAAGGAGCGCTTGGCGGCCGAGTTTGCTCTCTCGGAGGGCACGGACGACGCCGGGATAGGCAAATAGTCGAGGGCCACGCGTCGCAGGCGCGGGTACTTGCCGCCGTACAGCTTCCACCACTCGACGACGTCCATGCTCAGGTCCTGAGTCGGCTCAAGCAGGAAGCGGTCGACCTCGGAGGCGGCGCCGTCGTGAGCGTTGGGCGCGTAGACCATGTCAAAGAGGATGTTAATGCCGCCACGCGGCGCCGCCTTCGGCGCCGCGTCCGTCGTCAACGCTGGGTAGCGCTGGTTGAGAATGTCCGTCATCATGTCCTTGATATTGCTGTACTCGGCCTTTACAACCAACCAAACTAGTTTGAGCCGGTTCCACCCTGTCCGAGCCAAACCGAGTCGGTTTTCGTAGCCCCAAACCAAACCGAACCAGTTAAAACAGAGCCAAACCAAACCGATTTGGTTCGGTTCAAACCGCGGTTTGGTGGTTTGAGCCAAACCGTGCCGACCCCTAGTTGCCATCTCCTGGTCAATGCGGCTCGGGTAGGATCTCCACCACCCCATGGTTGCTGCGGCTAACGGAGGGCCCTAAGCAGTGGCCAGTATTGCTGGTGGTGGTGGTTGGTCATTGGCCAGAGATCAATAAAATCTCGATCTTCAGCGATCTTTGAAGTTGATCCGAGATGCTTCAAGATCCACCGTGGACTCGCCTCTGCCCACCTCTCCGCTCTCATGCCAGTCTACCCCCACTACAGTAACCAACCGAAAGGCTTTCCATTGAAGCCCCGAGTCAACATTTACTCAGAGGGAAGTCGCTCATTACAAATCTGCTGCCCGCTTTTCCCACAGCCGTCGCAACGCGCTCGACCTCCTGTCCCAATTCAACTTCAGACTCAAGGCCAGCCTCTTTCTCTCTGTGTATGATTTATTTCTTAATGTAAAATGAAACAACAAACAACCGAATAAAGCGTCCCTCCTCTCCCCAAGGATGACCTGCATATGCCACCGTTGCTGTTCGGCGTCTTGAGATGCGGTGGCACAAAGACGCCGCGCAACGAAAATGAAAATTCAGCCCGGCATTGTCCCGCGCTCAGCGCAGGGTGGCAACTGAGCAGGCGGCAGTGAAGTTTGTGTGCTAACTGCAGAGGCGGTTCGCCTGTAGCACAACCTCTTACCACGCACCCCACCCTGCACCAGGCTGTTTGGGCAACGCTGAGCCCACCACGCCCCCCCTCCTCCTCCTCACCCCGCGTGCTGTGGCCAGATAGGGGGATGGAGTGAGATCGGAAGGAGAGAGGGAGGACAGGTCGGGTCTCATTCCTGGGTGTTCCACCGGGAGCGGCCCCCCCTCCCCTCCCCCTCGTGGGGGAGGGGAGGGGGGGCTGCTCTGCAAATTAAACAACTTGCTTAGGATGGCATCGTCGAGTGAGGAGGACTGGGATCGGGAGCACGCGAGTAAATCGCTCCGTCTCCTCCGCGCTGCGTATTTTTCCGCGTGGTGTGTGTGGGTCTGAGCCAGGTCTCTCTACAAGTTGCCCTACTGCACCGAACAGTTTGCCGTCCGTGTCCATCGTGGCTCCAACGCACCCCAAGCTTGTGACTGCCAATATCTGGGTTACACACCGACGCGGTTATAAGACGTATAGGCATATCTTATTAGCTTTAACATACGAGGGGAAGGGTGCGTCTTATGATCCAGAGGATACAGTGGACGTTAATTTATTCACACAGGACGGCCTCGCCGAGCCTTAAGACTCTTTCAGGAGGGTCCTGCTTCATTGCAATATTTTGGCCAATTCCATAAAACGTAGCGTTTGGCTCTGCACGTACGTATTGTCGGGACCTCTTTCGCACCGTACGTAGCCAACCGTGCTAATCGGAGGCGGGATGGCAGGATACCATAGTAAGCCCACACCGAGCTGTTGTGTACGAGGGGAGTGGCACTCAGCATTGCGATCTCCTGGCCACACCTCGTAGCCCCACACCTACAGCACCTACAGCGCCTGGCCAGAAGGTCTGGCGGGCTTGGTGGTCACCCATCCAAATACAAACCAGGTTCACTCATGAGAAACTCAGAGGCTGGAGAAACCCCGTCAGATAGATACGAGGAGGGTGATGCTCAAAGGTCCAACACAGACAGGTTCGCGAATTAATTGTACTCTGCTGCTATCTCCTCGCTCGCGAGACCAAATGGAGGCTCACAAATCTGTACGTGACCCACCAACCCTTGTCCGAAAGCGGTGGATCGCCGGCGTGCGCCACTGCCACCGAGGCTGCCCAAGTCGCGTGGCTTACGGTGCAGGTAACTCGCACCATCATCCACCCAGGGTTGGTTAAAATGGTAACAGTTTTGTGGAGAGTCAACTTTGCTTGTGTGTATTGAATCCTCGCCCCAGCCCCCCCGCGACGGAGATGTGGAATTTCCAAGCCCCCCCGCCACCGCCCGTCTCAGCGTTAGCGGGAGGCGAGCGCCACCTGGCGGGTTACGAGAGAGAGACAGACAGAAAGACAGAGGGAAGGAGACCGCTGCTCACGGAATTCTAAAAATTCTATCTGATGACGCTGCTGCTGCTCCTGCGTTGGCACTGGCGCACACACACACAATGAACAAAACAAATACAACACACTCGTCAATTCACACTGTGTGGCCTTAAAAGAGGAAATATTTAATAGGGGACTGTTCGGGTAATGGACATTTTGGATTTGCTCTGAATAAGGGGCCATATCATGAAACGCAGCAACAGAGTTATTGACGATTGTGTTGAGTTATATTTTTGTTATTTTGAAACGCTGTCGGGTTGCCCCGATGTCATTTGTCACGATACGATATAAGATCAGTTTAACACGTAGGCTTTCGCGACCAATGTTATTCATAGTCAACGTTTTTGGGTTTAGATCGCGTTTATTTATAAATGTGTCGTAACCCTCCACCACCCGACACGGCCAATCAGTAAAAATGTGTCACGTTGACAAAGACAAATAGTTCACTGCTTTAGCCCACCGGTGTGTTGAAGCCAAATTGTAAATGTTGTGGCTTCAACACACCGGTGGGCTAAAGCAGTGAACTATTTGTCTTTGTCAACGTGACACATTTTTACTGATTGGCCGTGTCGGGTGGTGGAGGGTTACGACACATTTATAAATAAACGCGATCTAAACCTAAAAACGTTGACTATGAACGATATAAGATGTTCACGAATTGACGATTAAATTTCGATTTAAAGCTTTCGTGACTGCAGGGATTCATCTTCTTGGTTCTTTCGGTAAAGTCACGTAGAATGGAAATAATAAATAATAAAAAGAAAACATAATAAAATAATTCTCACGACGTTTCGGCCACAACGCAAGCAGCCGTCCTCAGGTGGAGAACAGGTCTGTCGATTATTTCCATTCTACGTGACTTTACCGAATTGACGATTCGCGATATCATATTCCCAAAACTCAGCAATCGTATTGCACGCGTTTGTCGCCTCGTTTCTCTACTGCGATTGATTTTCAAAAACGATGAGATTCCGTGACAGCTCTTCAACTGCGCGTTCACTCAACACAGACGGACCTTAAGTCTCCTAAATCGTCACAAGTGTACCGATTCCACAGCTTTTATTATAACGCACGTGCTGTGACGTGACGTCACAAACACTTTGACGACCATTACTCCGGATGCCCGTCATGCAAAGCGCCGATTTAACAGGCCATTCAATAGGATTAATCCTTTTGTCTATCCGTACGTTCTTGATTATGGGAAGTAATTATACGCGTCCTTGTGGAGAATATAAATAACAATTGTATTTATCAGACAATATCTGCTTCACATATCATCCGTCACTCCACAAAATACGAGCATCTTGCACACAACTCATGAGCCGCACGGCCCTTCTAGGAGCATTTACTTTCAGGACGCATCGATTGAAGACCAGGCCACTCAAGACAATCAAACGCTGTCGCTGAGACACTGCGTACAGTGCGAAAGAAGTTCAACATACGTACACAGACTCCTACTTACGAACGAGTTCGGTTACAGACGTCCGGTCGTAAGTCGATTTGTTCGTAAGTCCAACTTTACTCCTGTCGATTCCAAACATGTTTTACGGCATGTGCACTAAACACGGGGATTGGCTTCAAAAGTTGTATAATCTCCTTTAGATGTAGATGCCACTGGTTCTTCATATTCTGCAGATATGGATGCCACTGGTTCTTCATGTTCTTCAGATGTAGATGCCACTGGTTTTTCACGTTCTGCAGATGTAGATGCCACTGGTTCTTCACGTTCTGCAGATGTAGATGCCACTGGTTCTTTATGTTATTCAGATGTAGATGCCACTGGTTCTTCACGTTCTGCAAATGTAGATGCCACTGGTTCTTCATATTCTGCAGATATAGATGCCACTGGTTCCTCATGTTCTTCAGATGTAGATGCCACTGGTTCGTCATAT